CATTGTACATGTTATTACAGTGGTGGGTGTATATTATTATGCATTATGATAACAATTTACAATTATAACTGATTATGAGTGGGATGGTCAGTTCAGAATTTTTGGGGGGGCATTGCCCTCCTGGCCCCCCCCCTAGATCCGCCACTGACTGTTCTTTTAGTGGCTGCAACAATAAGTACAGCAGCAACTAATGAAAGTAAATATGAACAATGACATTATAATTATTTATGTAGTTTATGTAGGAGGATCACCTTCTCTAATTACTGAAGAGAAGGTTAATGATACTCTGGTAAGATCAGTATATCTTCAAGTATTACGTGGTAGAGATGGTCGTGATGGAGTACCAGGAAGAGATGGAGTGAAAGGAGAGAGAGGAGATAAGGGAGAGAAAGGAGAGAAAGGTGACACTGGAGCAAGAGGAGACACTGGCCCTAAAAGTGGAGGAGTAGTGTACACTCGTTGGGGAAGGAAGTCCTGTCCTACTGGAGCTCAACTACTGTATGAGGGAATAGCTGGAGGTAGCCATTATACTCATTCAGGAGGAGGAGCTAACTATGTCTGTCTACCAAAGGTTCCTCAATATATGAGTACACATATACCTTCTCATTATTCTTACATGTATGGTTCTGAATATCAAGAAGTTAATGGTATATTTCCAGGAAAGCATGATCACAATGTTCCTTGTGCAGTATGTTATACAACTACTAAGAGTGTTAAACTGATGATCCCTGCTAGAACCAGCTGTCCTTCATCATGGACTAGAGAATATAAAGGATATCTAATGGCTGAATACTCTACTCATGCTAGGAATGCTGTCTATGAGTGCTTTGATGAGGCTCCAGAATCCATTGCTGGTAGTCACACTAATGTTGATGGTGCTTTGTTCTACTTTGTACGGACAACCTGTACTGGTCTACCCTGTCCACCTTATTATGTTAACAGGCCCATTACTTGTGTTGTGTGTACCAAGTAATGAAGCTAAGAACTAAGAAACAAGTTAAACAAGTGATATTTTTGTTATTTTTGCTATTCTCTTAAAACAACCATTGACTTTAACAATGCAAAAAAGATACATGGTACAAAGCAAGGTGGCACAGCGACATTATAACACAGCATAGTACATCTGTGTAAATATTGCCTTTACTCATAGCAACTACATATCATTAGCACAATTATACAGTATAAGCAAAAGTGCTAAATATTGTTGTTAATTTCTGATCTATTATTGAATACAGTATTCAAAAATAGATCAAAAATTAAGCCAAAACTCACAACATTAAACATAATCTAACCTTGCTCTCCGGCTGAGGAGGAGGGAATGGAGTATAAGGAGCTTTCTTCTTTATCTTTGGTGTCTTTGTCTTGAGATTCTTTTTCTTAAACTTTGGCAAGAATCTATCCCAAGATTCATTTTTGAGTGATGGGTCCTTCATAAGCTCACGTTTGATCATCATAGTCTGCATGATTCATGTGAGAATGAATCATGAGAGAATGGATCATGTGAGAATAAATCACGTGATATGGTCAAAGTGAGAATGTGCCATTACTTTAATGTGATACACTGGATGGATGTTCTTCATGGTATCCTCTACAACTCTACGCAGCTAAAAATGCAATTAAAATTTTAAAAGTGTATAGTCAAAAAGGTCATCATAGAAGAGGTGAGTTTTCCATTAGTTGTTACAGTAGAAGATGGTGTATAAACACTCTTACCTGCTTTAAACCGGTGAATGGTCCAATAGCTGATACTGTAGCACCTTGAACCATTATATAACATTGAGTGAGCAACTCAATAGCCTACAATGCAAAATTAAATATTAATACTTACTAATTTTGATGTTTCAGTAGTTACTTTTAGAGTGGCTCCATCAGGTCCAATTAATCTCTGTCTCCTCCTCACAAACCTGTCTTTATTCCTAACGAGTGAACGTATCTTAATAATGTCACAAGCTTTGTCATCATCCAGAATCTTGATAGCCTATGAATGAAAGTTTAATAGTTTAAGTAGCCATAAATTAGGGTTTCATGGTCAAATTATTTAAAACTTCACAATCAACTCACATATGGATCAGAAAATGCAATAAAAATTTTTGTTGATCTCGGAGCCATTTTTTGGAAAAATCCATGGGCTATAGCCTTTGCTTTTTTCCGAAATTGGCCAAATTCTTTAATGGCCATAACTCGAAAAATATTTGTCAGAATCAGCTCAAACTTTCTACATAGCATAAGGACATCAATATGTATCAGGGAATGTAATAAAAATTTAAGGTAATTTCGGAGCTATTTTTTGGAAAAATCCATGGGCTATAGCCCATGCTTCTTTTCAAAATTTGCTCGTTTTTAAAAAGTGTTCATAACTCTAGAATTTGAACTCAAAATTAGCTCAAACTTTCTACATAGCATAAGGACATCAATATGTATCAAAGTCAAACTTATTTTATACCCTGGACAAAAGGAAAGTCATTGAGACCAGAGAGAAAGAAGAATGATGGTAATTATGTACCTGTTCATAAGGTACACTTCTTGCCAGGAGTTTGATCATATCACGGGCCTTCACAATAATGTAAGGATCAAAGGTTTTACGTGTCGTCGAGACAGTCATACTACCCTCGATGAGATCAAGCTGACTCTTGATACCCTGAAGCAAACAAAGAGATTCATAAAGTACAGAGAAATCTTCTCTCCTTCTCCACTCATAATTTCTCTTCTTACATGATCATTGAGGCACTTTTGAACAAGTGGCCACACCTTCTGAAGGTATTTCTCTCGGTATTTTGGAAACAAGGTAGCAAATGAGCTTTCATCAAGGAGAGAGTGTGGATTATGCTCGGGCTTAAACTCTTCAATGGTCCAGTGGTCTATAGAATCATTGTCCCATGCTATAAAAATTAATTTAAATTTATTTTTATTTATTTAATTAAATTAAGCTTACGTTTATCCTTCCTGTATTTCTTTTTCTTGGGTACTAGGGATATACTAATAATCTACTATAAGCTAAAGGAGCTTACCTGTGGCTGTGGAGTCTTTTTCAGTTTCTGTCATTTCAAATACTGGGCCCACACATCAGCACGTGTTCAAGCAGTATACGTCCGGATCATGTCCGCATAATTTAAAGCTGAAAGCTCCTCCCAAATAATTAATTTTATTGGTGACGTAAGCACTTTCCATCCATCCATGGATGTGTACACTTTTCAATCTTTCTCTCCTCCACAGCATCTTCTCCTTGCAACAGTAGCTGCAGTCATTGGACCACTCCTCTTACTGTTTGCTTGGAGTTGCTCAAAATGGTTGAGCCAGCAGAGACTACCTAATCCTCCTCCTTCCAAGAAGGGCTGGATCCCATGGCTTGGGGTGGGACTCCAGTTTGGTAAAGCTCCACTTTATTACATCAAGAGAGTTCATGAAGAAGTACACATAGAGCAATAGATTATATGTGAATAAATCCCATTGCATGCAGTTAGGTGATATTTTTACAATTTATGCAGTTGGAAAGAGAATGACATTTTTATTGGATTATAAAGACAGTTCCACTTACTTTAAGACACCGTCTGCAAGCTTCAAGGAAGCAGCAATAGACTTCACAACAGCAGCTGGTAAATTGATACATAAATAATGAAATTATACATTAATCTTTCATTTACTGCTATTTTCTAATTTTTCTTCCAGCAAGCATAGAGCCAACTTCGTTCAGTGAGCATCATACAAAAATTCATGATATATTCAAAGGACAACTAACAATGCATCACTTGGATCCTCTCTGTCAAGAGCTTTCTCTCTCATTTTATCATGAGATCCTCTTACAAGTGAGGGAAAGGGAAGGACAAGAAGTGGAAATGGAGCTGATGGATTTTGTAAGGAAGACAATGTTTGGACCAGTTGTGAAGCAACTTTTTGGACAGAGCAATCTTCAGTTATCAGAGGTATTTCACTCATAATCAGTGTATCTATTTTGAATAAAATATCTGTGTATAAATAGGAAGAAATTAAATCAATGCTAACCAATTTCATAAAATATGATGCTGACTTTAAATATGCCCAATTACCAGCTATATTTAATAGGTATTTCAGACTAACATAATAAGTTTGAATGCATAATTTAATTCAGAGAATGGGGTAGTACCAAAGAATATTTGTTAAACATAATGAAGAAGGTAGTTGGAAGGGTCCCGAAACAAGCAGACTGTTTAAAGGTCAGTCAAAATGTGTACTTAAAAATATCAAGTTGTGATTGCATGCATCATAAGTGTAGCATGCTGCAGAACACATTATTAGTGCAGTAGATCCAGCCAATGCTCCAGGCTATTCACTCATGGTATTGTGGGCTTCACAAGCTAATGCTATACCAGTATGTGAACACTTCTTTTGCTAGCATTTATAGGTACCTGTACCTATTTGTAGATCTCATTCTGGACTCTATCATTTATTCTATCACATCCAAACGTTTACAAAAAGATAAAAGAGGAGCTAAAAGAATGGCCTCTCTTTCAAAAAGGTATCATAGTTATAATAAACATATTCTATAAAAATAGATATGATGATATTTGGAATTAATGTTGCAGATGAGACTAGTTTTAATGCAGTAAAGGAGGAAGATCTAAAGGCAGCTCCACCAACCATCAAAAGGTATGGAATCATTAACTACTGATGCTATGATCCATGCAGGGCTATACTTGAAGCAATTAGACTCAGATCTCCAGGAATGATAGCAAGAAAAGTCACAGAACCAATAAAAATAAAAGTAAAAAATAACACAAAACACAACTTAGTTGAGCCATTCAGTTAGGAATACACAGTACCAGCTGGACACTACCTAATGATGTCACCATACCACAGTCATAGAAACCAAACTTATTTTCCCGATCCAGAGACTTTTAATCCAGTAAATGCATGACCAATACATGCACAATGTACATGACACCTCTTACTAATACAACAGGAGAGATGGTTAGAGTGTGATATTGATAAGAACCAGTTCCTTCCTGGATTCATTGCATTCGGTGGAGGACGCTACCAATGTCCAGGAAGGTACCTCTGTATGTACATGCATTAAAGATAACCTCCTCTTGTGTAAAGGTGGTTTGCACTAATGGAGCTACACTTGTACATATCAATGATCCTCAAGTTGTTAGATATGACATTAATAGATGAGGTTCCCAAACCAGTAAGTTTCTTTTATCGTGTTCTTTTGTCATTATAATTCCAAATAGAGCCCACTGCATTTAACTGGCAGTCAACAGCCAGAAGGATCATGTTTCGTGAAGATTAAACTGAAATAAAATTATTACTATATACTGTACATAAATATAATTTATAGCGATTTGTTTAAAGTATGTTTGCTTGTGTTCCGTCTTACAAAGTGAATGAGACGAATTACAGTAGCAGGAGTCATTCCAGGGAGTCTACTGGCAGCTGCAATCTTTAAATAGAAAAAAAGAGAGAGACAAAGTCAAAGAAATCTTTAATTTTGAGCACTTACTGTTCGTGGCTGAGCAGTCTGAAGTATTTCTCTAGTCTCTAAGGATATTGTCTCAAAACTACATGCATAAATCAAAATCAAAACAATTACAATAGTAATACTAACAATTCTCGTGGCATTGATTCTGGTATGATCATTGATTCAGCTTTACGAAGATCAATGAGATCTCTACTCTGAACTTGGATTAATCTATCATACCGACCTACAGAGAAACAAATATAATTTGCAATAATAGTAATAACAATAATAATTCAATTTTTTCAACTTTTTCAAGACTGTTAAAATGACCTCAAATAATTTTGTTCTTTTCACTCACCAATAACCTCCAGTCTCTGTGATAATGGCTTATCTTGGGCTATAGCTCCAAATGTTTCAGGAGCAACTTCAGCTAATCTAGCAATACTCACATCCTCAAATGTAAGCATATCAAAAGCACTGGAAGAGAGAGAAAGAAATTTAGGGAGATTTAAGGTAACTTAGGATAATATCCCTCACCTCTTTGTTCCTTTGTCAGCATTCATGTGTATTTTCAACTTATTCTTCCAAGTATACGAATTTAAAGTGAAATTCCTAATAGTAATTATTAGTGAATAATGGCAAGACCAGACATTCACTGACTTTAATACTTCTAAACCAGCTTCAAGCTTATCCTTCATGCTAGTAACAAGATCCAATCTCTTCTGAGAGACACACCCAACACTATAACCTTCAATGGTAAGTAATAAGTTGATGGTATAGTATCTAGAGACTCTTTTCGTCTCTTTCTACCTTTTTCAGTTAATCTTAAATCAGCATTGTCTGGCCTTAATGATAATCTATGCTCTGAACGACTGTTATAATAATAATAATAATAATAAATGTTAATTTCACTTTGTATATATGTACTTCTCTTACCTGGTAAACATTCTGTATGGTTCTGTGGTCCCTCGTGTTGTCAGATCATCAATAAGGACTCCAATGTAACCCTCCGATCGATTGACAACAAAAGGATCACTACCTCTTACTTTTAAAGCAGCATTTATACCAGCCACTATCCCCTAATAACGAAATGCTGCTATATCAAACTGGAGCAACAGGTTTGAGCTACCAGTTCTTGTCACTAACTTGAGCGGCTGCCTCTTCATAGCCAGTGGTCCCGTTAAGCTGTCCAGCCAGAAACAAACCATTGACTTGTTTTGTCTCTAGTGTCAACTTTAGCTGACGAGGATCAACGTAATCATACTCCACGCCATATCCTTTAAAGGAGAGAAGTAAAAAATTATTATACCAATGAAGATGCTTTAGTACAAACCAGGATACGTTACTACAGCATTTTCTAATCCTGGTATAGTGTTCACCATTTTTTGCTGCAGTTCAGCAGGAAGTGTACAAGATATTCCACCTGGATACACAGTAGTACTCTCAAAACCTGACAACAATAAATTTTTTTAAATTAAAATTCTTCTTTTACCTTCCGGCTCAAGCCAAACTTGATGAGGTTTATCTCCAAAACGAGCCACCTTGCTCTCAATTGACGGGCAGTACCTACGGGTCACCATAGCAACAAGCCACGCCCAAACGGACCCACCTTGGTGGAGTGACCTCGTCCAATATGTGTTTATTGAGGTGCTCATTCTCAGTTATTATTCGATGAGTGAGTGAGTTTGTCTGTGTGAGGTAACAGAGTAATTGCTCACTGGCTAACGTCACTCCATTGTATTCATTAAGGAATGAGAATGGGACTGGGTCTTTATCAGGATACTGTGGTGCTGTAACACTGTAATCTATTGTAGCTCCATTTAACCTTGGAGGAGTACCTATAATATAGCACTGTTATACAACATACAGCATGTAGTACTGCTAAGCAATATAGTACTTTTATACTGCTATAGTAATAGTAATGTTATACATGTAATATTCAGTTGTGCACTCACTGTACAATGTGTACACTCACTGTACAATGTGTACGTGCATTAATATATTATTCCTCTTTCTCTCTCTCTCTCTACATGTACCTGTCCTCAGTCTGCCAAGAGATAAGTTTAATTTGTCGAATGTTTCTGCTAGTTTGACTGAAGGAGCTTCGCCTCTTCTTCCAGCAGGAAAAGCATCAAGACCTGAAGGAGGGAGGGAGGGGAAAGATTATTTTAAAAGGATGATGAGAGTCATGAGACCCACCAATGTTTATTTCTCCTCTAAGGAATGTCCCTGTGGTCACAACAACACAAGAACACAGCAGTATCTTCCCTGAACCTAAAGAAACATGAGAAACCATTCATGAGCTGACAAGCAAACACTCATTTGTTCCATTGTCACGAAATCCGTGACAAGCAAAAAACCCATTTGTTCCATTGTCACGAAATCCGTGACAAGCAAAAACCCATTTGTTCCATTGTTGTTATAAGTCTGGGACTTTGGCACAATTTTTGAGCAACTTTAAAAAATTCGTAAAAAATCCAAATTTCATCAAAATCTGTTTAAACTTTCTGCACAACATAAGAGCATGTATATGTATCAGAAAAAATTATAAAAACAAAAAATTTCCTACTTTTCATTTTTGGCAAAATTTTCCAAAAATCCCTGTACTATAGTACAGGGACTTTGGCCCAATTTTGAGCAACTTTAAAAATTCGTAAAAAATCTACTTTTGATCAGAATGAGCTCAAACTTTCTACACAACATAAAAACATGTATATGTATCAGAAAAAAATACAAAAATGGAGAATTCTCTCCTACCCATTTTTGACAAAATTTGGCCAATGGCCCTGAACTATAGTACTGTACAGGGTCTTTGGCCCAATTTTGAATGATCTTACTTACCTAATATAACACTGGTTACTCGTTTCTTTCCTCCTTCATCATCAGAAGAGAAACAGATATCATCAACGCTGTCTTCCTCAATTCTCAGACCAGGTAAGCTGGTCACTTCCCTCTCCATTGTCCTCTGGTATATCTCTCTATCAATCTGAGCCCTCAGTCCCTAAACAACACACACAAACTTCATTAAAATCCCAAGTACTTTTTAGAAACCTACCCAAACTGCTGGGCCTTTGCGACGGTTAAGGACACGAAAATGAACTCCGGACACATCTGATTATTGAAATATATATAATGGGTGTGATTTGGGCGTGGCTTAATTACCGCAGATTCGAGGTGAGAGTCCGTCCAGAGCATCAATTTCCCGCAAGAGGTGACCTTTCCCAATCCCGCCAAAGGAAGGATTGCACGCCATCACTCCTAATAAAAATTAGTATGACTTTGGAAACTCTAGTATACTAGTATACTTGACAAATAATAATAAATAAAAATGTAAAAATATTTATGTAATAATAATAATAAATGTTCTATTACCTATTGCATTTATTTTCTGTGTAACTAGAACAGTCTTCATTCCCATTCTAGCAGAAGCTGCTGCTGCTTCGACTCCAGCATGTCCTCCACCAACTACTATCACTTTAGGCTCGCCCTCTCTCCCTCCACTGGTGGCTGAGAGCCGCCTCAGTGAGACAAAACGAACTACTAAAATTCCTCTTTTCCACACTGAGAGAGACATCTCAAAATTGAAGTGAATAAAAGGGAGAGAATAGGGAGGAAGTTATCTGGGATTTTATGATAAAGATGCCATTTTATTATTATGGTTAATTATACCACACCCACATGGGAGGGGCTAATTATTAAAAGTGCTTTTTGATAAAAGGCCTTCTACACTAGCACTTCTAATGCGCATTGAACTGGTTTGGAACCGGTTCCAGTCATTCCACACCTGATGCAGCATTGACTTCAATGCGCATTAAGCCAAACCACCTCCATATGCATATGTGGTTTGAATGCACATTCAATAGATAACGGTAACCAATGGCAGCTGGATCTGAAATACTATCAAAATATACATGATCCTGAAGATAGTGTGGAGTCACAATGATGCACATTCAATGCGCATTAATGCGTAGGCGGTTGCAGGCCTGGGCATTAGGGGGCAATGCCCAGGTTGACTTTTTGACCAATAATTATATTCATGATTCTGGTGTGGGCATCCAGTGTAAACTGTGGTAGTTCAACAGGCTTCTTTGTTGTTTTATGCTAAGAAATCATCTCAATGAAGTTATAGATCAGTATTGTCCATTTTCCTTGCAAAATTGTATGGAACCACACCCACTCCACACCCACTAATTATTGATGCCCAGGTCAAACCAAATTTCTGCAACCACCCATGCATTAATGATCCGACTTCTAAAACCGGTTCAAGTGTAGAAAGGCCTTTAAAAATAAAATTCTGGAAATGATTTTTCAATAAATTGGCCACACAGTAGCCAATGCAGAGCAACCACAATTAACAAATTTGATACGAGTGATACTGATATCATTATAATGTGCATAATAACATAACAATAGCGATAATAATGATAATGATAATAATAATAATAACGATTAATAATTGCAACAATAGTATATATATAATAAGTATATCATACTGTACATAGTGAGGGTGTGCATATTAAATTAAATTAATTGATAATAATAAAAATCATAACCATTAATGTCTATGACTGCTTTTGACACGTGGCTTAGGCAAATCTCCAAACATTCCAGTATCATGAACACTAAGAGCTAACTTCTGAATGGAGAGAGCTAAATTTGAAGGACTTTGCTTTACCTAAAAAATAATAATTCATCATAAATAATTTTATATACACTGGATGCTCCTACCTCATTTGATTCCATGTAATTCTCCCTGTTGGCTAGATAAGGCATAGTGAGTGGTAGTGATGCTGGCAATGATGTCCTAACCCTGTACCTTTCTTCAAGGGAACTACCTACATAAGAAAAGAGGAAGAGAGAGCATATCACATGAACTATGATAATTAAGAAGATGAAGAAAGACTCCTATGCATGTAGTAAAGGCTAAGAGTTCATTTAAGTTTATTAAAAGTTATTATAGTTAAGATTGTTTGGAAGAGAAGGTAAATTTGCTGACCATTACTGGAGCTATCATACTCATCATCATCTGAGGAGAGAGGGAAAGGAGAAGCAGCAGTTTCTCCTTGAGGGACACCAGACTCAATCATATCCTCATCAAAATCAAATATATCTACAAAAGAATGATAAATAGTTTCTAATATAAACTATCCACATATATTCCCTCACCATCATTATTTGAGACTTCAGGGACTTGAAGAGGAGACTATTATATAAAAAATTAAAGATCATTACTGCAGTATAACTATGTGATCTTTTATGCTAATATGCTTGCATGCAGGTATTATTATTTAAAAATCATCAGCTTACCTTAATAGGGCCAGGTTTAAGAGTGGGCACATTAGTACTTGCACCTGATAATTTTTAATAAAGACTGAAGAAAATAAAATTATTATACCTTTAATATCACTTGGGCCTTGTTGAGTAGCTCTATCTTCTCTCCTAGCATCAACTAATGGAGTAACAGCATCATCATCTGTAGCATCAGTTAGACTAGTAACAAGCTCAGCTTCTTTAGCTAATTGTAAGGACCTTTAAAAATTAAAAATAATCACATCAGCTTATGTCACAAATGCTATAAGTAAATGCTATAGCAAGTACTCATGTTCACATTAAATCAAATTTTTATGTCATCTTTGTCTTGTGTTACTTACAAGAATAATCTCCTTCTATCCTCATGTGCTTTCTCTTTTAACTTCCTGAATTCTTCTCTCTTCTTTGCTTCAAATTCTCTGCGGGTTAGGACAAGAATGTGCATTAAACAGGAAAAGGGAATAGAAGAGAAGAGCAAAGGAGAAAGAGAAAGGGAAAAGGAGGCTATAGATCAGTCACCTTATAGCTTGTTCCATTTTCTGCTCCTCTTCAGTGAGATAGGACTCAGTCTGTGCCTGCAGTTCCTTCATTACTAAATCATCCTGCCCAAATGTCATCGATGACACTATAAAAATATAAAGAATATTAACAAAATTAATGAAATAGTTTTACTACTTTCCCTTATTAGGCTATGATAATGCACTGACCCATGCTAGACTACTCACTACTGTGTACAGTTCTAATGTTGCATCATCCAAGTCTTTCAATAAGCATATTGGCTATTTGTATTTGCAATGAAATTATAAACAGTATATAGCATGCAAATTTAGTGTTGCTAGCAATTAAGTACATGAAAAAGTCAATCAAATTTAATGAAAGGCTTGTAGCCAATACATAACTTAATGTAATACTAGCATGATTGATGCACATACTTTATTATTAGTAAATGCCATTTATATATCATGTGATGTGCCTGATGTAATATTTGTTGGTATAACAAAGTGATCACTCACTTCTTTCCTTTAGCTGTGGATTGTCCTCCATCTTGTCTTTTAGGATTATGCTAAAGACTGGGGAGTAATTGGGGTGGAATTTGAGTGTAGAGGGATCAGTCTTTTTAAAAAAGAAAAAAAAAGAGAAGACATTAAAAGAGAGTAGACGGTGAGAAAAAGAGATAGAGAGAGTGTCAAAGAGTGAGACAGACAGATGCAGAGGCAAATAATTACAATTCCCCAGTCTATAAAGTTTTCTTAACACTCACCAATAAGCTGCTGAAGACTAGTAGTCTCTCCTTGTTCTCCTTATGCTTGATAAACACGTCAGTGGAGCAGTTTAGGCAATGAACAATATCCCAGACACCAACAGAATAGCTTCTTAATAGTAGAGGTTGCTCCTATAAATGATAAGTACATGGAAATGAATGTATGGGCAATGTGTGACCTCTGTGTGTTTGTGGGGCAACATTACTCTATTTTAGTCAATGCTATAGTGTCTTTAGTCATTTATGGTATGATTAGCAAGCCTGCTCTTTTGCCTTTTTTGACTTATGCACACGGCTATGAGTTTTCTTAAAGATGCTTTAAAATTTAAAATTGCTTTTTGTATGCTCAAGATTATTTTCAATGGACATTCAATTATGATGTTTTGCATTCCTCAAGGCAATGGTAGTCTATACAGCGTTAATTAACAGAATAGATACGTGCATGGCGTATTCATCTCTCATTTTAAATGCTATCTGCATTACTGCATACATAGATACAGGCATCTTTTAAACAATCAAACACTTTAAATATCAATAAGCAAGCTAAGCATTTAGCATTCATTTTCATTAATCTGCAACAACATCCCAAACTATCATAAAACCCATTTCTTAGTTCTTGCTCGCTTCTCCTTCTCTCTCTAACTCTCTTACTGATATTATTCCAGCTACGTCCAGTGAGACTGTCACCAGTGTCTTATTCAATAGTTGATCAGGAAGGTCTGTACTTCCTAGTAGTTCTTCTATCCTTATGGCCGAGGAGCGGTCTAGCCCTCTCCCGTCTCCTCCTCTGTAGCTGAGGGTAACGTTAAGGCAGTGACAATAAAAGCGACCCATAAGACCAGTTGTACAGGATTTTTATATACTACTTTATCACTGTGAGACCAGATCAGCTCAACAACTGATTGCATCAACCAATTCTCACCAGAAGAGGGCGTGGCTTTGTAGCTAATTATATTAAAGATTATTAATTCAATCACTCAAAATCAATCAAAACATTCTTAAAAAGGAAAAAGCAGCAATTTTATATTACACAGTAGTTATTATTGCAGCTACCAGAAGTTCCCCTCCTACATCACATCAGCGAATGAGCCATCAGTGGCAATACCACACTGATTGTTGTCAGTAGACATCAGCACATAGCCGTCATTGCCCCAGTGGGTGGACCAGGAGTTCTTGACTATGACGTATTCATCACCATTCTATTTAAACAGAGACAACCACATGATTAAATCACAAGATATCCCAGCCATCATTATCATTTACTCCATTTTAATAAATTATAATATCATATCCACTTCATCTTTCTCTCTCTCTCTTCTCTCTATTATTTACCACGTCACCATATCCAACTGCCAATACTTGATGATCTAGATCATTAGGAGTATTGCCTAAAAGAGAATACAAGTATTAGCAAGAAAGGATACATATTGCATCATTTGCATGATAACTATACATTGTGCTGTAGTGGTTGGTATTTTTAAAATTTAAGATAACATTAATCATTCACTTTCAAGTAGAGCATGTCCATATGTATACATATGCAATTGTACAAACTGCGATAAGGACTTGTGATAAAACAATATCAAGCAAAGGTGAGACACAAGACATATAAAAAGAAGGCAGGATATTTGACTACATGTACAATGTACATACCACATTTTGGCTCCTTGTAAACTCCATTGGCATAGAAACTGAAGGAGCGATGGCTGGCATCGATGGCAATGCTGATGGGACCTCTTTCAAATATCTTGACTTTAAGATCAGTCACGTTAGTGGACATGACGTTGTAATATTTACTGATCCTGACTCCACAGGTAGCCGTTTTATCTTTACAGGTGGAGTCCTGAAAGGGTAGAAAATAATAACAAGGTAAATGAATTATGGAGAAACACAAGGACACTTTATTGGCAAAACAATACATTTGGGAGGTGGGAATTTAAAAAAATCAAATTAACACAAAATTAATCGCTAGATGGTTGCCAAATGTTCTACAATATTTGGCAATATATCTACAGACTGTAATATAAAACCAGTACATGTACAGAGACCTGCATCATGTATGGGTAAGTAGCTTCTGTTGGTAGACATCTTCCAAGTAGGAGCCACTCGAAAGCTCTCTCTGACTCTCCTCCATCACAGCCATTGTTACCCTGGCCCCAGGAGCAATCTACAAATGCTTGCTCACTTAGAGCAACAAGGTTACCAGTCTAAAAAAGAGGGAAAAATTAGAAAGTGAAAAGTGCATCTTTTAATTCTAGTTTACAATAACAATCTTTTCTCTAGACAAAGTATTCACAATAATAATCTTTTCTCTACACAAACGAAGCATTTGAGCAAAGAAAAGATTATTATTGATTTGCGGTGGTCAGTAATTTTGAGGCTATACAAGAATTAAAATAATAAAAAAATTAATCATGTGACACCTGTAGCAACTACTTATGATAACACACGCCTCTCTTTCCCTTTGTCTTTTCTTTCTCCCAGCTACATAAACCCTTTTATTTCTTCTCTCCTCTCTCTCTCTCTTTTCGTTTCTTGCCTTTATAAATAATGATCCTTCTAGTGTGCCAGTTGTACCAAAGCTCCAGCAGCTGCCACATATAGCTTGATCTTTAACAGGAGTGACAGCACCTATTCCACACACATACAAGCATTAAAATACATACAATATAAGCTACAATTACCTTTAAGCCACCAGTTAACATAGTCGGGTATGTCATTAGCGGAGACTGAAGAAGTATACACAAACTCTGAGTTGATTCCACTGTTCTTGTAACCTCTCATCCTCTTCATCTCAGCATCACTTAGATCAGCCAGGTGGTTTAGCTCTACTGTAAAGCTAGACCTCTTATTGCCCATTGCCTTTACAAACCTATTAAAAACAAAAATCAAATTAGATAATTCTACGAAAAAAAAAATCTTTCTAGTATGACTTCTTTTACCTGTAGTTGTGATGGAAGTGATGTTTTCTCTCAGCCTCGTGAACGTGACTCTCGTAAGACTTTCCGTAACGAGACTTGAAAGACTCAAAGGCATCCTGGACGTGTTGGGTCCTCTCCTCGAAAGACCCAGGGCCCATCAGCTCGTGGAATATGCTCTCAGTCATAGGATGAGTCCTTCCGGGGCCAGGGAAACTGGTTTTACAACTATCTTCTAATAGAAAGAAGCGAAAGCAATAAAAGAAAAAAATATTTCAAAGATAAAAGGATAGAGAGTAGAGAAGGGAATACATGGCAAGTGTGCATGTATTTATTTCACGTACTTGAAGCTACTATGAAATTGCTTGCATCAGGTTTATCAAAGCTCACGTTGTCATAAGTTACAACATACTCGTCGTAATGAGAGCCAAAAAGACGATCAAACCCAAGGAAGGAGAGAATCAGAGGCTTCATATCTGTGGTGACGATCAGTGTGTAGTTGTTGTTTTTTGTGTTCTCAGTAAAACTGGATATGTAGAGCATGGAGTCTTGATCTGCGTATTTCATGTCAGCCACATACTACCAATGAGAAAATAAAATGAATAAAAATAATCACTACATGTACATGAGCAATTGATTGCAATAGGAAATTAAACATGTGTACATGTACATGTTAAATGTCAGATTGACAAAATCTAGTGTTGCATTTGTCAATATAGTTTTAGTGACTTAGGTAATTCCTAGGAATAATTTCAATTAGTAAAGTATTAAATGCTCTTTTAAGTAGGATTGTTAGGAAAGCATTACTTTTAGTTAGTTTTTAAGCATTTTTAGTTATTTAAAGTTAGGGGATTTTAGTTGCAATTAACTTTGAAACACTAAATTTGCTGCATCTACAGTTTTAAGTTATGCACAGCAATTTCTAGTAATACAATCAGTTTATAATTCCCTTAAAAATAACTTATACAGTACATCTTAAAAGCAATCAGTAAAAGTTAGTAAGCATTGTTACTTTTACTTAGTTGCTGTTAAGTTTGGGACTTTTTCAATACATTATGCTGCAGTTAACTAAACAACACTAAATTGCATCTAAAGTAATCATACAGCTTCTAGTACTATAGAAATAGTAATTGTACTTTTAACAGCCAAGCCTCAACCCATTATAGTAAATACGTAATAACCTTGTAGAGAGTTGGATCTGGTAGTACAGTTTGAGGTAATACTGGTTGGTCACTGCTACCAGCTAGTGCATAGCATGTCATGACATTGTAGGTATCATTCATAGTGACTGGGACTGTCTTGTATAGAGTGCCATAATCACCGTCATCACCTCTGTAAATCAATGTAACTTCACCTAAAAGAAGATATAATAGGTATTTTAAAAAAGATATGAAAAATTAGGAGCTGTGCCTGCTGTGGTTTTCTAGAAATGATTAGCACATGCACATAAACAAACAAAAATGGCCTCTCATTTTCCCAGCATTTCCCTCACCATTATTAATGTTCATGCGTCCCATCTTGGCTCCAATGTCCATTATAGCTTGAAAAGGCTCCGTTATTTCAGCATAAGGGAGAGATATGGTCCCGGAAATGGTGTAAGTATCTGGCCACTGGAGTGTATGCGGATCAGCTGCTAGAGCTCCAGCAGCGAACAAGAGAAGAACTATCATTAGCTGCATCTTGCAGAGAATAAGGAATGCTGTACTGTTGAGTCAGTTAATACTCGTAGCAGTTTTTATGTTCTGATGCAAGCTAAGCTGCAGTTAGATCTATTACAAGGGCACGTGTACGAACCTCGTTTATACTCCGTTTGATTTCCGTATTTTTAAAGGGTTTTAAAAATCCAAGAATAGGCGGTGTTGGGTGGGGTTTAACAGTTTAAGGCGTGGTTTATCCAGCACGAGCTCGCGAACTTTGCAGCCCTCCCCAATCTCATCTCTGAGCTGCAGAGAGACTACAGCAGAGATGGAGCTCTCCAAATTGAGTCTGGAAGACCATTCCCTCTCAGAAGACAAAGTAGTAGCCGAGCCTTTTCGTTTCAGCTTTGAAATAGCCTGGGAAGTTGCTCACAAAGGTCAGTCAGCCTTGATTTCAACAATTATTGTTCTTTCTTGTGCCCCTCGTTCATTTTCATCCTTCCCTAGTTGGTGGTATTCACACTGTGATTAGGAGTAAAGCCCCAGTCACTACTGCCGAGTTAGGAGACCAGTATTGCATGATAGGACCCTACCATGAGCCAACCGTTAAGCTAGAAGTAGAGGTGATGGAGCCTGAGCTCTCTGTCACTAAAGAAGTCGTTGAGTCCATGAAGAAGGAAGGAGTCAAGGTACGCTATTAGTAGCTCTAATGAGAATCAATTTGCACCTGAGAGGGGGTATTTGATCAGCATTATTGTACATGATAAATTAATAATCATTGTTAGATTTTGAAGTTAAATTTGAGAGCCTAATTTAGCTAAAATAGAAGGCATAGGCTAAATATGAGGGACTAAAAAAGCTAAAAGTGAGATATTTTAGGAGATCTTGACCAAATATGGGAGACCAAACTCCCTCTAGATCTAACAGTGATAATAATAATTATTATTATGATTATTATGATTATTTTAATTATAATATTAATTTTTAGGTTGTCTATGGTCGCTGGCTCATTGAAGGTTACCCGAAGGTAATTCTCATTCTAATTAAAGCACATCTCAAACTTCGTCTCATTTCAGGTGATATTATTTGATTTGGGTTCCTCGTACTGGCGTCTGAGTCAGTGGAAGCAGGAGATATGGGATCTCTGTCACATTGGTACATACAGCATATTGCATAATATGCACTCATTATTTTCTTTGTTATTTTAATGATGAATGTTTGCTGTTATAATCTAATGTCTTGCTACAAGTAACTTGGCAGGGTGTATTTTTAGAAATTTTTTTTAATGGGAGCCCTGATTTTAATGTTAACTTGCCTACTATACCCAGCAACGTTGTGCTCTCTGATTGATAATCCTGACATGATTTTTGGGGTATCATTATCTTTGTTGGCACTCCAGCCTCCAGGAAGTGTATGCATGTATATTCATCATTCATGAGATTATGTATGAGTGCCATCCCATTATGATATTATACCACATGTACATACATGTATTGTTATTCATGTTACACTGCCTGCTTGTATCATGAAGCATCCTAACTGTTTTATACTAGGTATCCCTGATAATGATGGAGAGTCACAAGACGCTGTCGTCTTTGGCTTCTTAACATTTTGGTTCATATCTGAAGTAAGAGAACCAAAATAAGTATCTCCTTTTCATTTATCCTCTTCTTTATCTTTCTCCGTTAGTTTGTTAGGCGTATCCCTGGTCCCTCTCCGCTGGTTGTTGCTCAGTTTCACGAGTGGATGTCAGGTATTGGCCTCCTGATGCTCAGGTTAAAGAAGATCCCAGTGGCAACCATATTCACAACACACGCTACTCTGTTGGGTAGATACCTTTGTGCAGGGAAAGCAGACTTTTATAATAATCTACCTTTTGTGAGTTTGCATGTACATGTAATGCCATTTTTACTTTCTCTATTCCCTTCATCTCTCTTTCTTTCTTTTCCCTCTCTCTTTCTTTTCTACTTTGTCTTTTTTTAGTTTAATGTTGACAAGGTAAGATTGATGACCCATAGCATTAAACCATTAACAAGTTATTATTATTGTTGTTGTTGTTGTTGTTGTTGTTGTTAGGAAGCTGGTGATAGGCAGATATATCACAGATATTGTTTGGAGAGGGCAGCTGCTACTATATGTCACACGTTTTCTACAGTCTCAAAGATCACTGCAGAAGAAGCTGAACATTTGCTAAAGAGGAAGCCGGGTCAGCTAGTCATGTACATCTTTAATCAATTCATGTATATGTACTCTTTCTTCATCTCTCATCTCTCAATCACTGCATGATTTTTTCATTACAGATGTTGTTCTTCCTAATGGTTTAAATGTCATTAAGTTCAGGTAAACTGTAATAGTATATATTGTACATTGGGCTATGCTGTATTGCTTCTACTGTCTATGTATAATGTTTTCTCTCTCTTTCCTTGTAGTGCAATGCATGAGTTTCAGAATCTTCATGCTCAGTCTAAAGAGAAGATTCATGATTTTGTGAGAGGTCATTTCCATGGGTCAGTGAGCACCAGTTGTTAGTGTATAGTGTCATTTGTACTTCTTCTTTTTTATTGTAGCCATTATGATTTTGATCTTGACAAGACTTTGTATTTTTTTATAGCTGGCAGGTAAGGAATTGAGATTGATGGAGCTTGAGTGAGTGAATGAGTCCAAAAATTCAACTTTATAGAATCATTTTAAGACAAGTTTTGACTGAAAACAATAGTCATTTATTCTGATACATATTGATGTCCTTATGCTGTGTAAAAAGTTTAAGCCAATTTCAAGGTCAAATTCTGAAGTTATGAACACTTTTAAAACGAGCAAATTTTGAAAAAAAACATGGCCCATGGTTTTTCCAAAAAATGGCTCCGAAATCACCCCAAGTTTTTATCACATTTTTTGATACATATTGATGTCCTTATGCTGTGTAGAAAGTTTAAGCCCATTCCGACTTCAATTTTTCAAGTTACAGCCATTTTAAGAAAATGTCAAAATTCTGAAAATACCCAAGGCTATAGCCCATGGTTTTTTTCAAAAAATGGCTCCGAAATCACCCCAAATTTTTATTACATTTTCCGATACATATTGATACCTTTATGCTGTGTAGAAAGTTTGAGCTAATTCCGACTTCGATTTTTTAAGTTACGGCCATTTTAAGAAAATGTCAAAATTCTGAAAATACCCAAGGCTATAGCCCATGGTTTTTTTCAAAAAATGGCTCCAAAATCACCCCAAATTTTTATTACATTTTCCGATACATATTGATGCCCTTATGCTGTGTAGAAAGTTTGAGCTAATTCTGACTTCGATTTTTTAAGTTACGGCCATTTTAAGAAAATGTCAAAATTCTGAAAATACCCAAAGCTATAGCCCATGGTTTTTTTCAAAAAATGGCTGCAAAATCACCCCAAATTTTTATTACATTTTCCGATACATATTGATGCCCTTATGCTGTGTAGAAAGTCTGAGCTGATTCTGACTTCAATTTTTCAAGTTACAGCCATTTTAAGAAAACGCTACAATATTGAAAAATACCCAAGGCTATAGCCCATGGTTTTTTTCAAAAAATGGCTCCAAAATCACCCCAAATTTTTATTACATTTTCCAATACATATTGATGCCCTTATGCTGTGTAGAAAGTTTGAGCTGATTCCGACTTCAATTTTTCAAGTTATGGCCATTTTGAGAAAACACCAAAATTTTGAAAAGTACCCAAGGCTATAGCCCATAGTTTTTTCCAAAAAATGGCTCCGAAATCACCCTAAGTTTTTATCACATTTTTTGATACATATTGATGTCCTTATCCTTTGTAGAAAGTTTGAGGTGAATCTGAGCAAAAATTCTAAAATAACGAGCACTTTTAAAAATTCCATTTCCTTCACTCATATTATTTTGCCATGCACTATGTGTATAAATTCTCTTGCCACGCACTTTGTGTATAAAGTGTATTATACATTCATTGTAGGTATGAATTCAGTAACAAAGGAGCTGATCTCTTTCTAGAATCACTAGCTAGACTCAATCATTATTTAAAAGTATACCTAATTACCTGTACCCTGCCACATTTACTCCTTTCCATAGGTGTGCAATAGTGATATCACTGTTGTTGCCTTCTTCATATTTCCTGCTCCAACAAACAGCTTTAACGTTGCTTCTTTGAAAGGACAAGCTATCACAAAACAACTGAGGTAGAAAGAAAGAGAAACGAAGGATTTTTAGTGTGATTCAATATTGCAGAGAAACTGTTGATTCAATCCAAGCTCAAATAGGCAAGAAGATTTATGAGAGCACATTGAGGTATGAAAACCAAAATTTATCAACTAGTAATAACTTTGTATTTTAGAGGACATCTTCCTGACCCTCAAACTTTTCTTGAGAAAGAAGATATCATAAAATTGAAGAGAAGCATGTTCTCTGCCCAGAGGACAGACTTACCACCAGTTGTGACTCACAATGTCCTCAACAGTGACTCTGACCCTGTTCTCTCTCACATCAGACGAATACAATTATTCAATAGAAGAGAGGACAGGGTGAAGGTAAGTATTTTACATAAATAATTATTTTTGATATAATATAAATTTTATATACTTTTAGCTTCAAATTCAACAATTCTTTTGTATAAAATGTACAATAAACACGAAATGTTGAAAGTACAGTAAATGCAGAAATTGCATTAAATGCTGAAAGTGCAGTAAAATTATAAGTACATCAGTATGTGCATGCCTGGTATAAAAAATATGTGAAGGAAGTATCTTTAGCATTCATTAAAGAATTTCTCAATGATAGAGTTTATTTGTAAGGAGTCTGGTAGTTGATGCTTCCCTTCTTGGATTATGCAGAGTTCGCTGTCTTCAATGCACTCATTGATGTATCTAGCATGAGACAGTGCAGTGAAGCTGTCCTTTGCTCCATGAAATATCAGTGCTTTGCAGCTCACTTTCTTCATTTCCTCATCGCACCATTCCCCGCTGTTCTCTCGAGCATGATAATAATAAGTAGCAGAAACCGAGTCAGTATACTTATCCCACAATCCTTGTAATGCTGCCTCGCTACCGTAGACTTCTTCAAAAGCTTTCTTGAACTTTGGATTGAATTTTCTAACGTCTCTGATACTCTCTACCTTTTCGATATCAGATTTGTCGAGGTATCCCTTGCTGCCCCAGAGTATGATCCCGTTGACTGCTTCAGGGAAGAGAGCAGCAATATGAATAGCTGTTATCCCTCCATCACACCAACCAAGGACTGAATACTTGCTGTATCCCAGTGATATCATTAGCTCATGTGCATCTCTTGCATCAGTCTTTAGATGATGCTCTGGTACTGCAACAGAGAAGGTCCTAGGTGCCTTGTGTGAGTATCCATATCCTCTTGGATCATAGGCAATGGCTGTGAATTGACTCCCAGTTCTACCTAAGTGCTCCAACTGTGAGGAGAATGACCAGTGGCTTGGTGCTGCTGCCCCAGGAATGAGGAGTACAGGATGGGGTCCATTCCCTCTTATAGTACAGTAAAGACTAGCTCCATTAACTTGCACACTGATAGTATTCATTATCTTTTTCTCTGCAGCTTCTAACAGCAGTATGCTAGCATGCACTCACTCTTTATAAGGCCCTCCTTGTTGATTTATGGTTGTTGTCATCATAGATTATAAATTATAATGACGTTATATCTATGTTGTCATGACTATAGTCTCCTCATGCCAAATTTGTTAATCAAAAAACGTGCTTAATGACGTAAACCTGGCACATATACTACACAAAGCTTGCAGTATTGCTATGCATATTAATGCAGTTTATAGCTGGCAGTGTTACAGTGTTACGAGGCTGCAGTGCAGTTACTATGCACTTGCTTGCTAATTATTTTCTTGTTGAGCTTCCCTTGCTTTTGTATGGGTTTGCTTATCACTATGATCTGCTGAAGTGTAAATGGTAATTAATATGTGGTAATGCACTTGGAAGGCTTTATCATTGAAATTTTTATCACTAAAGTTTTTGTGTGCATGCTGCATTATGTGTTGTTCAATGATTTGGAAAACTTCACTTTTATCGTTTTTGATATAGTTTTTTTGTTTCAGGTAATATTTCATCCCGAGTTCCTTTCATCAACTAATCCTTTATTCAAGATGGATTATGAGGAGTTTGTCAGAGGCTGTCATTTGGGAGTGTTCCCGTCATATTATGAGCCGTGGGGATACACCCCAGGTACATGTACATGCATGCAGTTAATTATTCGCAACAATGAAACGTGATATATTGACTGCTTGTTATTTGTGGTATTTTGTGTAAGTATGTTCATGAGCAAGCCATACATTAATGAACACCATAATTACTGTCACAGATGTTAAAATTCTATTATTCATCCTCCCTCTCTCCATCTAATAGCTGAGTGCACTGTAATGGGCATTCCTTCTGTTACTACTAATCTCTCTGGCTTTGGTTGCTTTATATCAGAGAATGTAACTGATCCTCCAGCCTACGGACTGTACATTATTGATAGAAGGTTTAAGAATGTGGAGGAGTCAGTCCAACAATTGTCTCAGGTATGATTATTAAAGAAAAAAATTTTGACACCACAAATTTTTTAATAGGGTTTGCATATAAAACTATTTTTTATTTGTCCTTTTTAGTATTTGTTTGAATTCTGTTCCCAGTCAAGGAGACAGCGTATCATACAGAGGAACAGGACTGAGAGACTGAGTGAGCTCCTCGATTGGGAGCAGCTTGGAAAGTATTATCGCATGGCCAGGAAGATGGCACTAAAGGCTGTCCATCCAGACTACTTTAAGAGATCTGGAGCTGCAACTCCCGTCCATGTAAGAAATGAGTGGATACACAACCTAAAACCCAACATACACTATGCAACATTGCAACATTTGTTACAAACAACTTGTTACATGCAACACATTTTATACAGGAGTCAATGGAGCTTGCAACATGTTGCATGAAATAGAACCATTTCCTATTTCATGCATAAGTAATAAGTAAAGAATTATCTCCAACCATTTTGGGGACACTGCAATGATTGTGCATGTCTACTATCACCTACATGTATTTAATAAAAAGTGGTCATAATTTTAAGCACATGTTACATAATCTTTCCTCTCTCTCTCTCTCTCTCTTCTTTCAGACTGACAAGTTTCCCAGACCTCTTAGTCTTCCACCTAGTGAGCCTCCGAACCTCAGTGAAGATGAGGAAGATGAGGAAGATGAAGATGAAGATGAAGGAGATGATTATGAAGCTGCCAGCTCTCCACATCATTCTCTCTCTTCCTCGGTTGCTTCAACGTGACAGAAATCTCTCTAATGCCGCAGTGTGTGTTGCTGTAGAAACAAAATTAGAATTTAGTTATTTTGATTATTATTATTATTATTACCATCATTTTCATTATTAATTTTTTTATCATGATAGAGGTTGTTTATTTTGTTGATGCCTTGTATTATAATTTATAGTATAATTTCAATGAAAAATCAATTAGATATGTTTAGAAAGATGTGTGTTGTAGACCATCTTTTAATGTTGAATTTTAGCATTAAATTAAATAATTTACTTTTGATTTTAGAGATTTACATTACGCAAGCTTCGTGGTAACCAAGGCAACACGCGCTGTCATTCGAAAAAAAATGTCAAAGTTTCTGAAAGTGATTCCTTGTTGTTCTTGCTGTAATAGCAGTAGTAAAGAAGAACCTGTTAGTGTCAAAGACAATGAAGTAGATAATGGAGAGCAATGCAATCAAAAAGACTTACAGAGGAGATCTTGTGGCAGTACTACAGAGAGTAGCTTGGATGTAAGGAGAAAACAAAGCATTGTGGGACCTACAAAGCTGTGGAAATTCAATTTAAGACAAGTTGCCGAGCACTTGACTAAAATTGATTCGGACATGCTGAAATCAATTTGTATATTAGAACTACAAAATGGAAACTGGATGAAGAAAGACAAGGTAGATCTGTTATTTAAATTAATTATTAATTAGGTAGGACCTAAACTGCAATGTAACCAACTAATTGCATAAACTGTATTTTTTACCAACTGTAAATTTTACCACCATTAATTTAGGAAAAGCTGTCTCCTAATATCATAGCAATGATTAATCAGTTCAATCAGTTTGCATATTTTGTTTGCACTGAGATTGTGACAGAGGAGGCACTTAGCACAAGAATCATGATACTCTCAAACTACATCAAAGTGAGAGAACATACTGTGATTATGTGGGGAATTTCATTATGATACATTATTTTAGCTAATGGAACACCTCCAAAGGCTTCATAACTACAATGCAATGACAGCCATTAAAGCAGCCCTAACAAACACAGCCATCCACAGGCTCACAGACACATGGAACGGACTTTCAAAAAGGCAGAAAAAGTAAAAACAGTTTTATTATCATGATGACAATAAAGTTTTGCTTTTCAGAAAATTTGATGAGTTATCTGACATCCTATGCCTTGTTAGCAATGCTAATGGTATACTGGATGATATGGTTCGATTCTCTACCACCAATGTACCTTGTGTGCCTTATCTTGGGTGGCTACTGCATATAATTGCTAGATGGCAAACGTACAATAAATTGGTCAAGAAGAGTGGAAAGTCACATAGTTTGGCAATAGTAGTACCGGCAATAACTGTAGCTAGCAACAAAAACGAGGATAGTGGGGTTGCATATGCAACACTAAGTGAAGAAACCACATTATCTAATGGCAAAGGAGCTACTGGTGAGATTGATAAAGAATTACCAGATGAAGAGGAGGTGGCAATAGATGATGAAGAGGACAAAGAAGACCAAGATACAGCCAATAGTGAGACTACAAAAGACAAAAGAGCTAAGGATGAACTGGAAGGAACAAAAGAAGTGGCTTTATCATCTGCAGGAGCTGAAAGTATAACAAAAAGTGAAACTGAAATTGAAACTGCAAGACCAAAATTAGAGAGTAATGATGAATCAAATACTGCAGAATCATCTCGCAGAGAACTAATGCTGGATGAAATGGATACTAAAACAATGTTAGATCCAGATGAATTTGTTCCTATCACTGAAGCAGGTGAGCTATCAGCAGTATTATAATAACTATAGAGTATCATCATTTTTATCATAGATATAATGGAGTCACTGAGTGTGACACGTGAAAGGTTTCCAGTGAGAAATGAAGCCTCTGTACTGGTCATGTTTCAAGACTTTCAAAGAAATTGTCTGTTGTATGATGAAAAAAATCTTGTCAGGCAACCAGAAATGGATGCAGTGTTCAATAACACAACAATTTTGAATGATGAACAGCTCCTCTTGATATCTTACAAGTGCAAACCTAAAAATGATAGAGTTCCATGAACTCTTCAATTTCTTTTGTTTTCTCACTCAGTGTTATGATTTTAAAATCTAATAATAAGAATTAATAATAATAATAATCAATTTTGAGTGATACTGCACTGCAATGTCAATATAATCAGATGACAAAACACAAAATTAGTACAGGGACAAAAAAATTACAATCAATAGTAATAATAATGATCAATACTTCTGCATTTTCAAGACAGAGACTGAATAATAATAATAATAGCAACTATTATAGATTAAAATATTTATTCTATTTTTTGGAAAATCTTTTCGAAGAGTCAGTCAACTTTCTGATCCACTGTGATCTAGTTGAAGTTCTAAAAGTCATTAATGTGAACACTCTCCTGTTAGTGGTAAGCTAGAAAATAAAACAGAAATAATAATAATAATAATAATAATAATAATAATAATAATAATAATAATAATAATACAATCAAAAGTGAGTGGAGCAGTAAAATTAATGAATGAATGAATAGCACTTTACCTTAAAAAAATAACCAACTTGACCAGACTTAAGAATAGTCGAAGGTACTACACAAAACACAAATAATGTTAACAATAAATTCTTAGAATAAAAATTATTAGTACACTGGTATAGCCAAGAGTAATGCTCATTCACTTACCAACAATAGGGTCACATTCTTCAACTTTACTGATTGCCTCAAGTGCTATAGTACCACAGAGTTTAGCTCCTCTCTTATCGCTCTCATAATATGCCAACTATTATTGTATACTAATAATACTGACCAATCAGATTGCTTCACTCACATTTCCCTTCTCAAGGTTGAGCACAAAGTATCTTTCTTTCCAGTTCTTGACCACGCCTCCTTTTTTAAACAAGAATCCCTCAAGTTCAATCTGTCCGTCTACCTTCTGTCTACCGATAATCTTCTCCTTCATGCTGCCTATTGTACTTGATCTTGCACGAATCTAAAATTAAAAAAATATATATAATAAAATAATGTTATTTTCAAAAACAATTATTGTTATTAATGATACGTACATGTGTATCAGGAATAGGTGTGGTCAGCTGTTGTCTCCCTCCGCCAATGAGACTGAGGGTCCCGCAATTCGAGGGCATGTGTCGCTTGCAGTAATTGTGACATGTACCGGAACAATTCTTACACTTGAATGCTGTAGCAGAGAGATAGAGAACGTACACGTACAATCAAAAATAAGAATCGAGATGTAACACACATCACTCTCTCTACGCATTAATGTGCCATCAGAAAATGATAATAATCATCACTGATGTTTTATAAAGTATGGGTCATTGTGCATGTGCATTACCGTCTTTATCTCTGATGATGTGGTGACAGTATGAGCACTCGTACTGTGTAGAGCCAACTTTAAAGGATTGGAAACTATGGGGCTCATTGTACTTCTTCTCCAGCTCCATCGACAGTTTACCCTACAAGAAAAGAAAGGGAAAGAGATATAGGAAGAAATATAAAAGAAAATGTACGAACAATGTACTTGAGCATCATCAAAAAAACTTAGACTATTTTACTAACTTTAACTAAAACGGCAAGTGAGGTTCTCTTATGCATTGTTTGGTTCTTGACTTTGTCGTTATGAGTCAGAGTCCCTTCCATATGAGTGAGTGTTCCTTCGGGGTTAAAATATGAGGCCTCCACATTGAAACGTGATGTCTAAAAATAAAACAATTATAAAAGTCAGTATAAATTCAGTAGGAAAATACTTAAAGGTTGCTTACCACAGCATTTTGGAGTGATTCAAAGTTATTCTTTCTCTCTTCTTCCTCTTGGGCATGTAGATCTAAAATTCCATTCCACATCTCATGCCACGTGACTAAATCCGAACCAGTGGCTTTAGCAATTGTATTCCATAAACCTAAAATGTAATGATAAGAAGAAGCATAAATAAATAAATTAATTAATTAATAAATGACTAAAAAACTAAACCTAAAATGGGAAGAAAAGATAGTCATATAAAAATGCATTACATATATCACAAATATAAAGAACAAAACTGTTACTTATATTCTATTCTTATTTTTGTTATTTATCATTGGATGTACCTGTACATTGTTTGAGTAGGTCTGTTATTTCATTAGATACTTCTGGTGGTGGGTCAATAGGTAACCCAATCTCCACCAAAGAGCTGTCCCAAGCAAACACGTCATGATGAAGGTCACTGTACGTCAGGTGACCCTCAGATATCAACTCAATATCATAAGGAGGGAACCTTGATATGAGGTCCTCGGTGTAGAACACCCATATATCAAGATTAGCCTGATAGGAATGAGGGCGGAGCATTTCCTACGTAAGAAGAGAAGCTATACATCACGTGACTTTGAATATGCACTACAATGTAAATGTATGTGCATGTGCAGTTCTATAAATAGTAACATCATTTGTTCCTACTATTATTCTATAAATAGTAACATTATTTGTTCCTACTGTTATTCTATAAATAGTAACATTATTTGTTCCTACTGTTATTCTATAAATAGTAAAATTATTTGTTCCTACTGTTATTCTATAAATAGTAACACTATTTGTTTCTATTGCTATTCTATAAATAGTAACACTAGTGCTTAATTGTCATGTGACTCACAGTTTCCTCCTCTTCTTTCGGCTGCTGATAGTGAAAGTTATAAAACATCATTGAGAGTCCCCAGAGTTGTTCAATATACTCCCAGAATGAGGCATTACGGCTCTGATGAGCCTGAATCACCATACATTGTAGATGGGCGGGGCCTGTATAACAAGGAAAATGTCAATCATTGAAATAAATTTAGAGAAAGGATTGAATACGTGAGAAAGGCTTAAAGTTCAAAACTTAGAACTACATGTACATGTATGCAAACTTTTTTAAAACTTTAAAAAATATGAACACTTGTTTCATGTATATGTCAATTAATGTCATAGCTACTTTTAACAAGAGGAAGTGAGAGGAAGTGGATTATACATTACCTGTATGGCAGCCAGTTCTGGGCACATCTCTCCTTTTCAGAGTTCATTGTGAATGTGTGGAAACGATTGGAAAAGGAGTGATATGCCAACGTTCTCAGAAAGAAATCATTAAATTCAAAAGAGAGAGGGAATTGCCTTTGTATCTATAGAAACAGAAAGAGAGAGAAGGAAGGAATAGGAATAATCTGTCTAGCTATTAACATCAACTTTAAAATCCAATTTTGATCTCAACCAGCTAAAACATAAGTACATGTACATGTATATTTTATGAATGTACATGGCTATTTTTTTGGGCTATTATAATATACCATTAAATAAATAAATAAATTACAGAAATAATAATGTAATATACATGTGAGTATGTGTGTGGCATAGCCTCTGCTTTAAAAAATGCTCATAACTCGAAAAAAATTTGTCGGAATCAGCTCAAACTTTCTACACAGCATAAGGACATCAATATGCATCAGAAAATGTAATAAAAATTAGGGGTGATTTTGGAGCCATTTTTTGGAAAAAACCATGGACTATAGCCTTGGGTATTTTTCAAAATTTTGGTGTTTTCTTAAAATGACCATAACTTGAAAAATTGAAGTCGGAATCAGCTTAAAATTTCTACACAGCATAAGGACATCAATATGTATCAGAAAATGTAATAAAAATTTGGGGTGATTTTGGAGCCATTTTTTGGAAAAAACCATGTGATGACCCAATTTAAATGGGCTATAGCCTTGGGTATTTTTCAGATTTTTGCCATTTTCTTAAAATGGCCGTAACTTGAAGAATTGAAGTCGGAATTAGCTCAAACTTTCTACACAGCATAAGGACATCAATATGCATCAGAAAATGTAATAAAAATTTGGGGTCATTTTTTAGCCATTTTTTGAAAAAACCATGGACTATAGCCTTGGATATTTTTCAGATTTTTGACGATTTCTTAAAATGGCCGTAACTTTAAAAATTGAAGTCGAAATCAACTCAAACTTTCTACACAGCATAAGGACATCAATATGCATCAGAAAATGTAATAAAAATTTGGGGTGGTTTTGGAGCCATTTTTTGGAAAAAAACCATGGGCTATAGCATTGGGTATTTTACAGAATTTTGCCGTTTTCTTAAAATGGCTGTAACTTGAAAAAATGAAGTCGGAATCAGCTCAAACTTTCTACACAGCATAAGGACATCAATATGCATCAGAAAATTTAATAAAAATTGGGGGGGGGGTAATTTTGGAGCCATTTTTTGAAAAAAACCATGGGCTATAGTCCATGCTTTTCTTTAAAATTGGCCCATTTTAAAATTGCTCATAACTTTAAAAATATTTGTTGGAATCAGCTCAAACTTTTATAAACATTAATATGCATCAGAATTTTATAAAATAATATGTAGACTTTATGTCATACTTTGTGATATGCATACACATACATGTACAGTAACAAGTATAATAGTGTAGCTATGAGATTATACCTGATGGACACAATCAAGGAACTGCAGAAATACAGGAGATATGGCTCCACTGGAGCTCTGAATCTGACAGCTCCTGTCAGTGAATGGGTGACCCAATGCCAGCCATTCCTTCTCAATGAGGGCACAGAAACCTTTCATGGTTCTGTAATAAGGATCCATCAGCAACTGGGCAAGAGATACAACCTGCAGAGAAGAGATAGAAAGAGCAAAAAGAAAGAGCATAAAAACTTTAAAAATTATTATTGAGACTAACTTGTGCAGTGGCATCCCAACCATCCTCCAGTCCAACTAGTACAGAAGAACCCTGTGCGTCCATAAGATCAGCAACAGCTCCAGATAACTGAAGTAATGAACTCAATTGGTTTATCCAGTCGCTGTCCTCAACTAGTGAATAGAACTTGCTCTGATGCGTGGTAGAGGAAGAGGCGCCACTGGGGCAGCAGGCACGCATCAGCTTAGTGAAACTATTACCAATATCAACATGACTTGATATCTAATGAGAAATAAATACAAAATGATGTAAAGGGTAGCCCTAAAGTCTATTAAATGTACCGCAAAAAATCTAATATTCATGGTACATGTACATACATGTAATTGTAAAAATACACAACTACATAAATACAGTAAAATTATAAAATCAAATCTTTTAGCCTAATACACATGTAGTTGACACATTTCTCACACACTTTCTCTCTCATACCTCTACAGGCAGGAGTGTACAGTTGGGATATATATCAGTAGGTACATTAACAAGTGAGCTCTTCTCTCCTATTACATAGAGTCCCAATAGTTTCCAGTCTTTAATCTCTTCCTGGAGTGCATCCATAACGACCCAATCCCGTGGGTTAGTGGGTATTGAAGCAAAGTTAACAAGAGCACTCCTTCTCTTTAGTTTCTTGCTGCCCTTCCCACCTGATCCTTCTCTAAAGGAAGGCAGAGGATAGAGCTCATCAGTCTCCATTAGCTCATCCCCTCCTCCAAGATCAGGTGAGTCAAATGGTATACTTACATCATCACTCCCTCCCTCCCTATCTCCTCTGTAAAGCTCCTCCTCTTCAACACTGTCCCGATACAGTGATGGTATACTGGTCAGTGGCATTAGGGAAACTGGTTCGTCAGATTGATTCCTTACAGATGAGAGAGTAAGAGGCTGTCCTGAGTCAGCTCCATCTTCGTGATATGAAACACTATACCGGAAGCTGCCACTCTCCCAGTCTAAGATTTGAGACGGATCAGAACTATCCAAAGAGGCATAGAGTGAGTTCCTATACCGACCCTCTCTCCCTCCCCCTCCTCCTCCTGTGGGCGGCTCAAAGTTATTACTACTGGTGCTCATTCTTCTCTTAGGCACTGGGGAGTGAGGTGATTGTGGTACAGGTGAGTGTGGGGAGGGTGACTGAGGTGACTGTGGGGGTAATGCTGCCAGTAGTAAAGAAGAGGTGGACGGGTCGGACTCGTGATCAAACCTCAGGCTAGTTGGAGGCATAGAGACGTCGTGTGAGAAACTGCCGGACCAGTAGGTAACATCTTCACCTTCAAAGATAAAATAATAATAGTACAAGTTCATATATACACACAAAGCCACAGCATATAAAGTGATTGTACTATAATGTACTGTGGAACCTCTACAATAAGGATTGACACCATTTTATACAAAAACACTTCATAAATGAAATTTCCTATACAAAGTCTTTAAAAAGCATTTCTAAACTGAGGACAGCTCTGTATTAATGACAAGTAGTGTTGGTACCAATGGTGTCCTTAATAAAGAGGTTACACTATATACATGTACATGTACATATGTACCTTCCCCTCTATCCAATACTTTAGGACAGGAGCTGACAGTGACATTAATAAAGGACTCAATATCTGCACTTTGAATGCCTAACAGGTCAGAGTCTGATATCTTCTCAGAGCTGCCATGTTTAGTAAGAATGACTCTCCGGCTCTTCCCCTGTGACACAGGGTTCTTAAAGGAGGCGGAGCGAAGGAGGATTGCTTTGGTACGGGGGTGTTTCCAGGTTACTATGGGGACCCGCCCCTGCTGGAAGTGAGGGAGTATCCTTGTAATGGACTCATCGCTGAATTTATCAGGAACAACCCAAACAGCTGGATAACTGGGGGAAGAGGAATGAAATGGTTATTACATATACATGTAATATATACACATTATTTCTCTTACGTTTCACACAAAGTGAATGATTTATTAATAGTACTCAATCTCCACTGCCCCCTGCTCTTAGACACACTAAAATTCAAACTCCCCAGACCCAGTCTATCATACTCGATACAGTAAGGGGACTGGGACAGATCAGAGAGTAACTTGATCTGTGTCGGGGCCACGCCTTGCTTTGTGATGCTTAATTCTAATTCTTGTGAGGAGACTCTTGTCCTCCCTCTTTGTTTCTGAGTCTCCTTTAGCTCTGGGCCACTCTCGGGAACAACTTGGAACTTGCTCTGATCGTGTACCCCTATGGTTATTGATAGAGGGTATCGTAACTCGTTTAGCTTCGAGAGGAGTTTTTTGACATCAGCAAGACTTGAGTCCTCTTCAAAACCTAATCTTATCAACTAAACGAGAGAGAGAGAAATCATTTAGAGTAAAAAAATAAATTAACAGCTACTAACTAGGGCAATACAGAACTAATAATGGGAGACATACATGTACATTAAAAGTGTACATGCAACTATAATGTACATGTACATGTATATGTACATGTATATGGATACATGTAACTCACTTCTCCTGTTAGTGATCTTAGCTGAAGTCCTTGTAAAGTGACATATCCTTCACTGAGCCCTGACGGAATGTGTGAGAGCTCCTTCATTCGATATATTGATGATATAGGCATGCTTCTAGTTACTAGTACATTAGGATCAACTGATGAGAGAGTAGGAGAGAAATAGTAACAAGTAATTGTATAGAATCTTTAGAATTAATGTGCCACAAAAATATGCTTGCAATGCAGGTGTACTTAATGCATAATGAACCATGCATGTATTAACGTAATGTATGTTTACAATGCATGCATGCAAATTAATGTATTATAAGTATATTAGAATAAAGAGTGGGTGATTTTACCTTCAGGGTCCCAGGGAGACCCCAGGAACACAATGCGATAGCTAGTAAGGTACACGTGACCGTGAGCTGGTACAAGACGTCCTCCGGTGTCTCTGCCGTCACGTAGCAAGAACGAACGAATACCCTCTATTATCATCCTCTCCCCTGACAGCTTGGGTAGGGGAGCCACCCTCGTCTATATGTATACATGTACAGTGAATTGTTAATATGAATAGTGCCTATACTGTACCTTTGCAGTTGATGATTTCTTTAAGGCACTTCTTAGACTCTCCAGCGAATTAAAATGTACTTCAATGAGAGCTAAGAGAAAAGGAGAGAGGAAAGAAAGGATGAGAAATAAAATGGCATATTCTTAAACACATTACACTACTAAATGTACTAATAGAAAGTAAAAATTATAAAAAATTGTAATTATGTGTAACAGTGTATAATAGCTAATTTATACTCACGCTCCACTTGGTCCATTATGGTTGATTGCTTCCTGTATGTCAAGTGAAGGTCAGTGTCTACCTCTGACATAAATTTGTCAATGAACTTCTTCAGATCATCAGAAAACTGCTTCATCTCAGCCTCACCTGAAAACAAAAATCATTTGATGAAAAATAATATATAAAATAAACATTTTAAAATGTGCAGTAAAGCTAAAAATAGAACAATCTTCTAGCCCACCTCCCATAAAATCAACAGGAGTTCTGATGTTAATGAGACGACTGATGAATAATATAACTTGATTCCTTATAGCATTCTCTTCTTGTAGTGAAAAGTTCTCTTTCTCACTGTTATCCAATGAAGGCCAAACACACAACTAAAATAAAATAAAAAAGAAAGAGAAAGAGAGAGAGAGAGAGAGAGGAGATAAAATAAAACACAACATATACATGTGCATTTATATGAGCCAAATTTTGTTTTTTATATAAACACAAAATCTCACAATCCCTCCTCACCCTCTTAGCCAGATGATGGAGTGCCTCATAAGAAGTAACTGGTTTAGAATCAGGCGGGAGGACACCCTCAGAAGCACCTGGTAGAGTAGTACATGCTCTTATCCTCATCCTTGCACTCTTGCTCATGACTACGTTCCTTGCTGTGTTACGGGCACGAGAAGGAGACACACTCCTCACCCTCTGCCGGTGTCTAAGGGTCACCTCACCTAGTGACATCTCTACATTATCAAACTCATCTTCTCTCTCACCAGATACATCAAGGTCTTCATCTTCCTCTGAAAGAGAGAGAGAGAGATAAAGAAGAAATAAATAAGAGCAAAGATTAATGAACAAGTACTAGTAATGCAAGGTAGTGTGATACTTTACCTTCAATAGACTTTGGTTTTTCTTTCTTGAAAGGTACGTCAGCGTAGAGCCTGACCAGTTCAGCTTGTATTGCACTGTACAATGAATGACACCAAAACCTCGTGCTCTGCCAGAGTCTGTGTGACTGTATGCAGGAGTACAGATACTGATTGACTCCTGGTTGTATCTCCTAACAGAAAAAAGAGGAGGAGAAAACAACAATTAAACTATCTTATGTCTTTCTTTCTTCACTCCTTCCCCTCTCTCTCTCCCTCCTTCTCTCTCTCTTTCTCTCCATCTTCTCTCCGTCTCTCTCTCTCTTTTTCTCTCTCTTTGTCTCCACTGACCTGATAAAAGACAGATGTCAATGGTAGTATCTGCATTGCTATCTTCTCATCAACAAGTGCACAATTAACCAAACGGACCATCACCTCAAACTGATCCGGTGAGAGGTAGGCCCCGTTCCTCATCAACTTATTCACGAGCTCCGGAATAAAAATAGGCGTGGTCACTCTCTGACGAAGGGACATGGTAACGGAGGGAAAGTATTTCCGAGCCTCGAGGATCCGAGAGCTGAAGAGAGCATCAAGAAACTTGTGGAGTAGCTCAACGTCTCTCATTAGGGAGTTAGAGACTCGCCTGTGAGTTGAGAGCATTGGAATGAAATCCTGCTCAGTCAAAGGGACATTACTAGCCGAGAGAGAAGGAAGAGAAAAATAAAGAAAGATGAATAATGTACATGTACATATATGTAGCTGGTAATTTTGAAGATGTAAACTTCTGGCAAATTTCGTGGCTGTGTTCCATTAAGCATGCACATAATGGCTTAAAATGTAACGGTTTTATATGACAAATGGTTATAAAAACTTTCCTAACTATACGATAATCTTTTAACAAAAAATGCTAATACAATGTACATGGTCATTGGCAAGTAGTGTTTCATTTAAAGTCTTACCTCATTGCATCCTCCATTTTAGCTTCTTCAGCTCCTTTCCACCTCAACTCAAGATCAGCGCACTGCTTGGTAATGCTCTCCTCGTCAAGATATGGAAACCTCTTGATTGGTATGTTATTCTCAAGTGGGAGGGACTTGGTCTCTGATTTAAACACGCCACCAAACTGAACAGTAGGGGGACACTGTGTGTGAGAGAGAATGAGAGTGAGTGGCAGCTTATGTACATGTACAATGTACATGTAGTACATTAAAACATAAATAATATACGTACATGTATATGCACACTGGAGAAATGTCTCCTGGGAATTTTGATGAAATACCAGGTATATTGTACTATGCATGTTTTTGTACATGGTCTTGGGCTAAGTTTTGGGAAACTTTAAAAATTCATATAAAATCCAATTTTGATCAGAATGAACTCAAACTTTCTACACATCATAAAAATATGTATATGTATCAGGAAAAATTATTAAAATGTAAAAATCTCACCTCGCCATTTCTGACAAAATTTGGCCAACGACCCTGTACTATAGTACAGGGTCTTTGGCCCGATTTTGGAGCAATTTTTAAAAATTCATATAAAATCCAAATTTGATCGGAATGAGCTAAAACTTTCTACACATCATAAGAACATGTATATGTATCAGGAAAAATTACAAAACTGTAAAAATCTCACCTCGCCATTTTTAATAAAATTTGGTCAATGACCCTGTACTATAGTACAGGGTCTTTGGCTCAATTTTTAAGCAACTTTAAAAATTTATGAAAAACTAATTTTCATCACAAACTTTCTACACACCATATGAACATGTGACATAGATGTATTATAAAACCATATAAAATAGAAATTCTCTCTTTGTCTTTTGATGAAATATCATGTACTACATGAATATACATCAGTATCATCCCATGTAATGTACACATGTACATTGGGTATGGGTAGTTTTCTAAAAATTCAATTTTTACTTGTTTTTATTTCACTACTTAAGTGCGTGGGCGTGTGTGTTTTTGCGTATTACCAGTTTGGTCAGTTTGTCTGTGAGGTCACTAATGGCCGACTGACTGAAGAGAGAAGATATTGAGATAGGAGAAGTCTGAGACATGAAATCCTTCACAAGCTAAAGGAAGAGAGAGAGAGAGAGAGAGAGAGAGAGAGAGAGAGAGAGAGAGAGAGAGAGAGAGAGAGAGAGAGAGAAAGAGAGAGATGGTAAAGAAAAAGAATAACAATTACAACTGAACAGCATTTTTACAATAATTACATCATCAAACAAGTCACAAAGTCTATAAGGAAGAACTCTCATATTTCGAGTGAAATTAATAAAACCAATTGTCTCCGTTACCTAAAAATAAAAATATTAAATCCACCACCTCCTTACATCTCTCTCTCCTCCTCCCTCACTGTATTAATGAATGCCTTCCAGACATCACTATCATCCCCACTACAGAACTGGGCAATGTAGCTCTCCTTGTCAAAATGAAACTTTGGCTCAGGATGAAATCTAACAACCGTCACATGATGCTGGTAAGTGCCAAGTAGATACAGGAACACGTTTATGAAAACAGACCGCACAGCTTTATCCTAATGCATTAGGAAGTAATAATAATAATAATAACAACAGCAAATACTGTAGATACACAATGTACATAGTATACTGTGTACATATATGTATTGTACATGTACATAGATAGAGGGTGAGGTGAATTGATATACAGTACCTGATAATAGATGCTTCTCGGCTTATTGACAGGAGCTATTAATAGATCCTTATGCTCCCATGAAGGATCAACAATCTAACATTATAATATAATAATAATAATAATATTATTATTATTATAGTAATTACTAGAAGGGGCTTGGTAATGAAAATACCAGCAGTAATTAAATAAGTATATAATATTTACTTTAATGAGAGCAGTTTTGACTGGAGTGAGCAGATCTGAAGGTATAATAGGTAGCTCAACCGTTTCGCCAAACCTAATCTCCCCACTGTCAAGATCAACTAGTGTGACATCTAGTGGCTTGAGAGAAAAAAGGAGACACAGTTTACACACACTCTTAACAAGAAAGTGAAAATGATTACAAATCCATACAACATGCACAAGAATACACATACCAGTATACCCACATATGGACACTATGCATATACATGTACATATACATACATGTATACATTATAGATGTAATGGGGTTTTATGCTACAAAATGATGAGTGCTTGGTAGCTTAATGAGATGCTTCTGATTCACCAATTATTACTCACAATGAACATGTACATATATATGTATTATAGAGATATACAACAATTTACAGTGTTACTGTATTAGATGTACCTCTTCATCCAGTTCTACTAGTAATGAGCGATGAAGTCCCATTAAGAATGGGGTAATGCAGTGAAGGTATTCAACAAAACCACTTGGAATCAGGAGACAAGAGAAATGACTAAAATATAAGATAAAAGAGGAGAGAGAGAAGGTGAAACCGTGAATAAGAAAGAGGTTGTGGTACAAAAGTTGAAAAGTCACAATTGAAAAGGGAGTAGTGTATTTATACTCACTCAATCCCAATTGGATACATCAATGACACAACACTGATAATGGCTGAAGTGATGGCAGTGATACTAGAAGAAATAAACAGCAACTTCCCATCAACCAAGATCAATGAAAATAACTGTAACAGGCCATGGACACCTAATTAGAATAAAGGAAACAAGAGAGAGGCAGAAGAGAAACAATAAGATTCAAAAAAGGAAATTATATATAAACAATAATTACAAATACTAATATGTTTATTCCAATCCTTACCAATAGCTTTCAACAGTCTATAAGTATTATCTGAAGTATACGGTATTGTCTCCATTATATTCAATGGCACTAAAGTTAGTTCCTTGAGTGGACCAAAGCTACGCTTCACGAGTGGTTTCCCTGGCAAAGGGAACCGAAGGTCAATGAGTAATTCGGATATTAGCTCCTCCATTGTAGTAGAGTGAGGAGAGACAGGAAGCTGTGAAGATGAAAACTTGTCTAGTGTGTCGCCCATCACATGGTGAATGTATATACTTTTTAATAGAACCTGAGAGAGAGAGAAAGAGGATAGAAAGAAGTGCATAATCAAATAGATGTACATTTGCATATAATGTACACGTACATGAAAGTACATGTACTTACACATTATACACATACATGTACATGTACATTATTATCACTATTACCTGTAATGCGTCATAAATTGGATATTTAGCTACTAGACATAATGAGAGTGGTTCTGATAGTTCCTCTGCTTCTATTATCCCTCCAAGAGTATAGTGAGGCTCATTCTCTTCGTCTATGCTAATAGTAATGGAGGACATGCTTATGGTTGAGGAGTCGTGCCCGTTCTCTTCTTCTTTCTTTTTGAACGCTTTCCGTCTCCTGTCACTAAACTGTGAGGATTCACCAGTATCTGATGGAACAATGAAATATTATCATTAAAATGAAATAGAGAGAGAGAGAGAGAGATGGTGAAAGAAGGAGGATGCTTCGGGTATAGCTTTCATAATAAGACAATGAAGTTGCAAGCTGATATCAATAGATGAATAAAGATACATAACAGTATAATTATGTTTGTGCATGATCATCATTTTGCAGCTACATCAAAAACCCATTACATAAATCAATAGACAAAGTTAAGGTACTTGTAATAGAATTCAGCAGATGCTTCATACTACACTAACACTGTGTGTAATCGAATACATTTATGTAATTATAATGATTATGAACATGGGCTAATGTACATGTACATGCATACATGAAGCAAGTGCCAAAATTTTAACGTGTTAGCAACTCACTTCTCCTTAATGAGCTTCCTCTCTCCTGCTGTTCTCTTTGCTTCCGTCTGGCAGCCATCTTGAGGCTCGGCTGATGGAAATTGAGAGAGCAGCAATAAAAATGGCTCCCGAGTTCGCTCGTGAGGATAAAGTTATTGAAGGAGGGAGGAGGAGGGTGGCTGGTTAGACACCATCCTTGCGAACGACAAAACTAAGAAAGAAAATAAAATATATAACATGATAGATGTGTCATTTAAAAGGTGTGCTCTCTCTTACCAATTCAATGCCAGCAGGTAGAGATCCACTTGCTCTGTTCTCTGTTGGAAATCTCTGGCATACTCTAGGCTTCACGTCGACTTTAGTAACCATATCATCCAGCACATCTACAAAGAAACAGAATAGTATCATGTCTTTTTTCATCAAGCACAAAATGGCTGACTCCAGTGATGTTGCTTACTCTGCGAGGGTATCTCTGGAGTGGAGATGACCTCTCCAGGGCCGACTATGACCAGATACTCCACCAGTCGCTGGGACATGTCAGCGAAAAGGAGAGAGAAAGGGAGAAGAAGAGGGGAAGACCTTAAACTAACTTTACTCTATTTTCATCAGCTCCTCCTCCACAAATCAGTTAATTAATAGTTAGTAATTTCAATCTAATTAAAAATAATTTTATTATTAGTTGGAGAAATAATAATATTATAAAAAGCAAAAACCAATTGCAAAATACAAAAATAATATTAATAATTACATGTATAATTGTATGCAATGCATATTATTTTAAATACTCCCTAGCTCTATCCGATGAAAGAAATGTTTTCACATTAGATTTTGCTTTTCCAAGCTCATCAGGATAATCTTCACAAACTTGCAGAATATTTCTCCAGGTCACATTTTTATCAGAGTCTAACCATCTCTGGAATACTAGTATGAGATTATTAGTAGTTGACTGTGGATTGGGTAACAGGTCATTGACTTTAACACCCAGTGCAATCCCAATAATCATACAATGAACAGCAGAACTTTGAAATAATCTAACAAGATCCTTTATTTGTGGCTCCTTGTCCAACACTGTATAAATGAAATAATAAAATAACAATAATAATTAATTTTAATGCAGGTATTAAATAAATATGGATGAAAACTAATTTGGAGCAAAATTAGTGGATTGCATGATTACATGCATACTTGCACAAAATAAAGAGTTTTCCTTTTCAATAGTTGTTCTTGTTTCTGTAGCTCCATTATTACCAGATATTTTAGATCTCTTGCTAGTTGATGAACCATCCTGATGTTCATTTTGTTTTCTTTTACTATCTTCATCTGCAGAGATGATAACAATAATAGTAACAATAATTAAAAATTACCAGAGAATTGTCCAGTTTCTATTTTTTGTGGTTTATTTCTAGTTGAACTTTTACTGTATTCTTCAAGAGAGGGAGAAGAATCAAGTATTAAGACATCATGATCATCACCTGGGATTTGCATTAAAGTGGATGGTTTTTTCAATTCAGTAGGCTCAGATTCAGAACAGCTGTCTTCTTCTCTCTGTCTCTTGCATCCTCTATTTTTATTTTTAAAAATATCACTACCAGAGGACTGCTGTTCCTCAAAAGTGCTTTTGGTGCTGTCATGAGAACCTTCAGAGTCTATCTGAAATCTCTTGCTGGCAGACATATCTTCTATAAATTTGTAATAAAATTATAATAATTAATTAATGTTGATGTGTGTACCTTGTGCTTCTCTTGGTCTTTTATTTAGTAAAGAGGAGCTTTTACTATAATCCTGTGTGCTTTCTGTGTACATAATAATGTCATTGGACAAAGACATTTTAGGAATTTGGGATTCTACAAAATTATAATTTGTTTTAATACAAACACAAAAATTGATTAATTTACCAGACTGAGTTTGAAGTGGTATTTTGTTGCTTGTATTTTGTACTATACTATTCAATTGAACAACCTATAACCATATAATGTAAACAACAATTAAAAACTTCTCAATTACCATTTTAGACCAGTATAAATGTTTCTCATCAAGTTGCATTACATTACCATTAGTACACTGAGCTCCTTCTGAGAAATACTCTATTACAGCAGGATGAGGTACTCCAGTGCATGTACATGGTACTCCAAACATATGTTTTGACTTGTAAGTGTAATGGAGTGATTGTGTCACTGTGACTAGTCCTTTGTGTAATGATGATAATACTTTATCACAAAGATCATTGAGTGAAGGACTCATTTTTTGTTGAACCCACACTTCAAGATAAGTAGCACGACTGATTAAAGTAACAGTATCATAGTATTGACCAACTTGAAAGGTAATCTTGTTACGATATTGATCATTACCAGTTAACTTCCATTCCAATACTTGGTCTGTCTTCTGATCAAGAAGATATACTACTAGACAACAGAATACACCAACAGGAGTATACCCACACTCAAAACATATCAATAAAGGAGCTGGACTAACTGACCCATCTCTCTCCTCTCTTTCTACACCTGCTGGTTTTAGAGCACAAGGCATAAAGTAATATTTGACAGTTTTTTTATCAACTTTAGCTTTCATGGGACCAGCTACAATATAAAGATGCTTCAGTAGTGCTACTAGTCTTTTTGTATTAAGAGGATCACCTTTCTCTCTTGATGAAATCTCATCTAGTTGTAACTCCGAAAAGCGTCCATTTTTACGAAACTCTCTCTCCACAGCAGCACTTTTTAACTGTTCAAAAGTGAAGCATGTTGTGATGAGATTAGTGATACGATCAAACACCAATTGAAGGTCCGTGATAATAACATCCTTCAGACCTGCTACATCAGGATAATGCATGATGATACCCACTGTGTGATGTAAATACCATAATACCTTTTTAAACTCTTTTTTATCCTTGATACCACACTCTTGGGCTAACTTGAAGCATGTATCATATTTGAAAAGTTTTTTTTTACTTTTTCTTAATTTTAAACTAAGGGTACACCAAGATGCTGGTATTCTCAATTCCTGAAAATTTTTAGACATAGCTTTATGAAGGAAAGAACGAAGGTGTTCTACTTCTTCTTTATCTTTTGTTGCATCAAGTGGAAAAATGATTTGCTCTGATTGAGAGAACTGTATAAGATCAGAGTCAAACAAGTGAGAACTGTTTTCTATCTTGGTTCTCAGTTGCTGGTTGACTTCACTCACTTTATTCTCATCCACTTGGTCTCTGTGTGTAGCAATAAGGAAGGCAGCAGGTTCTGACTTATCTTCAATAGGTACATGTTTTTCATCAAAACTCCATCCAATAGTGTTTTGTCTTAAACAAGCTATGCTTGCTAGTGAACGGAATATCACTTCTTCATGTGTCAACGAGGTTTCATAAGGTTTAGAATCACCAGTAGATGTTCGATAGGTTATTTCATAGCGGCTCCTTAAATCTTTAGTTAGTTTGAATACCAGTAGATTGATAGCTGGGCCAGTTATAAGAGCTGGTAACATTTCATGAAACTCAGGTTGTCCTCCAGTATCAATCATGTACAACATTGTGTGATTGTCATCTTTTGCTTCTTCAAACTTTTTCTCATACCCTTCTACTTTTTTATTGGGCAAATTCCATATGTAATTTGACAATCCTTCACTCCTACTATTATTTTGTACTTTAGTATCAGTTCTGATTTCTTTTTCTTCATGACTGATTATTTCTGGAGTTGTACTGGCTATGTTTTGATGATTTACGATTATGCTTTCTTTTTCGAAACCTGGATCATTTACCTCATGATTGTGCACTGACATTGGTGAAGATGCAGCAACACCTGTATTGTCCTCTTGATCAGTAGTGAGTGGTGGTTCTATTCCTTTTGGCGATTCTGTCTCCTCATTTAATGACAGAATAGGCTGAAGTGTACCAGTACTTTCATCTGATGTGTTGTTTGCTGGTAATAGTTTCTTAGTAATCAGTACAGCTTCTTCATCAAGTTCTTGTTCCTTCCATTCTGTAGTCACTACTGCATTGTGCTGTGATAGTTTACGAAATGAATTAACTTGTACAGCTGCATCAATTACACCAGTACTAAGAGAAGGACCTGTACCAAGAGGCTGATTGAGGAGTCTCTTCTTTAATGTACTCTTACCAGCACCAGGAGGACCTGTCAATATACACTTAACAACATGTACTAATGCTATACCACTGGATTGATGAATAAGAAGAAACCTTTTAATTTTTGAATCATCTGTTGTTACCTCCAGAGTATTATTACGTTTAAAATAATCGAGAATGTCAAGATGAGTTTTAAATTCATGACTACGAAGCTGCCTTCTATTTAAAATACCTTCAACTTCAATAACACTGGAGAGATCAAGTTGACTAGTCAGGATTTTAACAATTTCAGAATAACCCTTTCGATCTGCATAACGTATCATGTCATCCCTCCCTTTAGAATTAAAGTCACAGTGTTTCTCAAAAACAAGATGATGTACAATGTCAATATGCCCAGAAAAACATGCTTTGTGCAGTGGTCTGTATTTAGAACTGTTTTCAGCTTCAATATTACATTGTGGATGATTAGTGAGAGTTTTAACTACTTCAAAATGACCTTTTTCACATGCATAATGTAATGGTGTGCCATTCCTCCCTTTAGCATTAACATCACAGTCATTGTCAAACACAAGATGACGTACAATGTCTACATTCCCTGACGTACATGCTTTGTGTAGTGGTCTGTATTTGGATTTGTCTTCAGCTTCAGTACTACTACATTGCGGATGATCAGTTAAAATTTTAACAATTTCAAAATGACCCTTTTCACATGCATAATGTAATGGTGTATAACCATTCTTTACTTTAGCATTAACATCACAGTGTTTGTCAATCACTAGGTGATGTACAATGTCTATATTTCCTGATACACATGCTTTGTGTAATGGCCGGTGTTTAGAATTGTCTTCAGCTTCAATGTCACATTGCGGATGATTAGTCAGAATTTTTACGATTTCGAAATGACCACTTCTACATGCATGATGTAATGGTGTACAGCCATCTTTCCCTTTCACATTAACATTGCAGTGTTTGTCATTCACAAGTTGACGAACTAGCCCAATATCATTAGATTTAGACTTACAAGCAAAAATGAGTGATCCAATATCCTCGACCTTTGTTCTATTATACTCTATAAGAATACATAGTATAGTATATTAGGCTACATGGTATAAATATTGGTTGATGCCATATGAGAAGAAATTGCCAATATAAAATTTGATTAATTACATGTGGCTGCAAAATAGTATCTTTAACAAAATGGGCAAATTTCTTGTCTTTTTCACAGATAAGTGTTAAATTTTAATGTACATGTACATGTATATCATAAGATAAGGTCATCATCATAATGTACATCATAAATAAAATACATCATAAATACCACCATAAATACCAAATTGCTTGGCAACTGAACTTTCTACTTGATAGTGAGTTATATTCACTTAGATGTTCATATCATAAGTGACTATAAAAAGGAAGCTAGTTACTCTCTTATCTTTTTTTCCTTTAGTATAAATAACAGTATTAGGAGCAAAAAATCTCAGCCTGGCTTTGCACTCAAAATTAATTACATAATCAATTGTAGTAAAGGGGTTGATGAATGGTCAGCTATCTTTTTAAAATGTGGCCACACTCTTTCGTATTAATTGTTTAGTACAACAATATTAAATAGAAGAAATATAAGTGAAAAGTCATAAAACCACATCTAATCCCATGTACACACATAGTGACACATACACATAACAATGTCCACCGTACACTAAGCAATATAGGAAAAGATTAAGGCAACAAGATTAGGCCATTTACATATATATGTAGTTGACATAGGTTAAGGCTATTTTCAATGAATATTGTTATAATCGTTTAAAATATCCACCCACAACATTCCACACATTACAGATTGGAGCATATTAACAACTACAGAAAGAGCTAGCTCCACATAAATGATATGATGCTGTATGACCTTATGTTATAGTTTTGCCTCAGTAGAGCTATATGCAATGATCAGAGAAATTGCAAGCAAGGTGGTGTCATCGTCTTTGATCTGGCTTTAATTGTGGGTATACAGTTTATATATCACATAATTATTCATTGAGAATAGCCTTTGGGATCTCCCCTTATGAACTAAATGAACTTATTATCTAAAAACATACTTCTTGTAGGGCCAGGATTGAGTTCAACGTCACCAGATAACAGAATGAGAGAACATAAAAACAATCTGAACAGAGCACCAAGAATTAAGGAGGACCCAAGCACTAACAACAAGCCAGCACGATCTAAATGTCTTTCACTGGATCCTCCTACTTTAGTAGAAACGCTCGTCTTACAGCAGTTCCAGCCACCAATAACAGCTCTCCATTGACCAATATCTATCATGATGTACGATTCTTGCTAATTTCTAGCTAATTCTGAGTGTTAAGTTAGAGAAAACAAAAAACCGAGAAATGATGGAATCTGGCGCCAATTCGGCAATTCCGTCCAATAAGATCACAGATTATTATGATAAGATCATCATGACATCATCAGGGAACGCCTTCGCGCTTCTATTAATCATCATTCATCAGAGTTAATTAAATAATCTCATTAATCTGAGCTTGAGTAAAATTCAATTCTTTACACTTCACTAAAGTTAGTATGACCAGTTTTAGTGGCATGTTCTTGAGCATCTGATGATCCTTTGAGCAATTCATTACAAACTAAGCATCTTAATGAGAAATTAGATAAATCAGTAAACTGTCTAGCCTGAAAAATTAATAAATCGATTAATAAAACAACAAAAATAAATACTTGATTGCAGTCTCTTGCAATAGCTAGAGCACTTTCTGTGATTGATTCGTTTGACTGTGAGAATAGTCTTTGAAGTATTGTACCATTAGGAGATAAGAGAACCAGTGGATCATAATGTATGCCATCATAAATGAGGAAACCTTTTGAAGAATAACCTTTACCTATTCATGGAGGAAGATGGAGGGCAAAAGAAGTAAAAAGAGAAAGAAACTAAGATAGCAAAATTATGAAAATAATTAAATAAATACCAAATCTGTCCAAGCGTAGAGTTTGAATGTCAACGACAACAAGTTCGATTTCATAAAAATTGCTAAAGATAAGCAACTCAATGCCACCTAAATAATAGAATCACACTTAATTTTAAGATTTAAAAAAAATTAAAATGCATGATCATTTTAATGCTTTTTTTTTCCTAAAAATGAGCTCCTAAAATTTAATAAAATTTATGTTAATGATAAAAAATTAGTCTTTTTCATGCAATTGTTTGTGGCAGTTAGTTATCCTAAAAGTTAGTTAGTTTAGTTAGTTAGTTAGTTTTTAGTTCATCTCACCTCCCCATGATACATCCTTCAGTATCCATTGAACATATTCATCTCTAGGTCTCCCTAGCATTGCATCAGTGTATTTGTGTGGCTGTGATGCAATGACTGATGATACAATCTCACGGAGTTCATAGCTTGGTGTATTGCCATTGACAAGTATACTAAAATTTATAATAAAGAAGTTGTTGATTTAGGTACAGTACTATTTCATCAGTGTAATCACAAACATTTTCTGCAAACTTTAAAAACTATAAAATCCACAATACTTGTTTATTTGAAGATGATTATAACTTGAAAAATATTTGTCGGAGTCAGCTCAAACTTTCTACATAGTATAAGGACATTAATATGTATCAGAAAATGGAATAAAAATTTGGGGTGATTTCGGAGCCATTTTTTGAAAAAAACCATGGGCTATAGCCTTGGGTATTTTTCAGATTTTTGACAATTTCTTAAAATGGCCGTAACTTGAAAAATTGAAGTCGGAATGAGCTCAAACTTTCTACACAGCATAAGTACATTAATATGTATCAAAAAATATAATAAAAATTGGGGGTGATTTTGGAGCCATTTTTTTCGAAAAAACCATGAGCTATTTTTCAAAAATTGGTCTATTTTTTAAAATGTTCATAACTCGAAAAATATTTGTCGGAATCAGCTCAAACTTTCTACACAGCATAAGGACATCAATATGTATCAGAAAATGTAATAAAAATTTGGGATGATTTTGGAGCCATTTTTTGGAAAAAACCATGGGCTATTATAGCCTTGGGTATTTTTAGAAAATTGGCCTATTTTTAAAAATGCTCATAACTCAAAAAATATTTGTCAGAATTGGCTCAAACTTTCTACATAGCATAAGGACATCAATATGCATCAGAAAATGTAATAAAAACTTGGGGTGATTTCGGAGCTGTTTTTTTGAAAAAAAAAAACATTATACTAGTACTTAAAGAAGTATTGAACTATGTGGACTAACTTTACACTTGCAAAAAGACAGGAATTATCTGCCGGGACAACTCTAATTACAAGAAAAAAAATTGAAAAAAATCATCATAATCTTATTAATTTTCGATGTTATTATTTACTTTCGTTTTAGTTCTCCTATTGCTATAGATACTGATGATGATGATGAAGATGATTGTGGACCTGATGGTGTGTCATTACTAATAACTTTACTTTCTCCAGTAATTAATACATCTTTATCTGCTTCTAACTGAGCAACCTAGAAATATAAAAATAATGCACAAGCTAAATTAAAAATATATTACTACAACTAATCAATAAATGTAAGTTATTATTATTACTGGTTGTCGTTGTTTTTTTGGTCGGTGTCCTCTTGGTTGCTGAAGCTCTTGCAGAGTGACAGTGTCTCCATCCTTGATGCCAATGTCAGCCATTGTTAACTTGCTGTCATATGACTCGATCTCTTTTGGAGGATAACTGTGCAATACTGCAGAATTAAAACAAACGATTATCATAAATAATGAGAGAAGTCTAGCATGTTATACCGTATAGCTGGTAATTTTGGAGGCGAAAACTTTGGTTTTTTGATAATGATAGCCATTCGCCAAAATAAAATTGAACCATGCAAATTTGCAAAATTAAAACTCTCCAATTGTCAAAAATTTGCAAAAAATTACCCCTCCAAAATTACCAGCTATACTGTATTTAGATGATTATTATTAATTTATTATGCTTTTTTTATCAGTTTTACTTTTTTGTTGCTCAGGTGGTACATCTGTTTTATCTTTAATGGCAGCCTGCAGGTCCTTCAGTGTAGTGGAGGACTTTATATTGGACAAAATGAAACGTCCAGTCTTACATTGCAACCTCACTACCTTAAATAAATCATCAAACATGCAAAAATTTAAAACTAAACTCACCATTTTCAAACAATGAATATTTAATTAGATCAATTAATTAATTAAGCTTTATACTAGGGACTTATAACTCAGGATACTCCTCCCGTAAAACCATCGAAAGTTGAAACTCGACATTGGTTAGATCGAAGCAAATAAAGGAAGAAATAGAGAAACAAGCTGCTGATGGCTCTGTTAAGGTTTCCTTTAAGACTGAACAAGGTCAGTGGAAGCTATGAGCAGTAGCTGTGCTCTCCTATCATGTTTTTAAATGTTCTTTGTCCGGGGCCTTGTGTACGATGATAAGCTGCCGGTGTGGTGGGGGTGTGTGTGCCCTGTTTGTGGGATTTTATCATCTCCTCTCCTATCACTAGGTACTTACTAGTCCAGCCATTAGTACAAGTATCAGAAGTGTATCTTCTCTCAAGGTAACAGCATAATGACCTTTGTTTGATCAAAATCATTCAAAGACACAATAATAATGTTAACACACATTAGCATTGTGTTTTATGACCCTGTTCATGTATTGGCCTCTGTTCTATGCATGATTTCTTTTATTAAAGGCCTTTTCACACTGGCACAAATAGCGCACATTGATGCGCATTAATCGTGTTCACACTAGAGTGGTTTTCAATTGATGCGCATCACTCTCACTTCACCTCATGAGGTGGATTGATGTGAAGTGATGCGCTTCGATCAATGTAAACCAATGGCAACAAGAACACAAAATGATACATGATCCAGCTGCTAGTGTGAACACGATCAGCATTATTTCAGCTGTATCAACAAAGCGCATCAAAAGCGCTTTGAAAATTGTGCCAGTGTGAAAAGGCCTTAAATGTGTTCTTCATAGCACTTTGATTTTAACCCTCGATACCCACCACCCTATTACCTCTCTTTTCCTCTCTCAGTATGATGGTATTAAAGTTTCACTCACTGATAACCCAAAAGTCATTCCTCCTCACGATAAGCTCATATTTGGACAAGTCTTTACTGATCACATGTTAACCATTAATTGGAGTCACGATGACGGATGGAACACACCTCATATAGTACCCTATGATCACCTGTCCATCTCACCAGCTGCTGCTTGCTTCCATTATGCTGTTGAAGTAAGTAGAATATTGTATTATTATGGGGTCACTTGTAAGTAGCATTAAACATTCATGCTGAAGGTACTTGCATGATTTGATGCAAGGTTTGTTTACTAGTAATAATCATGGAGATATCTTAATAGATTAATTTAATCAACCTTGTTGTATACTGTATTTAATTAATAATGATTAACGTTGTTACTTCCATTAAAAATATTGGGTTTTAATGTGTTTTTTCTTCTGTCTGTACGTACATGTAGTGTTTTGAAGGTATGAAGGCCTATCGTGGAGTAGATGATAAGATTAGACTGTTCCGTCCGATGGAGAATATGAAGAGACTCAATAATTCTGCTAGAGCTGCCAGCCTACCGGTATGCATAATAATAAATATACACATTATATGCTGTTAGTATCATTATTACTTGTTGTTGTGGTTGTTGTATATCCATGTTATGTCTCCTAACATGCTTGAAGAGTCAATCAATGCATTCTTGATGTCCATGAATGTTGTTATAATAAATATTGCATCAGCCATTCATTGCATAATCAGTTTATGTTGTACATGCAGCACACACCCACACTATTGATAGTTATGTAATGTGTTAAATAATAGTCCAAATATTATGAGTATTGCAAAAATACAAGCTTTCTTTAGTTTCTCCTACACTTTAGCTGTTTTCATGTAGATTTCTCTCCTTGCTAAATACCTTATACTATAGTTTATACTTTTGTTACTTTTGCTAAAATTGTTAGGATTACACAGCACCAAATATGGGCAGCTTATTTCACACTCTGTTATTATTGTATTAGGAGTTTGATGGTGAGGAGTTTGTCAAGTGTCTAAAGGAATTGGTTAGAATTGATCAGAAATGGATACCGGCACATTCCACCAAATGTTCGCTGTACATTAGACCAACTTTCATTGCAACTGAAGTAAGAAGATACAGTGTACATGTACATATAATTGAGATTATTATTCTCTCCTACTCTCTTTCTTAGCCTATTATTGGTGTTCAGAAGTGTCGCAATGCTCTGCTGTATTGTATTAATTGTCCAGTAGGTCCGTACTTCCCCAAGGGGACGTTCAATCCTGTTAAGTTATATGCTGATCCAGCTTTTGTAAGAGCATGGCATGGAGGAGTGGGCGAATCTAAAATGGGAGGGTAAGAAATAAGAACACACTTTAAATATCATTATAACATAACAATACATGTACATGTACATGCAGTTAATACTGATGATTTATTTCTTATTTCCCTTTCCCTTTATCCAGTAATTATGGTCCTACAATAAGAGTCCAGACATTAGCAGAGTCAGAGAAGAACTGTGACCAGGTACTGTGGCTCTATGGGGAAGACAGACAGGTTTGTAAAACCAGTTTCACATGATACCACAAAAAACTGACCTTTCCCTTCAAAAGTTGACAGAGGTTGGTACTATGAATATATTTATGCATTGGATCAATGAAGATGGAGGTCAGTCGATGAATGAGGCTTATTTGTACTTCTATATTGTTTATTATTAATAGATCCTGAGATAGCCACACCTCCTTTGAATGGTATCATATTACCTGGAGTGACAAGGGATTCTTTACTTGCACTGGGAAAGACATGGGTAAGAGAGGGAAGGATGCACATAGTATCAAGAGAAGGGGATTATGTAATTGCTTTGTTGTAGGGTACACATAAAATATCAGAGAGGAAGATTACAATGGATGACATAAAGATTGCTCTAGCAGAAGGAAGAGTAAGAGCAAATACAGTTTATTGACACACACTCTTCCTCTTTTGTTAGATTAAAGAGATGTTTGGTGCAGGTACTGCTTGTGTGGTTTGTCCTATTAGTGATATATTATACCTCAATGAAGTAAGTCATTATTATTATTATTACAACATTATTTTTTTCTCTTAAACCACTGCTTCTTTCAGTCATTGCATATACCAACTATGGAAAATGGTCCTGAAGTAGCTAAAAGATTTTACAAAGAACTAACAGACATTCAAGTAATGTATTAGGCATACACTGATCATTCTATTCCATAATGTATTGCATATCTTCTTTTTTAGTATGGAGTTGTAGAGCATGACTGGACTGTTGTAGTTGACTGATTCAGGCCATACACTATTTATATTTGGAGAACATTATATATTATATTATTGTGATGTATTTACAAGCTCCAGCGTTTTATTTATTATTAATTATTATTACTGTCATTTTCCTTTTTGATTTTCATCATTTTTGTAGTCAAAACCATTGTTTTAAAAATTAAAATATACAGCAAATCAGCAATTAATGCTGCCAGCAGCATTAATTATAATATATATATGTATAAAAATAGCATATCAAGTAGCCGACAAATAATAGCAGTTAATTAATTGCACAGGCAAAATAATCAATAGTTCAGCATTTTAAATAACAGCAAAAAGTGTTAAGTAAGTAGTATTAAGCAAAGTCATTACAAAATAATGAAGCAAATTAAGGAACAAACTGGTAATACACATCAATTTCCTTTGCTAGCGTTTCATACTTTTGCCTTATTCCTGCTTTCTTCTCATCTGGAGCCTTTCCTGCCATTACTTCACCAAGGGTTGGGTATATCAATTGTGCCAAGGCGCGTCTTGGCTCAAAATCACCAGCATTTTTCTTTTCAACATTCCATTTCATGAGTATGTCCCCAATGGGATCTTCTTCTGTTGAGATTTCCACCCCAAAAACTTGTGCTATATCAGATATATTATCAGTAGCTGGTGATATGGTTCTTATTCTTTCTGCAATCTCAGAAAGTTCATCAATTTTCACCTCTATAACATATTTATTAAATAAAAAGAATTTCTGTATAACATCATTGCTTACCTCCAGTTGCTTTAAATTTATCCGGTATTTCATTCTATAATATTGACAAAAAACTTAGGTGATTGTGATAATTACAATTGCACATACCGCAAGTAATGCTTCTGTCCAGGCTTTTAATAACTTGTCAAATCTGGGATCTTTCCGGCACTTTTTACACATGATCTTTGGAAGACGATGATACGAAGCAGAAGGTAGAGACTCAACTTTCGTAACGGGACTTTTAGAGCAAAATTGAACAAATTTGTACTTCACAGGTATGCGACTTTCCTTGGCTATTTTTTCGGTAGCTTGAATGATAAATGCACAAACTTCTTCATTTGGCTTATCAACTTTCAGCTTAATTGCTGGTACATGAGATGAGATGGTAATAATCGTGTCTGTAGATAAATTTTTGATGATTGTCTGGTTCATACTCTTGCAAGGAACCAGTACAGGCTCAGGCAAAGTGTCCAGCAGCTGCTTAGCAAAAGACACCTGCTTGAAAAAATGAGGTGTATTGATATTAGTCAGGAGATGCACTGAGAATGGATCTGGCTCATCAATCAAAGGACCAGTGCAGCACAGAGGAATGTAGTAGTAATTGCCTTTGCGATCAAGAAGAACATTAGGAGGCATTTCTAGGAAACGAGTTGTAACAGGTGTTGCTAAATTAAGGCAAACAAGAGCATCCATGAAAATGGGCCAGTCATCTTTGAAACTTTTTCGACAAGCTTTTTCTGGAACAATTCCGTACTCCATTGTTGGGTAATCCTGACATGCGGCACCATTTTGTTGAGCAAAAAACTTGTCAAGTGACTCTAAGAAAGTAACAGGCTTAACAATGACATGCTGGTAATCAGGATCAACAAGACTAAGATCAATTATGCTTCCAAATGATGTGAAAAATTTGCAGAAATCATCAACTGAGCATTCATCCATACCACATTCTTTTGCCATTTCCATCAATTCATCTTTTGAGACAAACATTTTTTTAAAACGATAAAACAGGCTACGAAGGAAAAGCCAAGAAAGAGGTATCTCATCAAAGGGTATTTCATCTTTAAGAATCAGCTGGAACTTATCATGAAGACGTTTGTGATCTTGCTCTAAATTGATACCTTCTATCCTGTCCTCTAGAAGCTCTGAGACACCAATGTGATTAGCTATTGGCTGAACTTTTTCCTTTAACATACTAACTTTGTCACGGGCTTCACCTGGACCTGTTTTTTTATGATTGGCAAACATGGTGCATACTCTTTTTCTTTGTTTGTGATTATCTCTAGTACTCCAGCATGAGCGAAGCAAGTAATGAAGGCGAGGTCGCTGCTTCAAAAAAATAGCACCGTCACGTCCAGTTTTTGGTATTTCAAAATTCTCATCCAGCCTTCCAAGATCATTTTCAAGGTCAACAAAGAGCCACAGGTACGAATTAAAGAGATAACCTTCCAGTGCTGATAAGAGATGATGTACAGTGTTGCTGGAGGCCAAATCCCAAATATTGACAAGAGCAATACCTTCAGGAACAAATTGCAGAAAGCTGTGCTCAGCACTTTTCGGAATCGAATTTTGTGATTGCAGGAAGCTGTACATGTAACGAAAGTGATCATCCAACTCAAAATTATCAAAGGACTTTACAGGTATAGGGCTGGTATCAATAAGAGGTACTCTTTCTTTAGCTTCCATACTTTGAAAAAGTGAAAGAACTCCAAATGCAAAGCTTGACTCTTGTGCTGCTTCTGTGACTTTATAATCATTGCCATGTGCAGATGAAACTGCTATCAAATCATAAGCAGCAATACCCACATGCTCTTCTGGGCGATTAATCTTTTTGCTAATTGGATCAAGGGAACTTTCTACAACATAATCTAGGAATCGTGTGACAGCTGTGGTTTTCCCACTTTTAGGCAGGCCATTGAATGAAAGTAATGCTGGCTGCACCTTTATCTTATTGTTTGGGTTTTTGAGCTTTGCTATGAGATCTTTTGTAGTTGACATTTTACCTGTAGTAATAAATAATAATTATATGCAACAATACATCAAATGTATACCTTCATGTTGAACAACAGGACCAACTGGACAATCAAATTGTTGTATTCCCAAAGGACACAAAATTTGATTTGGCAAAGGTGCAGAATCTGGTGGTGATTTTGTGTCTTTGCTGTCTTGAGCTAAAATAAGAATATATTTAGATTAATTTGTGAATTAAAAAGTCTACAATTTTATAATCTTAGTGCTAAACCTAGCCATAATATTATGTAGAGAATGCAATATAGCTAAGCAAGCATCTTTACTCATGCATGTTACATTCAAAGAATATCAACTTACTGCTATTTTTAATATTTGAATCATCCCCATCATCATGATCAGTCAAAGGCAAATTTAATGCTCCTAAAATAAAGTAATAAAAATTATGTTACTGCATGCATGCATATAGGTAAATTATACCTTCATTTTTGCAGAGCTTCAAATGTGGAGTAACTTCATTGCTCACAAGAAACTTTACAAAATCTGATTCTTCAAGAATAGACAATACAAAGGAGAAATTATGGGGCGGGTACATGGTGTATGTGATAGTGACGGATCCGTCATCACCAGCTTGTATATTAGCAATGTGAGAGGGCAGACGTGGATGAAGGGATGTTATCCAATCTTGCAAACTGGGATATGACTTTGGTTGCTTCAACTCAAACTTCAAAGTAGGAAAACCAAAAATTCCTCCAGGTACAAGACCAGGATTATTACGAAAAACAGAGGCAATGTGTGGCAAAGAAACTTCACTAAAAACATTACAGTATATCTTTTCATAATCAGAAAAATAAGCAGCACAATCATCACCAGCAAGCTCTTTCAAGTGCTGAAAGTTGAGGTAGCTTAAAAAATTGAGATCAATCAAGAACCGGACAAAATCTTCAACTTTTTCTATTTTATCAAGATCACTTCTGTGCACCTTTAGAAACTCTTCATTGCAGCCAAAGTTGTTGTGAAGTGTCTTTCGAAAGCGACGTTTAGCATCATCCACACGAATTAATTCCATGATAGGTGGCAAGACATGTCGATCGAACATTTCCTTTAAATAATAAAACTTCTTGGTCCAGTCTTGCTCATTTTCAGCTGGTTTTTCAATCTGTGAGCGACATCCTGTATACATGGGAAAATATAAAACAAATTGTATCACTGATTTACTGCAGCATACTTTCAAGAGATTTTTCAATGTTTTTAGGTGGGTCAACACTCTTTTCTGCTAAAGGAAAAAGATATATGTATATATATTTTAAAAATAAATTGCATACAATATACTACATAGTCATAGCATAGTGCATTCAGCAGTTGCAGGCTCAGATTCTGCAGCACAAATTAATAATCAATGGAAAATATAGATCTGGGAAAGGGGCTAAGTGCATTAATATAGTGTGATACCGACCTTTCCATGTTTTTTCGTATTTCTCTGCAATATCAAGATCTTTTATAATTTTCAAAGCCTCTATAACATCTCTTCGAGTGGCTTCAGGTTTTTCATGCAACCAAGCTTGAAACATAGCACATAATTTGTCTTCAGTAGAGTGCTTGTCATGATCAATTACGTCCAGCAAACGGTCATCCAGCTTTAGCTGAACTCCCAACAGATTCCACTTCACGCCCACTGTAATATAGCGAGCCAATTCATCGAGTGTTGGCCTTCCATCGAGCGGAGACATTCTCCCTCCTTCCTCCATTGTCACCACTGATGCAAAAGTTATCGGCGCTATTTTTATAAAAAATAAGCAGCGCAGGTGACGTCACGTAATTTTAGCACTATATGCAGCATTTTATACTACATCAAATTTCAAAAAAGTATTCAAAACCCTCATTCCAATAAAACAATTGACTGTTTCATCTAAAAAATATCACAACATAATATAATCATCAATATACTGCAGTAAAAATGGAAGGAGAACAATGGAACCAAGGAAATAGAGAACTTTTTCCAGGAAGATCATTTCTTCTGCCATCTCTGAGGCTCAAATCATGTACACACCAAGAGCTAAAAAAAACAACAATGCCTATACTGGTAAATAAGAAATGTCTATTAAACTGTAAATAAACTTTTTGTAATAAAAACTAAGTTTAAAGCTGACGGCTCAAAATAATTAAGAGTCGAATTTCAATCACAAAGTTATGGCATCAACATGCAACAAATTTAGGCACTATCAAGCTATACAATGCTAGAAGCTGAAGTACAAGCACTAAAAAAATCACAGTCACAATAAATATAATTCAAGCTAATGTGTATATGGTATATAGAAGTCTGGCAAGTTGATACTGTCGTACGACAGTTCCTATTAAAATCATAGCAAATAAATAAAATATTTTAATTGTTCTCTTATAATGGCAAAACTGCACAGTAAGTAAACTTGTGTGTGGTATAACAATATCAATTCCAAGAATAATTTTTTTAAAAATCATAACAACATGAATAACATAATGTATTGTTCACCTAACAATGGGCAAACCTGCATTATGCAAACTAATAAAGCCATAATCAAAATTTAACAACATCTAGAGCTACACTCATATCTGACTTATTCCTTAATGTAAAATATGTGCCATTGCACATAAACTTGGATGTAGTTCACATTAACCTTACCAAAATTAAAGTTGGCACATTCTTCATAATCCTGATCTACTTATTTCAGCCTTTATAGAGAGGTCCTACATAATAAGAGAAACTGTAAATTAATAAAACAAAGAAGAAACACTATAATACATGTCCATCAAAATTTCATTCTCTCTCCTACCTATAACATCTTGCAAGTTTCTTTCTATTAAACTTCTTGATCTACATTTCTTCTCATTATGCATATGAACACTTACTACTAGTCTGGCTCAAAACTTGATGGTAGTTATACCACTTAGTCGCTGTTGCCTTGTCTACAAGTGTCCAATGGAGCTATCCTTCTACATATCTTGTCCCTTCCTTCCTTTGGGACTATCTTAAGTTAATACAAATGTGCATCAAAAATTTTTATTGAACAAGTAAAGAAAAGCTTGTGAATGAGACACATACTTATTACTTAAAACTTGCTGCAATAAGCAACTAAAATAACACATTAATAATAGTCCATGAATAACACTAACTAGTACAATAATTCAGTTTAATGAAGAGAAGAAATGACTTGTGGGGTAGCTATATTACTACCTATACAATGTAGCTCCTATACATAAAATAAATACAATAGAGACTAAGGACTAATATACATGTACTGCTACAAGAGAGCCTTACTGTACTATCATAACACACACACACACACACACACAAGAACTCACATGGTCGCCTGTAAGGATGATAGCTATGAGAGGCAGCTCCATCCTGACTCCTATACCCTCCTCTTCCTCCTCCTCTTGAGTACCCAGGATACCCTCCTCCTCCTCCTCTTCCACGATAGATCCCTGGTCCACCATAATAACTATACCCTCCGTAAGCTACAGAGCGATAAGGAGGTCTATAAGGTGAGGGTTCCTCCCAACGGTATCCTCCTCTATCATAATACTCATCGTATGAGTCTCCTTCATAATCATCATATTGTCCACCATATTGATCATGGTCAGTTGATTGTTGGTATGATGGTGGCATATACTGCAGATCACGTGATGAAGAACCATGGGTATTTCTTTTCGGTCTCGTTGGGTTCTGTCTCATAGACTCTATACTGACGGCTTTCTTGGTTTCAACATCTCTGTCCCTGATTCTCAGGATGCCTTGATTGCAAAGTCTTTCAGCACTTTCATAGTCTGTAAAAGTGATGAATCCAAATCCACGCGGTTTATTCCTTTCCGGGTCAATAATGAGGGAGACTTCTTCAATTTCCCCAATATGCTTTGCAGCTTCCATCAGCTCCTCTTTAGTAGTGTCTAGATGAAGACCACCCAAAAATACCTGAAGGAATTATAATTTAAAAATTTTTTTTAATTTTCTTAATTACTTTTTTAGATTTAGAGGATGGGTCGGTCTCTTTTGGGGTCTCTTCACGAGGTACTGCTTTCTTTGTCTCAACGAGTCTCTCATCAATGTAGTGAGGACCAGCTGCCAGACACTTTTCAACACTCTCACGACTATTGTACGTTACAAAACCAAACCTAGGAAAAAGATAAATAATCAGGGCTTTGCTTGCAAATTTGAAATTTTAACGAGGAACTAATGGCGCTTGGTTGGATATTAAACATTGAAATGCTATTTTTTGGAATTAAGGTCAACTTAAGAAATTGCTGCATATTCTGTTTAACCCAATGATTGATGTACCCTCTTGAGCGTCGAGTCTGAGGATCTGTCACCACAGCTGCATCAATGATCATTCCCCATTGGCCATAATATCTCTCTAGTTTGTCTTTAGTGGCACTCGTGGTCAACCCACCAATAAACATCTTACATCCTTGCCTTTCCTGTTCATAAACTAGGAATAAAAGGATTGGAGGTAGTAAAAGAGAACAAAACCTTCTCTCTCTGAAACTCCAGCTTATCCATTTCTGTGACATGTGTAAGAGGTTGAGTTACCACACCTTCTAATTCACAAAAGGAGGGGAGTCTATATTTTATCATGCATTACTTTCTTTGTGCATTTTTATCATAAACAAAATTTTAAAAGATAAATTATATTATTGTCCCACTAATGCTCGTTCAATTTCTCCTTCTGGCTAGTACATAAAGATGTCAAACAAATTGTAAATCCTCCATAAATATAGTGAAGGTGAATGATCCATTTCTAGAGTCTTGTACTCCAATCATTAATATCTAAAAATCATCAAAATTAATAACAATAAAGTATATGGCTCAGATTAAACTAACCAGCATATAACAATGAAGTAGATGAACCAGCAAGTATTCCTCTTTCATTTCAAGTCATAACTTATAACAAAGACTAATAATCAGCGAGCCTGCCTTGTCCTAAAAGAAAAAAAAAGCATCAATGAAAAGTAAAGGAAATTTCTGACCTACTGAAGTCCTACACACTAACAGACCTATAGCATGTAACCTCACTAGGCTCACTATCACTATCTACACACAACCTTGTGTTACCTTATCCTACCTATCACTGTGTTCTTGTATATGATCCTATTCATCTTCTTCCTATAATCTGTCCCTATTATACTCAATATTGAAAATCTGCTTGTTTCTCTTCTACCACTTCCTATAACTGTATAGTCACTACAGAGCCTCTGCTACCTCATTCTAGATCATTCCTATACATACTACTTTATCTTGGAGTGCTTCTCCTACTAAAAAATTCATCTCTCCTCATTTTGTAACAATAGAATCTAATTAACTGTCAAATTTTCATTGAATAAGTAAAGAAAAAGCTTGTGAATTAGGAAAATACTTAAACATAACTGGTTGCTGCAATAAGCAACTAAAATAACATTAATAATAGTCCATGAATAACACTAACTAGTACAATAATTCAGTTTAATGAAGAGAAGGAATGACTTGTGGGGTAGCTATATTACTACCTATACAATGTAGCTCCTATACATAAAATAAATACAATAGAGACTAAGGACTAATATACATGTACTGCTACAAGAGAGCCTTACTGTACTATCATAACACACTCACACACAAGAACTCACATGGTCGCCTGTAAGGATGATAGCTATGAGAGGCAGCTCCACCCTGACTCCTATACCCTCCTCCTCCTCCTCCTCCTACTCTGCCAGACTGTGAACTCATTTCTCCTCCTCTTGGGTACCCAGGATACCCTCCTCCTCCTCCTGCACGATAGCCCCCAGGTCCACCATTATAACTATAGCCTCCATAAGCAACAGGACCAGGTCCTCCTCCTCCATATCCTCCACTCCCTGAATTATAAGGAGGTCTATAAGAAGAAGGACCACCACCTCCTCCTCCTCCCCCTCCAACCCCACGGTATCCTCCTCCATTATTATAATACTCATCACGATAAGGTTGGGGTGGGTAGTCATTGTATTGTCCACCATACTGGGACTGACTGTGGTGGTAAGAGGGTTGTTGGTAGGCTTGTGGTGGTGGTGGTATGTAGCTATGATCGCGTGACGAAGACCCGCGGGATCGATGGGATCTATCAGGCATCTCGCTTCTTCTTGGAGGTGGTCTTGAAGGAGCCTGCCTCTTCATTGAGTCAAGGCTGATGGCCTTCTTGGCTTCAACATCTCTTTCGCTGATTCTAATGTAGCGTTGGCTGCAGAGCTTGTTGGCACTTTCGCAGTCCATGAATGTGACGAATCCAAATCCACGAGGCTTGTTTGTGTCCTTGTCAGCAATCAAGAAGACTTCGTCGATTTCCCCAAAATGTCTCACGGATTCCATAATCTCTCGCTCGGTGGTTTCAAGAGAAAGACCACCCAAAAACACCTAAAGATGATAATTTGGTAATAATGAGCACATTCTGTGTGTTCTATTAGAAATAAAGAATCAAAAACCATCTGTCATAGGCAAATATCTCTAGATCTAATGCCATTAAACTTTCAGATGATAGCTACTAGATATTTGTTAAATTTTTAATAATGATGGCTACCTTCTTTGATTTAGAGGACGGCTCGGGTTCTTGACGAGTCTCTTCACGAGGTACTGCCCTCTTTGTCTCTACTATTCTTTCGTCAATCTCATGAGGGCCCTCTGCCAGGCACCTCTCAACACTCTCAGGGCTAGTGTAGGTTATGAAACCAAACCTAGAATATAAAATGATATCGTAAACATACAAGTACACGCATTACGGATAGATACAAACGCTGACAGCATAAACTTTATCATTAATGATATGGCATAATACTAATCAAAATTGGATTTTTTACAAATTTTTTTAGTTGGTCCGAAATCAGTTAGGCCAAAGACCATGTACTAATAGTCCATGGTTTTTTCCGAAAAATGGCTCCAAAATCACCCCAAATTTTTATTGCATTTCCTGATACATATTGATGTCCTTATGCTGTGTAGAAAGTTTGAGCTGATTCCGACTTCAATTTTTCAAGTTACGGCCATTTTAAGAAAACTCCAAGATTCTGAAAAATACCCAAGGCTATAGCCCATGGTTTTTTTCAATAAATGGCTCCGAAATCACCCCAAATTTTTATTACATTTTCTGATACATATTGATGTACTTATGCTGTGTAGAAAGTTTGAGTCAATTCCGACTTAAATTTCCTGAGTTATGACCAATTTTTAAAAAGTCCAAATTTTAGAAAAATACCCTGTACTATAGCCCATGGTTTTTTTCTAAAAAATGGCTCCAAAATCACACCCAATTTTTATCACATTTTATGATACATATTGATGTCCTTATGCTGTGTAGAAAGTTTGAGCTGATTCCGACAAATAATTTTTGAGTTATGAGGATTACATGTGTGCTTACGCTGTTCAAAAATTTTGAGCTACAATCATGTAAAATTATGATAAGGTACATGTAGGAAAAGATGCATTTTGTAAGCATAAAAAATTAATGTGCACAAACAAATTTAAGCAACGAACCCTCTAGGGCGATTTGTCTGAGGATCCTTCATGACCACAGAATCAATGACCTCCCCCCAGCGACAGTAGTAATCCTCGAGCATTTCTTTAGTTGTACGTAAAGTTAACCCACCAATAAACATCTTACATCCTTGCCTTTCCTATTCATAAAGGAATAAAAGGACTGAATGTAGTAAAAGGGAACAAACCTTCTCTTTCTGAAGTTCCATCTCCCGAGCCATCTTCGACAACGTGACTTTGGTTTTTGGTTTTTACTTTTTTAATTGAGCGTACATTGTAATATTGAAACTGACCAAAAACCACGCCCATCAACTACCACGCCTCAAAAGGATTAAAATGGCTCTAGGCTACTCTGTTCACGCTTTTGGACGCTTGTTTTCTCGCATGTATACAAGCGGAGCCTCCAGTGATGTAAGTAAACTGCTTGCAATAGTATCCCTGTATTGCATTCTCCACTAAAGAATCGGCTACACAAAGTGTGAGATGCAAAAATAACAAAAATTTAGCATACTCCAAGGTGTTAATGTATGAAAAGTACTGTATACACAAGAAATCTCTCCCTTTTAGTTGGTTGGTTTCATTGGATTGGGTAACATGGGCTTACCAATGGCACGTAACCTAATGGCAAAGGGTCACAGGCTAGTGGTGTATGATACTGTTAAGACTCAGGTTGATGCTGCAGTGTCTGATGGAGCAATAGCTGCTACTGGACCTAGTGAGGTTGCAAAACAAGCAACAACCATATGCACCATGCTTCCAGCAAGGTACTCAATTCATTATAGCAAGTAATTGTGTGAAAGATACACTTCTGCCTTTATATTAAAAACAATGTTGATTTCAATGGATTGTTTGAATTGCCAAATAGTAAAAATGCTAACCCTTGTATTGCCAAATAGAAAAAATGCTAACCATTGTATTTAAGCATGATTTTATACTTTTCACAATGTACATGTACATATGCTCTTCTGCAGTGTTTTGACTGCACCGACACATCTTTGTCTCTTTTCATCTCATTATAGTCAGCATGTACGTGATGTATACACAAGCCCTGGTGGTATATTCTCTGCCGTTCAATCAGGGAGTCTACTCATTGACTGCAGCACCATTGACAGGGACTCCGCCATTGAAATGAGTGAACTTGCTAAAGAGAACAACACACAATATATAGATGCACCAGTATCAGGAGGTAATTAATGATTGGCACTATAGAACATAAATACTGTTGGCATTCATTCAGATTAGTGTATGGTATCATAATAGTCGTTTTTTAAATAGATCAACCCACAATCTTGTATGGTTTTACTACTAAAGGTTCATCATTAACACATTTTTTTAATTTTTAGGTGTTGGAGCAGCTACTAATGGACTCTTGACGTTTATGTTAGGCGGCCCTGATGATTGCTATGAAAGAGCTAAGCCGCTGTTAGAGAAGATGGGTAAGAATGTTTTCCATTGCGGGGAGAATGGAGCAGGACAGGCTACAAAGATATGCAACAACATGTTGCTAGCCATTGAAATGATAGGGACCTCTGAAGTATTGCTCATGGCACAAAAGTAAAAAAATATTAATAATGTTTATATTAACTTAGAACAGGGTATTTCTGGCAGCTAAGTAAATTTATTTTGGTTTTTTGTTATTATTTTTACAAAAGTACATGTAATTTTAGTCTTTGATATGTTGATTGGGAGTAAGAGAAGTTTTAGCAGCTAACAAAAATGAAAGCAAAGTACCTTTCGATCATTACCTCCTAAATGCTGGAAATACTTTACCCAGTCCTACTTTAATATTTTAATTTTACCATATACTCTATTTTCTTTTTTTCCCAGTCTTGGCCTAGATCCTAAGCTGTGTTCTAAAGTCATCAACGCCAGTAGTGGGCGGAGCTGGTCCTGCGACACATACAACCCTTGCCCTGGAGTCATGGAAAATGTACCTTCCTCTCGTAACTACGAGGGAGGTTTTGGAACCGGACTGATGAGGAAGGATCTTACTCTAGCTCAAGCAGCTGCTGTTGGTAGCAAGTCTGTTACTCCATTGGGAGCAATGGCCCTGCACATTTATAACCTTATGTGTCAGCATGGATTCGAGAAGAAGGATTTCTCTTCCGTTTACAAATTTTTAGAGCAGGAAAATTAAAAACAATGTCTTCTATTTAATAGCTATAGTTTTATTGCAAACTCTAGGAATTATTATTTTAATTTTTGCAGCAGAAAAAAAGAATCTTCATTTTAGTTTTGCAGTAGAAAAAAGGAATTATTATGACAGTATTATTAATTATTGTGGGCGTGGTTTGTGTTTTGGTGCAGCAATCATGGAGAGTGATTTCCTTGAAAGTATAGTAAACCAGTTGATAGACGAGGAGGCCCTTGGGGTCTGTTTCGAGCTACACAGAGCCATCAAACTAGGCTATTACGACCTCTTACACCCCGACAAAAAGTAAGGGACGCCTTTATATAAATAAAGTCGTGACACTTTTTGTTTTTCCCCTTCTTTACATGCACAGCTCCTTGGAGAGGCACGGTAAGTTGTACACGTTTAACGTATGTGCGCTAAACCTTTGTCCTTTTTTTTAGAAGTTATAGATGAGCCTGGACTGGATGTGTTTGGTAATAATGTACAATCATTTAGGAAGCCAGTGGAATGTGTTTGTCCATCCTGCCAGAGAACACTAGGTGAGAAACCACATCCCTCCATCTCTTAGTACATGACCATGCTACCATCCCATCCTCCTAGCCACTAATTTAACAGTTGTGATTAGGGCTCTTTTAAGATAACTGAGCATGACTTATTTTTAAAAATTTGTCCATTTCATTTACTCTACTATACCGAGGGATAATAATTTAAAATCCACTTAGAAGGACAGCTGGAGAGTTAAAATACATCTTTAATTATTAGAAATCTTCTTTAAAATTATTAATCCTGAATAGCTAGTAAGAGTCATTATTGGTTTTGTTTGGTTGTTATGTTGTTAACTAACTAGTTTCACTTTCACTTTAATACAAATGGGTTCCATGAAAGAGAGAGAGGAGAGAGAATAACTGTCAGACATTGCAAAATTTACTCCAAAACATGCTAATTCTCTCCTTTGTAGGTGCTTCAAAATTTGCTCCTCATTTGGAGAAGTGTTTAGGGATGGGCCGTACCAGCTCAAGACTAGCACATAAGAAGACTCCAGTCTCAGTTGAGAGTGAAGAAGAACACTCGGAGGATAATGAAGATGACTGGACTTATCCTGAAAAGAAATGTAAGTTGTTTAGCTATTAATATAACAAGGTTGTTGCTTCAGTAAAGCACTTTCAACTACAGCATTCTCCAGTATATACATGTATAAAGTGAAAGTTTTTATTGTTATATGCCATGTACAGTAATGTCATTTTTGTGTTACATGTTTCTTTAGCAAAAAAGATGAAAAGAGAGAAGCCTTTATTTCCATCTCTTCCTTCAAACGGTCGAAGTAAAGTATCTGTGAAAACGGCTAGTGGGAGAGGTAATCTCATAGACCCAATGTTCCTTTATGTTTTAACTCATTCAAGATGGTGGTTATCAAAGCAATGGAAGTGTCAGCAGTCATAACAATCCTCCAATAGAAACTGCATCAAAGGTCAGAGAGATGTTTATGATTATGTATCACACGTTGTCCTTTCATTACAGCAACACACGATTGCTTCATTTAGCATTCTATTACCTGGTAAGTGAGGATGATAATAGCCTACTGATTGTTGATAACCATGTATAATAATAATAGACCAAAAGCAGTATTTGTTGCAGCAAATGTGTGGAGTAGTATCAGAGAGAACAGGAAGGCTATGTACAAGGTATGGGTACAATCCTCTCAATATCAAAATGGATCCTTTTTATATAGAACTGTCAAGTGTCCTCAACATTCAGAAGAAGACAGGAGAGAAATTAGGCGCATACTTTTAGGTAAAGTTGATACATATGATCCATGTAGTTACTCCATTTCCTCTTCCTTCATTTATTTGTGCTCATTGGACAGATTCACCACAAACTGTTGAGGTCAGTGGTGGAATCCATCACTCACTGGAGCAGTCAAACTCATCACCTTCAATAAACTATGTGGAAGACTCACCAATAAAAGATAAATTCATGAGGTAAGTAAAGACACAAAATCATGTCTTTGTTAGAGTGCTTGTGTTTCAAAGGATTATGCTTTTATTTTATTTTTTTGTTTAATTATATTTTTAGTGATGAGTTGCATCATAGACCACAGCAACACACACGAAGCAAGAAAAAAGATGGAGGGAGCAAGAAGCATAGAAGAACTCACCAGGCACAATACTAATCCTCCTTTCCTCCCTCTCTCTATACCTCTATACCTCTCGTGTATGATAGTATGATAAGTGTAGTTCTGCTGACTGTCTACAGGGCCAGTCAGGGTAATATTATACGACTGGATGTGTAATAAAATATGTATGATATAGTAATTATCAAGGTGTTATTATGATCTAAGTGTTTCTCATGATCAAAGTACATGTGTGAATGGGTTGTCTGATATTGTAGAAATAGTGCAAAATGCCATGCTATAGCCACTAATAAGGTGCCTGTGTCATTATCTTATTCTTCTTTGGGGATTCTCAATCTTCACTTTCCAAGAATAACAATACTTGCTTTTGGTGACTTTGTGTGCTATAAATTTCACACACTTTCGCTATTCAATTGAAATATAATTTGTACTACGAAACAATGCCCTATACATACAAACTATGAAGAGTTGATTATCATATAATAAGTGCTACAATCACATATAATGCAACTCAATAATATCGAAAGGAAAGGAAAGAAGAACAGAGGAAAACATATGGTGCATGCTCTACAACTTTGAAGGAGGCTTTTGTTTAAAGTTGTTCTGTTCTGGTGGTTTCTTGACCCAGGATGATCCAAGGTGCTTAGCAAAATGATCCTCAACCATAACCCTCGCCTTAGAATAACTAGCAGAGAGTCCCTTAATCTGACCATAGTCATACCTTGAAGACAACTCCTTTGCAGTCTTTCCTGAGATAGTCTCGCCTTCTCTAGGATTAACCCAATCCTTGTTGCTTGACAGTGCGTCCCAGAGGCTCAAAAAATGTCCAAAAAGACTCGTCTTTGAAATCCTTGACGGCTTGTCTTCAGCTTTGCCAGTCCTAGAATTAATTATCTCGACTGTAGAGTCACCCCAACTCCAGTTTAAGCTAAGACTTGATGGTTTCACTACATTCCTCTGTGGTGGTTTACTGATCCCCAGTAGAAGTGAATAGTTGACTATGTAAGTTTCTGGTAGGCCACTAATACTGCACATACGAGTGTATAGGGCCCTTGTCATGTGATCATTAGAGAAGAGATTACCGACAGTTAAAGACTTGAGGTAGATGGGCTCTATGTAATGCGAGAGTAGAGATCCTTGAAGACCCAGTACATTCCATCGTGCTATCTTATCGCTGCACGACATGGTCCTTAGTCTCTGCTGGCCAGCAAGGATCCCACCCCACGTCTGTAACTCGTTAGTCGCTGGAACTGAACCTTCGCCAGCTTCTATTTTGACTCTAGCAACACCACGAGACTGCCTAAGAGAACGAAAAAAACATAAATTGATAACACATTCAAACCAATACTATTCTTGATTAATAGTATCAGTATATATGCATAATTTATACATACATTACATCTTTTTGTTACTTAACCTTCCAGGATGACTGTCGTCAAGTTTTGACTCGTTGGGTGAAAATAGCCTAGCGTCACCACAAGGAGCAGTGCTGATGTACATGTGGAAGGATACTCCTGGCTTAAGGCGATACAGACCACTCTCTTGCCTCTCAAATATTGAAGATGACTCGGCATCTCTTTGTAAAGAAATGAGACCATCATATTATGCAATGTAATATTAATTTTTTAGAGCATAAAACCATAAAAATGCATCTATACTTACTTTGCACATAAGTTCAGTTGCTTGTACAGGAACCTTATCAATGATCTCCTAGCAATGACCTCAGCATGACAATCATTGACGGTCGATCCATCTTGACTCAAGTTCTCACCACTGATGCATTTAGTCCCGGTACCAAGCGCAACAATTTCTCCCCCGACGTCATAACTGACCATGCCTGTACCCTGACTACCTTGCATGAGGACAATGGCTGCCAGCACCTTCTTGAGTCCAGGGATATTAGTCATACCTGGCGTTAGCTCATTGAACTTCTCTTCGCTGAGTGCAGCCACCCTATCAGCTAGCATTTGATTAGGCTGACCTCCAGCATTCTCCTGTGTATTAGTAGCAGAGGATCCAATGGTGTGTACGTTGGCTAGATACTGGAGTGCATTTGAAGCTGCTGCTGATTTGGCTGCTTTCTTAGAAGTCCCCTCACCTTTGAATTCCCATCCTCTCACTTTGACGGTAGCTTCAAAGCGAGGGAGATGAGGCATCCCTAAGTTCTCACCCACTAGGTACACAGCCCCGACCTGCTTTTCGTTAAGGACACTGACCGGGTTCTGAGTGGAAAAGGAATCATCTTGAAGCTGTGCAGAAGGAATACGTTTAGCAGGTGGTAGTCCTGACAAGGACTCTAATTAAACAGAGAGAGAGAGAGAGAAGAAAGAAGTACTCGTTAGATAAATACTGCAATGGAATGTCACTCCTTACAACAGAAACATGTACATGTACATTGTACATGACTACATGTATGAGTAAATACATGTACATAGTTCAGGATCTTTGGCTACAATTTAAATTCCCAATTTTTAAATTGCTACACGACACAAGATATGCCATCTTCTTTTTGTTGAGCTAACTATTTTATGCTTGGATTACATTTATTGTAAGCAAATTTGCTCATCAAGTATGTATCAATAAATTATACCCAATGTTACCTTCAAAAGGTAGAGAGCGACGAGTCCCTGCTATTTGTGTTGTATCGTTAGGAGAGGATAAAGGGAGACCAGCAAACAATGGAGAAGGGAGTGGAGGTAGAGTGAGTGAGGAGAGGTTAGGCTCAGCACCATACACTGGGATAGTTGGCTTTTCTACAACTTTCTCTGCAAATAAAAGAATCATTTAATACACATACAGGTATAAAGTACTTTTAAGCATGTACACATACATGTATAACTGGAAATTAGTTAACTGTATCAACGGCAGGTTTATATCAGTTAACGTAATGATTCTTCCAGCTGCCCCACTGATAATTAATTTAACCCCGGCCTTACCTCCTCCTTCATAAGCTCCTGTTCCCAGTTGTACTTTGATACCATGTATCTTATTAAGGGCATTAGCAGCACAAGCTTGTTTAGCTTCTTTCTTGCTCTTCCCTTTGCCATAATACTCTTTACCGCCTATCTTAACCGCATACTCAAAAACCTTGGAGTGTGCCGGCCCCATCTCGTTCTTTAGAACGTACTCTGCTCCCTGGTGGTAAGAGTTAAGCACCATTGAAGCACTAGAGCCACGACCAAGAGTAGCCATTTTTGCAAATGCGCACGTGGGTATAACAATGCCACGCCCAACATAAAAAATTAATTTTTTTCTTATCCTCCTCCATTGACTCCTGTACATTTGGGGGTTTTGATCGTCAATTAAAATCCCATGACAATTCTATTTATGATTAATTATTATTTTTGACATTCCATTAATTAAGGATCATGCGTGTATCGTAGAATATGTGTGAATTTCTAATAGTCCATATCGTCTCCCCCCTGGGATCGTATGTCGTCAATTTTGAGTATCATCTTCACCAGCTGTGTGGCAAGGCATATCTGCTGCTTCTTTCCAATGAGAGTCTCAATCACATTCTGCTCACGCATATCTGCAGGAAAGAGAAAGAAAGAGGATACCCCTAACAAGCAAGATGGATGTAATTACTAATCAAATACATTCATTAATGGTGACCTTCATCTCCATGCCAAGGTTACAGTAACATTTACAGAAATACTGCCACAATTATACAGCTTAGATGAGAAAAGAAGCATAGATACAGTTCATATTACGTACCGTTGGTTCCTTTCCCCATACAGTCAATCCCCAGTCTCGGGTTCTCCGCTCTCGCCTGTTCTGATTTCACTTTAGCGACAGTTTCTATCGGATTCATGCCAGAGTTCTCTGCCAGTGCAAGAGGAATGGACTCAAGTGCATCAGCAAAAGCTCTCATTGCGTATTGCTCAAGAGTGGATATCTGAAAGAAAATAATAATAAAATATTAAAATATCATAAACAATACTACACTTGTATCCTTAATTAACTTAGCCACACCCACTCTTAACTTAGCCACACCCACTCAATTATTACTTTATCAGCTTCGGCAGCAACAGCAAGAGAGCATGCAATATCGGCAGCTCCTCCTCCATAGACTATCCTACTGTCACGGACCAGGTTCCTTATAACGCACAAAGCATCGTGGAGACTTCTCTTAGCCTCTTCAATGATCTAAAAATAAAAAAAAAAAGAATATAAAGGACAAAATTTATAGACATGCATGTATTAAATAAAAAAGAAAATAAAAATTTGACAATTAATGTATAATAATACACATATATGCAAGCTTGCCATTTTGTTTCCTCCTCTAATAAAGATGGTGACAGCTCTAGAGTTCTTGCACTCCTCAATCACTAACATGTGGTCTTTAGTAGTACCAAATGAAAGCTCTCGGACTACACCAGCAGTTCCCAGCTTCTCGGGAGAGAGCTCAGAAAACCTTGGAACAATACGACCACCAGTTGCTATTGCAATCAACTAAAATGTAGAGAAGTACATAATAATAGGTAGTGGTGTGTACGTGTATGTTCTTTACTTCTATCTCAGGTCCTCCCACCCATCTGACAGCTGGTAGATTGTTACTAAGTAGCAAGTGGTTGGCTTCATCATCAAAGCCCCACTGGCATATGGCAAGATTAGCTCCGGCATCTTTAACCTAAAAACAAGAAACAATTAAAATACATTTTAAACTATCTCTGTGAAGTACATGTGCATGTAGAACCAATCACTGTTTCCGTAAGTAATTTATTTTAACAAACATGTGGTCCATAAATGACATATTATTATATTTTACTTGTTTGATCATTTCGGTGAATTTCTCTTTCTCGTACTCCCTCAGTTTTCTGTAGTCCTCAACTGAAGACACATGAAGGCCGTATTTAGTCTTTGGCTTTGGCGGTTCAAATGGACACGTCAATATAGCAATCTTAGCATCTGTAATGCTCTATTAAAAAATAATAATAAAATTAAAAGAGAAATAGTAATTAATATAATAATATAATAACTAAATTACTAACTTTGGGCATCTGTGGGTGACTCATGTCCTTGTCCACTATCACTCCCTTTACTAGCATTGTGTCCTCAAGTTTCCCACCAACTTTCCCGGTAACTTTAATGAGCTCAAAGTCAACATCCTTCCTCTCCATGTCAGCAACAGACATGACGGCCTCTACTGCAATCTCGGCCATCTTTCTCTGACACTTATTGATGCTATACAAAGAGAAACAAACAAGAGAGTAAAGCAATATAGCTACCATTAAACACGTTTATAATTCAAAAGTACAATATGTACGCTAGTGCTGGGCGATAGTGCTACTATCATATCACGATTGATAGTTCTTAAAATTTTAACGATAGTGATACTATCACGATATTAACAATTAATTTTAATATATTTATTTAATGTAACAAAATAGGCAAAAGGATGAAAGGTAGATGAATATTTGAGGTTTTCAGCTAGAAGGACATTTTCTGGATGTAGACAAGCTCTTTTTTTAGTACCTATATTCCCTGCAGTACTATAAATACACATTCAGAGGGAACTGATGCCACCGGTATACATAAATATTTCCTAGCTATTATTGGATAACAAAAGAAATTTGTGTTCCACCATGCCAAAGGATTGTATATCATATATATCTAAGCTAATAGGCTCTAATATCTTGAAATTTCTGCATGAGCCTTTTGGAGATTATTCAAGCACTCAGAAATTTTACCATCAACAGCAGGAAAACTAAAATACTTCCATACAACACTAGTAGCACCAGGTAAAGGCAATATTTCTGTTTCTTTTTGGAGCAGTACTGCTACTAATGATAACATCTTCCATTTTTACAGCTGAACTAACTCATTAAAGTAACCACGTGTTTGATAATGCGCATGCGTACATGTACCACGTGTCAATCGTGATAGTGTTGATTCAACTATCACGATAGTGATAGTAGATTACTATCGCGACCATCGCATATATCGATACTATCGCCCAGCACTAATGTACGCCAAATCATACAGTGTCTTCAATAAATATTATTATTATGAGTGACACTAGCAATTCAATGGAGATTGATGTAGCATGGTGTCTGATCAGATATTGATACTAAAAACTATCAATACTGAAATTCCTTTCCATGCACACAATAAAATAAAAGACACATTAATTCTTAAAACTATTTAAATGCTGACATTTTAGACCCAAGTGTTGTCATGGCAGTGCGTATGAGAGGTTCCCTGTCTTCCTGACCAGCTGGAAAAACGTCACTGATTTCATCCAAACGCTTCAAGGCAATGTGTGCCGCCATTTCATATCCATCAGCAATCCTGATTGGATGGATACCACGATCCAATAACTGCTCAGCTTGCTCTAATAGAGCACCTGCTAATACTAGAGAGAGAGAGGGGGGGGGATATGGTAATAAAACATAAATATGTATATCCAATTCTCTAATGATTACAAATGATATGTATGCCCAAAGGAATTTTAATAGTGCTAATGTCAGTGCATTGTCAAAGTCAAAAATTGGGCCAGTGACCCTGTACTATAGTACAGGGTCACTGGCCAAATTTCACCAAAAATGACTAGGTGAGAATTCTTTAATTTTATAATGTTTTCTGATGCATATACATGTACTTATGTTGTGTAGCAAGTTTGAGCTGATTCCGATCAAAATTGGATTTTTTATGATTTTTTTAAAGCTACTCAAAAATTGGGCCAAAGTCCCTGTACTATAGTACAGGGACTTTGGCCAAATTTCACCAAAAATGACTAGGTGAGAATTCTTTGATTTTATAATGTTTTCTGATGCATATACATGTACTTATGTTGTGTAGCAAGTTTGAGCTGATTCCAATCAAAATTGGATTTTTTATGAATTTTTTAAGTTACTCAAAAATCAGGCCAAAGTCCCTGTACTATAGTACAGGGACTTTGGTCAAATTTGGCCAAAAATGACTAGGAGAGAATTCTCCACTTTTATGATTTTTTATGATACATATACATGTTCTTATGTTGTGTAGCAAGTTTGAGCTGATTCCGATCAAAATTGAATTTTTTACAAATTTTAAAAGTTGCTCAAAAAGCCATGTACATGTACATGTACTGTATTGTAGTTCTTATCTGCTCATAAAGCTCATGCTGTTAGCTCACTTAGCATGCTTTGTGGGAAATCCTGCTATACATGCACATATATACTTCTATATATATCTTACCAACAACTGATGTAGTACCATCACCAATCTCATCATCCTGACTCTTTGATAGTTCAACTAAGAGTTTAGCTATCTGGTGCTCTACGTCCATTTGCTGAAGAATGGTGGCTCCATCATTAGTAATGGTGACATCACCATCAGGACCAACCAGCATCTTATCCATGCCTATCGTAATACATAGAGTAATGTTACAATGTTACTGCAAACACTCTGTGTGTGATATATTAGTACATGTACAATGTATCAATTGTAATTTTTTGTCCCATTAAGATTTAAGTCATAAACATCCATCACATTATCCTTCAGAATTTCAACTGAGTCTGACAAGAAAATTCCACATAGCACTCCAACAATAAAGTATATGCATCATTTATGGTTTTTACGCCATTATTTAAAAGTAATTAAATAACTAGCCACACCCTCTAATTAATTAAATTCATTACCGATAATTATTAATTAATTTAAATTTGCTACATACAAGAGGTTATTCTCACCTTTGGGTCCCAGTGAAGTTCTTAATATATTAGCAAGAGTTCTTCCAGCCAGGATATGGGACTAAAAATAATTATTAATAATTAAATAATATTATTTTCTTCTCTAACCTTGTGAGCCTGTATTCCATGGAGCCTCTTCTTGGTGCTTTGGTCCTTTATGATTATAAATGGACGACCAAACTCGTCAAAAGCTAATGTTGGTTGGCCACTCATTTCTAGTTCTGCTCCTTGTCGACTCCACCTACTTCGACACGTGGATCTTTTTAAGGAGCATGCGCAGAAAAGTATGAAAGTTTGAATTTTCCAAACTTCTAGAATAGAAATTCGAAATTGGAAATTTGGAATTAAAAGGCGTGTCTAAAATTTGAAAGAAGGTGTGGCTAATTACAGAATGGCAGAAAGTGGGAGCAAATTATATTTGGGACTGGATTTTAGCACACAGCAAGTATGATTTGCTTTTTTGCATGTGTCATTTATTTTTTACATTTATATTCTGGTGTTACTAAAAATAGATCAAAGCAACTATTATTGATGATTCACTGGAATTGCTGTTAGGAGACTTTGATACTAGCGTCTCTTTTGATGATCTCAGGCAATACAAGTGAGACTGGGGCTGCATTAGAAAAATTTAAAATTGCAGGGGCGTCTAATTTTAAATGGGTGTGGCTTAATTTTTGGGGGTGTGGCTTTGACTATGCAATTTGAGAAATGTCCTTTTGTTGTACTACAGATGTCCAGCTAGTATTTTGTTACTTGTAATGCATGATTTTAATTTGTTTGTCTATAGCAAAAGTTATTCATCAATATTAAGACTGAGTAGTGTACGTATGAATTATTATTTTTAGCCGAGTTATTAGCTATTTTGGTGTTAGCTCATTGCTGGTTAATCTGTAGTAATTAATGGCTTCGTAGCGTAGTAGCATGACATTATTTTGATGTTAGCAACTTACTCAGTCAGCATTGGCTGACACAGCAAAACAGCAAAACACCATTGTTTTACTACCAGCTGTCGCAGCCAATACAATAAAGTGAAGAAGAAACTGTCCTACTTTGCTGCTACTTGGAACACGAAAAGTATTCTGTTCTCATTGATGGTTGCTGAGTTTATCTCCAACAGAAGATCAGCAGATAAAATGAGGAGAGTATATGGTGCAATGTACATGTATCTTGACTATGTTCTCGGTATTGCTCTGCTGGCTATAAAATTTGGTACAATCATATTCCAGTCATTTCATGTGTTTGATTCAATCACTGATTCTGTCCCTCATATCAATGCTAGTTGGAGTCTTGATGAGAATGATACTGATTTCAATGTTGTCACTATTCCTGGCAACATCTTGTTAGCCATTTGGATGACCTCGTTGGCCGTGTTCTTTTTATATTTTCTTTTTCTTTCCTTTTCCTATTTCAATGCTTATCCTTTAAAGAAACTGCTTGTAACTGAGGTATCAATACTTGTTTCACTAATAGATCCACTTAGCACTCTCTCAATGCTACTAAGTGACTCTCACTCACATTACATTGCTTTCGCTTTATTAAACCACATCTTTTTCATTTTCATTCTCTCATTTTCTCTGATGTCATTTCATTCATGCTTTGTCAGACAGAAGCGCACACTATCTTTAATACTCTTCAATTTACTGATTGGATTTTTTGTTCTCTCTCAGTATATTTCTATGGTAGCTTTTGTGGCTAACATTGGATTATTTTTTATCATGCCAACATCTGTGGTCATCAAATGGATATTTATATCTCTGACAATTTTGTTTATTCTTATAAGTATTTTCAAAACATACCTTGGTCGTTTCTTTGTCCATTATCATCATGCATTAAAGAGAAACCAGCAGATATACATCAGTTTATCTTTCATGGTCGCTATCCCTTGTCTGGTCAACCCAATCATATCACTTGTTATGATTGGTTTGAATGGTTTCATTGCTTTCAATTTTGCTACTAGTCATCTGTGTTACGTTGCAATCATTGCTCTGGGTGTCAGTTTTGTTATCGATATTATATTCCTTGTTGCTTTTTGTGGCTTTTGCTGTCACAAGTGCTCTCATTCTGATACAGAAGCTTGTGATGATGAAGAACAAGACACTTTATTATGATTGTGTACTTCCTCTTTCATTATGAGTATTACAATGATAATCACATATTGTATACAATTGTTTCATTACTTTCATAAAATCGTTATTGCTCCAATACTGAAGACTGACATCACTATACATTATACATATACATTACCAATATCTGTGCTCTGTGTTTATTTTATTCACTCTCATGTTTTCCGTATAATAATCACTACATCCTACATGTGTGCTGCATGCCAATGTCCTGGAAGCCAACAAGCTGCCCTATAGTATAAATATTATATTAATTATAGCTACTCCATTGGCCAATTCTTTACTACTACAAGGGCTTTTGTCCTCTTAGTAGTGGTCACTGACTGGGCAATTGTTTTTTCAAGGAGTGGGAAATAAGAAGGAAAGGCTTACAGTATTCTAAGCTGAAAGGAAGGAGAAAGAGAAAGGAGGATGAGATTCTATACTATCTTCTCCATCTATGGCCTAACTTTCATTTGTGCCAAGTTTTTTGATATATCAATCTCATCTTTTGATGTCTTTGACTTGATGCCCCTACTGGAGTTTGAGGGCAACTCCACATGTTCTCTCTATGGCCCAGAGGACAGCAATGTCACCAGCTGGATCTTCTACTGTTTCTCTATACTCATCACATTCATTTTCCTCCTGTTTTTCTGTACCTGTAACCTGGTCTGTATCTGCCTTGATGATGATGAGTGTGGCCAGAGTCTTAGTAGCAGCAAGATGAAGGCATTGGCTGAACTCTCCATCTATTTTGTCTTCTTCAATCCAATCAGTCATGTCAACCTCCTACTAAACACATGCTTTGCTGGCTATGTCATGGTCTCCATTTCTATCATTGCCTATTTCGTGACTGTTAATATCCTGGTGACCATGTTTGCCCAGTGCTTTCATGTCAGGAAAGCCTCTTCGTGTGGACTTCGAGGTATATTCCTAACCTTTTTCCTAGTCTTTCTTCACACGGTACAGATATCAGCTTGTTTCTTCAGTCTAGCTGTGTTTTATACATTCCCCGAAAACCCCGACCTAACCAACGCCCGTTATTCTTTCTCGGCCCTCGTTGCTCTCATTTTCTTCTCAACTTTCCTCAAAGGGACGACCAACCGACTGAGTCTCTACACGTTCCTCTTCCGAAGGAGGGACCATTTTTTCTGTGAGAGGTGCTGCATTGATGCTGTTGCTACTTTCATTCACATTTTCTCAAGTGTCTTCATGGTACTCACAATACTCAGGTATTATTTCAATTCTGGGGTTCTCCTTCATTTCTTGACGCTGGTCCTCCTCCTGGCAGCTATTCTTGGCAGTCTGGTCATGTCTTTATTCAATTTCTACGTCTGCTTTACTGATAAACCTGATTCATATCTTCTAGGAGATGATGGAGAGGAGTTGATAAGGTTGGAGAATGGAGAGAATGAGCTGGTGTCTATGGATGAGACCAGAATGATGGGATTGGATGATCCGCCTGAACACGACGACGACGACGACGATGATACATCATAAGAACTGAACAGCAACAATAACAACAGAAATTTTGCACTTGATTTATCTCCATATTGGTATATTAGTCACATGTTCTCATCATTCTCTACTGTATATATTATAGATTTTTGTTGTTGCTATTATTATTATTTTCAGGTAGTCAGGCTAATCCAATAACAAAGAATAATTCATTAATTAATTTTGCGTGGGCTAACACCCACGCATACTTTCTGCCCCTCCCACATAATAATCTAAAGGTGTGGCTGTTTAGCAGCAGAGCACAATGAAGTTCTGGATCTTTGGTCTTGCTTTCCTGATCCCCAGCGTCGTAGATGTGGGCCTCTCGCTGATAGACACTTTCAGTTTTATCGACGAGTTCCAGCCTAGCTGCAATCTGACCTCAGACAAGATCAAACAGTCCAATTTAATCGTTAGCAGTAAAGTTGAGTCAACTCTGGAGGATGTGCTACACTTATTGTCAACCTCTACCTTTGCTTGGTCCCTTGCAATGACTGTTGTCTTCTTTTTGCTCTTTCTTGTTGGCTGTTGCTCTCATATAAGATCAAGGATTATGCTGAAAGTACTCCTTGAAGTATCTATACTAGTAACTTTATTTGGACCAGTCACTAACATTAAGTTGTTACTCATGGACTGTCTGACTGGATACTTTACCATCTCTCTCTCGCTTTTCTTATACTCTATAGCTGTCATAGTAACAACTTTGACCACAGAGTTGAGGTTTAGAACTTTCAGGCTTAGCTACATCTGCCATATCATCACATTCATTTTTATAACGTTATCTAAAGCAGTTCAAATCATTGCCTCCACTTCTAGCTTCGCTATTTACTTTCTGATGTCATCAAATCACAAAGTGACCACTTACACATTTCTAATGTTTCTCCTAGTCCAATTGGGCTCAATGTGGATCAACAACATTGTCAACCGCTCCAAATTTTATTATTTTTTCTTCCGCAAAGCCAACCCAATGCACCACTGCTGTAGTTGCTCAGTCTGGGACCATCTCCCTAAAGGAATACTCTGCATTAGAGTCATTGATATAGCAGCTTCTTTGCTCAATATTTTCTCTTGCATTGTCTTGATAGCTCTGACTTCATTGTATGCAGAGAGAGGCAGGAATCTCTTCTTCATTGCACTCTTTTCTCTTTGTGTATCGGTTCTAGTGAGCCTGTATCAGCTCCCATGGAAGCATTGCTGCATTTCTCAAGATGATGATGATGATGATTATGATGAAGAGGAGGAGTCATTGATAACTGGATATGACTGAGAATCAACATTGCTGTATCTATAGCTGTATCTATAGCTGAACCTGAATATTGTCAATTATTTGAGAGTGTTTTGTATATTTATTTTATTAATTGCTTTTTTTATGTTGTGTGCCATCTCACTGATTTAAATTTTAAATAATATTTTATTATGAAAAAAGTTCAAATACTTTATTCTTTATTGCAGTACTTCTGGTGGTGTGATTAGACATGAAGATGGCAGGACTGTCACTGCCCCTACCATCATGTGGGTGGAGGTTAGTTCATACATTGCTACACACATACTAAAGCTAGTACTAAAGAAATGCAACTTTCTATGACACAGATACACTTATAATATTATTTTTATCATTTTCTATTCCTAAAGGCTCTTGATATCCTTTTGAACAAGTTGAAATCTTTAAATTTTCCATTTGAGAAAGTGGCAGGAATATCCTCAAGTGGGCAGCAGCATGGGTCTGTATACTGGCGTAAGGGGTCCGAGGAAGTCCTAAAATCACTGGAACCCTCACAAACACTAGCTTCCCAATTGCAAGTAAGAAATGACAATTACTGACAGCTTATTGTGTTATTTTTTAAAGTCTGTGTTTAGTATACCTCAGTCCCCAATATGGATGGACTCCAGTACAACTGAGCAGTGCAAGCAGTTGGAGCAACAGTGTGGAGGGTCATTGGTAACACTCATAATAATAGTCTATGAAAATAACTTTGATATTTTAATACAGGTTGTTGCCAAGAAAACTGGATCAAGAGCTTATGAGGTAGCATGATAGCATCTGTATTTATATTATGATGTAGTAGCACTCAATTTTTTTATTAAATGTACAGTAGTACTGTAAGACTGATTAGCTACTATAAAGTTTACATTATCAGCTACAAAATTTTACTATAGAGATTCACTGGGAACCAAATTGCAAAGCTGAACATAGTTGATACTGTCAATCTTAGAGACACTGAGGTATTAGACTAGCTGATTGAGAAGATTTTTAATTCTTTTTTGTAGAGGATTTCACTCGTGAGTAGCTTTGGAGTTACTCTTTTTGCTGGTAATTATGCTCCAATTGATTACAGTGATGGTAAGTATGAATAATAGTAATAGTGTTTTTCTAAAACCCATTTTGACAAAAATCACATTGAGGAAATTCATTTTTATAATCTTTTCTGATGCATATACATGTTCTTATGTTATGTGAACTGATTCCAATCATAACTGGGATTTTAAAAGTTGCTTTAAATTTTGTGTCTGAACTATAATTTTTCTTAATAGGATCTGGAATGAATCTACTGGACATACAGAGCAAGAACTGGTGGCAAGAAGCACTTGATGTGAGTGAGGAATTCATTGTGTCATTGTTCTTGTTGCTCCTCCAGGTTTGCTGCCCTAACCTTAAAGATTTGCTTGGTGAACCAGTTCCCTCAAACACTGTAGTGGTATGTAAGAATATATAATAATAATAATAATAATAGTAATGATGATAATAATAAATAGGGTAATATCAGTGATTATTATGTTAAGAAGTATGGGTTTAGTCCAGATTGTAAGATTGTTGCAGGCACTGGTGATAATCCTTGTAAGTATTGTCACATTTATGTTTTATTACTATTAAAAAATTTAATTTATACATGATTTTATAATTATAGTAATTGCTTTAACTAATTATTTTTATTTTTAGCATCATTGGCAGGCATGACATTGCAAGAAGGAGATGTTGAGGTTAGAATTGCTGAATATAAATGCACCATTCATGCATTCATTCATTCAATAATGTTGTACATTCTGTAGGTTAGTTTGGGTACTAGTGATACAGTGTTCCTGTGGATAACTGAAGCTGATCCTCAACTGATGGGGCATGTGTTTGTGAATCCTGTGGACAGCTTAGCATTCATGGCTCTACTATGGTATGTCACAGTACTAAACAGTGGAATTGAATTGATGATATGTTTGTTAGTTATAAGAATGGATCACTAACAAGACAGAGGATTAGGGATCAATGCAGCAATGGTGACTGGACGGTTAGTTTGAATGATTACTTATTGACTTGAGGGATATTTTATTAGGAATTTGAACAGTTACTAGCTTCAACTAACCCTGGAAATGGAGGATGTATTGGTCAGTCTATATTGTTGTACTTGTAGATAACAGTGTTCATTAAGCCTTTAACTACTAACTATGAAGTGTAGATGTACATTAGTGAATGCATTACTGCTTATATGCGTATTAATGTAGTTAGTTTATTATAATTAAGTATATGCATGTATTGTTTGTTGTTAGGGTTTTATTATGATGATCCTGAGATTACTCCACCAGTTGTTGGTGTTCATCGTTTCTCATCAGATGATACACCAGTTGATTCATTTACTCCAGAGACAGAAGTGAGGGCAGTAGTTGAAGGACAGTTTCTTGCTAAATACATCCATGCCTGTTCTCTTGGCTATCGTATCACGCCTTCTTCTCGCATTCTAGCAACCGGAGGTGCTGCAGAAAACAAACAAATTCTGCAAGTAAGCCAGTTCTATATTTCTCTAATATAAATTATATTGATACTGATAGATACTGGCTAATGTCTTTAATGCGTGTGTGTATACTGGAGTCACTACTAGTTCAGCTAGTCTGGGAGCTGCTTACAGAGCTAAACATGGTATACATTGCAGTATTATTATTAATAATATTTTATTTTGTTTGATTCCAGCTTTGATGGAGCCTGGCACTTCATTTGAAACTATTGGACAACTAGCACGCTCTGTGTATCCCTATAGCCTGGGAGTAGAGCCACAGAGGGATGTACACGAAAAGGTTAAGTATAAATTTATAGATCATCATTTTTATTTTTGTTGTTTTTGCTTGTTAGGTGTACCAACCAATGGCCGAAAGAGTTGAAAGTCTTCTGGCTCAGCTTCCAACTTTCCAATGAATGATGACATTTTTTCTATTTTTTTGTAGCTATGCTATTTTTATTTTTTGCATTGAAGTTAAAAAAAATTAATGTCTTGCAAGTTATTTTGGATAATGTCCATAACTTGTATGGGTGCAACTATTGTAGGTGTGTTCCTGAAAAAGGCTGAGAGCTTGAGAAGAACACGTGAGCGTTGTATCACAGTCATAACAAAGGTGCGTTTTCCATCTATCTCTGTCAAAATTTCCTCCTTTCTTCTCTCTAAGTTTTGTAAATATCCTTAGCACAAGACTAACATGTTGATCACTGTTTTTAGGAAGGTAGGTGAAGTGTTATTTTAAAATGGTTAAGTTTCTTGGTGTTATGTCACATGTGATAAAATTATTGTAATGCTGCGCTACTATGCGGCGTTATTGTTGTTATTATTATCATCATAGGCTGCTAAGGTGACCTTTAGAGCTCTTGATAGAAGATTCCAACAAGTAATGGCAAGCTCTTCCTGGACACTGCAAGAACCTCTTGAAGAGGATGACCCTGAAATATTTGAACTAATTAAGAAAGAGAAACAAAGACAGAGGAATGGACTGGAACTAATTGCATCTGAAGTAAAAAAAATTATTATTCTAGTTCTACTTTATTATTATTTTTTAATAACAGAATTTTGCCAGTCGGTCTGTATTGGAGGCAATGGGTAGTTGTCTGAACAATAAATACTCGGAGGGATATCCCGGCCAGAGATACTACAGTGGGAATGAAGTCATTGACAAGATCGAGTCACTTTGTCAAAAGAGAGCCCTTGAAGCATTTGGTCTTGATCCTAAAGAATGGGGAGTCAATGTGCAGCCTTATTCTGGTTAGGAGCAATGAGGGTGTGTCTACATGTAATGGGATGGGATGGTTTGCTATAATTATTCATCAATTGTAGCTGTTTTAATATGCAAATGTTAATTCCAGGTTCTCCAGCTAACTTTGCTGCATACACTGGTATATTGAATCCACACGATCGCATCATGGGTCTTCATTTACCTGATGGAGGACAGTAAGTACAATGTATATGTACTATAGCTTCTATGTATATTATCTTCTTTAGTTTGACTCATGGCTTCATGAGAGGTTCACAAAGGGTCTCAGCTACTTCTCTTTATTTTGAGTCAATGCCTTATCATATTGATGTAAGTTGTGTGTTCTAGCAAGTCATAATAGCCAGCTGCACATTCAACACCTTCCTAATTATGTCTCTAACCTTTAACAAAAGAACTTCTCTCTCTTTCTCTCTGTTCTTTATTTTTCTTTTACTTCTTTTCTTTCTCTAGCCCAAGACTGGTATCATCAATTATGATCAGCTGGAAATGTTTGCAAAATCGTTTCATCCTCGCATGATCATTGCCGGCACTTCTGCATACTCTCGCCTCATTGACTACCAGAGAATCAGAAAAGTAATCATCTTCTAAGTCTATATATATGCATTTTATTTTAATTAGAGCAATAGCTAATGTTATATTAGTTATTGTTGTTACAGAGGATGTGAATTTTTGTCATTTTCTTGTTTAGATATGTGATGATAATGGTGCTTATCTGCTCTCAGACATGGCACATATTAGCGGATTAGTTGCTGCTAGAGTAAGTATATCGTATAAACTACTACACAGTTGAAAGAACATGTGTATGGAGGAATTACACTATGCTTCTTTTTCTAATTGTTATTGCTTTTACCTTCTCCTTTCCTCTTTTTTTTCCACTAGGTTATTCCAAGTCCTTTTGAATATTCTCATGTTGTCACGACAACCACACACAAGACACTCCGTGGGGCAAGATCAGGGATGATATTCTACAGGAGAGGAGTGAAAGAGATCAACAAGCAAGGCCAGGAGGTCATGTATGATTTTGAAAAGAAGATCAATGCTGCTGTATTCCCTGCCCTTCAAGGTGGACCTCACAACCATGCCATTGCTGGAGTTGCTGTTGCACTTAAACAGGTCAATTTGATATGTGCTTTATAATGTAGACAATTTATTTGTAGCTCATGGTTTTTTCCAAAAAAATGACTCCAAAATTACTTCCAATTTTTATTACATTTTCTGATACATATTGATGTCCTTATGCTGTGTAGAAAGTTTGAGGTGATTCCGACTACAGTTTTCCAAGTTACAGCCATTTTAAGAAAACGCCAAATTTCTGAAAAGTACCCAAGGCTATAGCCCATGGTTTTTTCCAAAAAAATGCCTCTGAAATCACTTCCAATTTTTATTACATTTTCTGATACATATTGATGTCCTTATGCTGTGTAGAAAGTTTGAGGTGATTCCGACTTCAATTTTTCAAGTTACAGCCATTTTAAGAAAATGCCAAATTCTGAAAAATACCCAAGGCTATAGTCCATGGTTTTTCCAAAAAATGGCTCCAAAATCACCCCAAATTTTTATTACATTTCTGATACATATTGATGTCCTTATGCTATGTAACAAGTTTGAGTCAACTCTGACAAATATTTTTAGAGTTATGAGCATTTATGCTTGAGCTGATTTAAGCTTGAGCTGATTTTGTGTTTTTGCTGTAGGCGTGTAGACCAGAGTTTAGGGTGTACCAAGAGCAGGTGGTTAAGAATGCGAAGGTCCTAGCGGAGAGTTTGATGGGATTCGGGTATCATATTGTATCTGACGGAACTGATACTCATCTTATGCTCCTTGATTTACGAGGAACTGGTAAGAGACCCTAAAAAACATAGAATGAAGAGTTTATTATTATCATTCATAATATTTTTAATTTATTTGCACTTTTTTACACCCACACTTTTTAAAACCCACAACCAACTATGTTAAAGATAAAAGCTCATTGGTTTTATGTACATGATGTGTTTTGTTTAGGGATGGATGGAGCTGGGGGTAAAGCTGATCGTGTACTGGAGCTAGCTTCAGTGACTGCTAATAAGAACACAGTTCCAGGAGACCGGAATGCAATGAACCCCAGTGGACTGAGACTAGGTGAAGCAAAGAGAAATAGAGCATTGTTATGAAAAGCTGTAGAAGGAATATTGTTAGATGACAAATTAGAGTGTCATATTTATTTTAAATGATGTAGCTATAGTTGTTTTCAAAAATCAGCTCCAAAAGTATACCATGAACAGCATAAAGTTGATTCTCAATTTCCCATCAATAGTTTTGAGTTGTATTATCCTTTTTCTGCAGGGACACCAGCTCTTACCTCTCGCTTTATGAAAGAGGATGACATGAAGCAAGTCGGTGCTTTTATTCATGAAGGAGTTCAAATTGCTTGTGAAGTCAATCAGAAGCTAGAGGCAGCTGGTACCAAACCAACCAACAAAGTTTTCAAGGAATTTGTTGTAAGTGATGCCCCAACCATAGCCAAGATTGAGGAACTGAGAGGAAGAGTTGAAGAATTTGCAAAGAAATTCCCTATCCCAGGATTTGATGAACACTAAAAAAATAAAAACTTGAACTTGAACATTTCTGAGTGTTATAATTTTATTTTCTATGATTATTTATTCATAGAGTGTGACGTAATACACGTCATCACTATAATTGAATTAATTATTAATTACCTAATAATGGCGTTGTTGTCTGTCACATGACGGTCACAAAGTGAAGCAAGGAAAAGACTCGTGATCCTGTCTTGGCAAATTACTCAGCATAAAACATACTACCAGTCCTAAACTCTTCATTTCTTTCTGACTGTATTCTACGCTAAATTAGTTCACAATGAACAGACTAATCGGAGGAGCGAGGAAGAAGGAGCCACCTCCTAATCTAACACAAGTTGTTGCTGGGGTAAGTATCATTAGACTCACACAGACACGTTGATCTCTTTGTATTGCCTCCTGTGTGTACAGGTGGACAGTAGATCCGAGTCTGTCGAGAAAAAGATAGCAAAGTTGGACATGGAATTGAAGAAATACAAAGATCAAATGAAGAAGATGAGAGATGGGCCATCAAAAGTAAATATTATGAAACATAATGAGTTTTAAAGAGATATAAAGCTTTGTCGAATGCTCTGGTTCAGTTCTTGTACCAGTAGATTAGATTGCATTTGACAATTTAAAGTGCTAGTACATACATTTGTACTTTGGGAGTTTGGGTGGAGTTTTGCTAATGGAACTCCGCCCAGACTAACTCAGTAAATTTAGCAGTGAAATAGCCAACTGCACTTTTTATTTTAAATCCCATTAACTACTTACACGATAAATATATAATCATTATTTTTCTCATAGAACATGGTGAAGCAAAGAGCCATGAGGGTTCTGAAGCAGAAGAAAATGTACGAGAACCAGCTGGAGGGATTGCGTAATCAGTCCTTCAACATGGAGCAAGCAAACTTTACTACTCAAATGCTTAAAGACACTAAAAGTACTGTTGATGCAATGAAAGGAGGACTGAAAGACATGAAGAAATATTACAAACAAGTCGACATTGGAAAGATTGAGGTAATCAAGTGACTATACGGTACTAGTATTAGTGGCTAAGATCCTTTTATATGATGAGTAATCGTCTTTCTTTGTTCTTTTATCTCTTCCAATCTTGTTTTCTGTGTAGGATCTTCAAGATGAGATGGAGGATATGATGGAAACAGCAAATGAGGTTCAAGAGGTATTAGGGAGACAATATGGTCTCCCTGAAGATGTAGATGAAGATGATCTAGAAGCAGGTGTGACATATACATTCTACTTCTTGGTATTAGTGCATATGCTTCATTATTATGATCAGTTTTAAAATCAGTGTTAAAATCAAAATCAGATTAAGTGTTACATGTACATAGTGTTACATATTTTTGTCCAATTTGTAGAATTGGATGCATTAGGTGATGATTTTCTTGCTGATGGTGACACAGACTTCCTTGACGATACAGCCCTACCCAATCCTCCTACTAAAGACCCTGTTGGATCAGATACAATCAAAAGCAAAGTAGGATATTGATAATAATAATAATACATTATTGATGACTATCGAGTTGCTTTTGTGTGCATTTCATGATTATCTGTTAATAAGAAACAAATATTTTTGCATATTTTCTGCTTGTTAAAATCAGCATATCTAGGCTGTGTACATCTTTTTAAATTATTTTCTATTTACTGTTGTTTATAATGGGATCTACAATGGGTTAATTTTCAGTTATAGTTTTAGTTATAATTATTTTCTCTGCTTCTACAGGATGGAGTATTACTGGATGAATTTGGACTGCCACAAACATGATTTGGAGAATATCAATTTTTTAAAACATTAACACATTGTATCTCTCTCTTTCTCCCTAACCTGTGTAGTTTATGACTTTTATTACTGTTTGTTGGACTGTATATCAGATTAAATATTATTATAATTGATAATGTAAATGTAGTGTTAATTATTAATTATTATTATTATGTGCTGTTATGAGAACTTTTTGATGATGAAACTGATAGTACTGGGTTTGAACCAGTGGAGTATGAATGCATTGATGAAGTGCCAGGAACTGACTCGTGTATGTAAGTGTGTAATTGTAAGGGTATTCCCTCTCCATCCCCTGGTGCCAACCTTACTCCCTCATCAGTTTTCATGGTAACCGGTATGCTGTTTGATTGCTGAGATGACAGATTAAAGGTCTCTGGAGTTTCAGTTGTCATAGCCACCGGTGTGCCACATGCACTTGGCTGAAAGTCAGAGTTTGGGCTTTCTTCAAACGTGTTACTTTTCTTGGCTTTCTTCATTTCTTGATGTCTAACTGAGCGACGTTGTACCCTTCTTAATCGGGACAACTCTGTCTTGTATTCTCTCTGTGTCTTACCAAGGACTGAGAGCTCCTCTTGTATCTTAAGAGCAAGGGAGTAGTCCATCTTTTCTTTAGCCTGCAGCAGCAATGCTTGCTTCATCTTCTCTTTGGAGGCATTCTCTCCTATGAGGAGCTCCACTTGTTGGATTTGGAGCTCACGACGTTCATAATTCTCCTCAAAGCAATTTCTAAACTTACCATCCGGGCCTCTATTGACTGAAAGAGGTAGACGAATGGATGAGGTAGGGAAGAGAGACCAAGAGAGGTCAGTCTTGGGTTCTATGGCAGAATAAATGGGGTGCCCAGTTTCAAGTACAATCGAAGGATATTGTTTGACGAGTTTCTTTGCCAATTGAATCAGATCCTTTTGTCTTACTAGTAGCGTGGGATCCCACAGGCACAGCTGCAGCGCTGCCTCATTCAGTAACTGCTCCTGATCAGTCAGAGGAGAAATGCTGCTACTGAAAATAATGGATGCTTTTCGGAATATCTCCAGCCTTCCTTTGTCCCATATCATGGGTGAGATAGGGCTTGGTCCCAGTTCTTGCTGCACAGGTACAGTATCGTCCACTAGGGCCTGCAACTGGTCCCTGCTTATCAAAGAAAGTCTTGAAGAATTAGGAACTCCTGATCTAGTAGCCATTAATTCAAATAAACTATTGCTGTTTTGAGTTAGTGAGTATGATGATAGGTGCTGACTGGCACCACTGCTTTGCAATTGCATTGGTTGAGGTACTACAGGAGATGGTCTTTGCAAAGACCCAGCAATAGATCCAGGTTCGTCTATCTGTGTTGCATAAACAGTAACAGTGTGGGTCGAGCTATCACCCACCGCCTCACTGCCCATTAGACCACTGGGCCCTCCTCCGCCCACCGATGGACCCAACCGGTTGATGGCCTTCTTGAACCGGAGGACGTGGAATGGCTTCTTGGACATGCCGGTCATCTCGAGGAGACTCTGGAAGTCCGGCTCTGGGAGGGACGCCAGTTGCTCAGAGTCATCGGCGCCTATGTCCAGCAATGGTGTGATGTATTGCGAAAGGTTTGCTTTTTGAAGAGCGTCGCCGATGGATTCCATGTATAAAAGCAATGGTAAGCAGTAGATACTTCTCTTTCTTAGTGAGGATACACTAAATCACTGCTAGATATTGTCTTATCTTGTAATTATTCTTACCAATAGCTTTCCTGTGTCCTGTGCCTATCTCTAATATCGGTGTTCCGATGTTTACCAACTGCGCATGCGCAGGATCGACACAGCGGATGGGTGTAACGGGTCGACTAGACTAGACTACGCATGCACAGGAAATGGGCAATAATAAAATGGCGGGTAAGAAGGATGACATTTTAAAATCCATTTCAAATGCTTCAAAAGACCCCTCACCTTTTCTTTCTTTGTACAGAAGCAGTGTAAGAGATAGAAATTTTTTTAATGTAATTTGTTTTTAATAGATAAAACCCAGTCGATCAAAATCAATCTCAATAAAAGAATTTCTACAATCTCTTCCTTCAAACGACAGAGAACTTGTATGGGACTCACTCCTAAAGCTATGTAGTGATACTATGGATAAAGTAGCCATTAACGAGGGCGATGGAGAGGAGGATAGTGATACATTAGTAGCTGTTGAGGGAAGCTTAAGTGAGATAGTGGCTACATTTGAAGGGATCGTCCATTGGGTATATTCTTATATAACGAATGAGGAGTCCCCTGTAGTTAGTGACCTTCTATTGGAATTGGCAGTAAATTTACATAGTAAGAGTTTTAATAGTACTACTTATTCTTTTATGTGTTTAATATACAGGGTTTCGTGCTTCATGAGTTGGCAATAGCATACATGGGTATGCCTTTATTATGGCTTTTGGAGTAACTTTAAAAATTCATTAAAAAAATCCAATTTTGATCAGAATAAGCTCAAACTTTCTGCGCAACATCAAAACATGTTTATGTATCAGAAAAAAATTTGAAAACTTGGAATTCTTTCCTTGCCATTTTTGACAAAATTTGGCCAACGACTATGTACAGGGACTTTGGCCAGATTTTGGAGCAACTTTAAAAATTTATGGAAAACCCAGTTTTGATTGGAATGAGCTCAAACTTTCTACACAACATAAAAACATGTATATGCATCAGAAAAAATTATGAAAATGAAGAATTATCTCCTTTTTAATTTTGGCAAAATTTGGTTTGAGAACATAGGCCTATGGGAAAACCTACATGTAGTTGTACGTCAAATTACATGTAATATTGCTATATCTCACTCTCTTATGTACATATACATCTTATAGGTTTCATGTTGACATTTAGTGAAGAGTATTTCAAACTAACGGACTCCATTTCTCTGATGTGTGAGACGTGGTGGAATAAAGACCTTCGAATGAAAGAGCTCCTAGTCACTAATACGATACTATTCATATTAGCCAAAGCACACAACAGCACCAAGGTAAAGCAGGAAAGCGTTGTAATGTAAAAGCAATAGTAATAATAATATTGTATCTTAATTGTGATGTTTTAAGATGAATTGGTTGTATTGAAATCTATGTTAACTTATGTTGCTTAATTTTATTTGCTTTGATTGCTGTGTTGTCATCCAACAGGTGGTTGATTTGAAGAGGTTGTGGTCTGTACGTGAGTCTTTCTTCCTCTTGGATTTTGAGGATGAAAGTGCTGACTCTATCAAAGAGCTACTACTGAAAACGTTAATCTCTCCTTTCTTTTTGAAATCACCAGAGGCAAGTTTAAAGTAACAAGTACCTAAATTTTATTATTATTATTATTATTATTATTATTATTATTATTATTATTATTATTATTAGCAGTTGTAGTAGTAGAGAAAAAGTAACAAAAAAGCCTAAACAAGTTATTTTTATTTTTATTATTATTTTATGGTATATTATTTTTACTTTAATGTACTGTCATGTACACATAAATACACTTTGTCTCTTTTAGGGTGTCAAATTCATTAGCTACACATTTACTTTTGACATTCAATTCACCGATGTCATTCACAGTGTCATCAAATCAATGTTACCAGATGCACCAAAGTGAGCCCCTTTACTCTCTTCACAGACACTACATATACACACTATACATCCACCCATTGGCTCCCATTGCTCATTCATTGTACCATAAATTGTAGCACTAGTGGGTCTACCATATACCATATACATGCTATATAAGCATGTGTGTGTGTGTGTGTGTGTGTGTGTGTTTATATGTATTTATTGCAGGTGGGTGGTTGAGGCGTATGGTAAAGTTTATTTTAGAGCTTGGAGGATCTCTTCAGGGAGTCTCCTTCACCACATTGAGACTCATTACTTACAAGACCTCATCCATTTGTGTATACATGCACCAAGGAAAGGAGGAGGAGGGAGATCACCTTTTCTTACACTGAGAAGAGTTAGTAGCTATAGCATATTGTTTAGTATTATGATAATTGTACCTATGCTTTTGTGTATGTTTTTTTATAATATTATGTGTGTCTGTATTATACTGAAGATGCATATCTTTAAATATACATGTACATGTTTTAATAGCTGTATGGTTGCCTATTTAAATAAGCTGAGATCATCCATTCAAATTAATGATGATGGTTTTATCAATCTCTAGTTATTGAACCAGTTCCATTCAGAGATCACTCAGAGATCAGTGCAGGAGGTGCTCTATCGTTTGTATAAGCCGCTCCTCTGGCGCTCACTGAGAGTAGCATCACCTGATGTGAGGGCTAATGCTCTTACACTGATGCTTGACGGGTTCCCTCTGTACGACCCGAACTATACCAAACCTGAGATTGACGAGGAGATACAGAGACAGTTCAATTTAATGAAAGTATGTACATGTACATGTAATATAGGGTACTGCCTATAAAAAAATTAGAAGCGGTTGGAGACTAATATTGTTCCTTTTAAATTTATGTACACCATACTAGTAGACTACAATATCATGCTTTATGTATGGTTATTAGTATTAATTGCATGGTTGGTCTAAGTGATGAACTGGTTGGTTCATTTGTTGAAGTGGTTGTCCCAACCACCATAGACAAAACTTATAATGCACGAGCACTAATAATTGTCCAATGTCTATTGTCTAAGCATGTTAATGGTAAAATATGCATACAATTTTGTATTGCTCTAGTTTTGTTTTTATTTTAATATTTTTCCAGGAGCTACTAATGGATCAGTCAGTAGTTGTAAGAACCAGCTGTGTATCTGGAGTGTGTCACGTGCTGTCTTATTACTGGGAGATGATACCTGCCCCTGTCATTAGTGATATAATTAGAATCATCATACATCAATTAGCTTTTGATACTACCTCTAGTGATGTAAGGATTGCTGTACTGCAGGTTAGGGAGAGAGAGAGAGAGAGAGAGAGAGAGAGAGAGAGAGAGAGAGAGAGAGAGAGAGAGAGAGAGAGGGAGGGAGGGAGAGAGAGAGGGAGGGAGGGAGAGAGAGAAGGATTTGCTTTTATTCTTGCTTTTTTCCTTATAAGGGCGTAGGTGTGGTTCTAGATCAGAGATTAAGTCACCGATTCCTTAAGGAGTTCCTCCCAGTATTAAAGGCTCATCTTCACGATCGGTCCGAGAGGGTTAGAATCGCATTTCTTGATCTGTTGATTTTAATCAAAGGATTGAGAGCCATCAAAGTCAGTCTTTCAATATTAAATACATTTACATTTACTTACTTTTCGTTGCATAATTTACTGTAATTTACATTTTTACATGTTACTTTTCTTTTCTAGTTTTGGACCATATGCAGTATCGATCAACTACTAGCTTGTATTGAAACTGGGAGTGCCCCTGTGATTAAGAGGACTATTAGTTTGCTAATGGACACATTCAAACCAAAATCATCGTCATCTCTTGCTGCACTCAATCGCTGTGTTGTACTAGTACGATCAAACCCACTCTCTTTTAGACGGTTTTATTTTGAGGCATTGAACTATATGACAGCAAAAGATATAGGTTAGTTAATACTAATTGGGTTTTCATACAAAGCATCCTATAACAGCAGCCCGATTTTTAAGCAACTTTTAAAATTCATAAAAAATCCAAATATGATCGGAATCGGCTCAAAATTGATACACAGCATGAGGGCATGTATATGTATCAGAAAAAATTATAAAAGTGGAAAATTCTCTCCTAGTCATTTTTGACAAAATTTGGCTCAAGACCAAAGGCTATAGCCTTAGGTCATCAGGCTGATTTTTGAGCAACTTTAAAAATTCATAAAAAATCTAAATTTGATCGGAATCGGCTCAAACTTGATACACAGCATAAGGGCATGTATATCTATCAGAAAAAATTATAAAAATGGAGAAAACTCTCTTCATGATTTTTGTCAAAATACCCTCTACTATGGTCTTTCACCCAATTTTTGAGCAACTTGAAAATCCACTGACAACAAGCTGCATGAGCACTATGCCAGCATCCTGTGGGAAATGCTGATATGCCTGTAGTTTAAAATCTTTTTTTTGTTTTCTCTCTGGTCTTGTTATAGAAAGTTTCATGACATCTCTATTGAAATACATCGGAACTAATATTGATGGAAGTGACTTGACTAATGCCAACAAGAGTAGAGCCAGACAAGACAGGGAAAAGAAGAGACCAGAAACCAACCATGTTACTCTCAATGGAGTCAGCAAAGCACATCAAACTGATAGCAATGACGTTGAAACAGAGTGTAGCGGTCATGAAAGTGACCTTTGTGTAGCCGAAGTGAGTCATCCTTTGTGTGATAAGGAGGTTCTCGTATCACTGCTGGAAGTGGTAGTTATTTTAATGGAGGGACTAAGATTAAAGGAAAAGGATGCAAAGGATTTTAAAGTGATCCCGGAAGTAAAGAGTTTATTTCCAAAATTATTTGAATATTTTAAGGTAAAATATAAATGTAGTAATAGCAGGCAAAATGATAAATACTATTATTGATAAAATCCATGTACATGTACAGATGTATTTATGTACATTTTTACTATAAAATTTATGAATGTATAATTTTATTTGTTATTCTGTATTTTTTGCAGGATACTCGTGGTTGTCATTCAGTATATCTCATTGGGTCTCTACTGCCTAAATCAGTCATTGGATCTTTAAAGATAAAGACTCTTTGTGACATCCTTGCATCATCAGAGGCCAATGAAGACCCTCTGGCATTACTAGTGACACTGAGTAGGTTTGAACAGGAAGTTCCTGTATTGGAACTGGTCAGACGAGGTTTAGAAACTGGTTTGCATAGAGACGGAGGAGGGAAAGAGAATGTGAGTGAGACTATTGGAGGAGAAAGGAGGAGCAGGAGGAGCAGGAGGAAAAAAGGAAGAGATAAGGACGGAGTGAGTGATTATGATGGAGTTATTCCTTCTCCTAGTGTGGCATTGAGGATACTCAATCATTTAATGGTAAAAAAAAAATTAAAACGAACTTCCATTCACAATCTCTTATTACAAACTTTTCAGCTCTTTCTATGTCCCTGTACTTTATAATGCTCATTTTTATTAATTCTCTCTCTTTCTCTATCACTCCCACCTCTCTCAGACTCATCCTGCTTTATATAGTAAAGTGAAGGATTTATCTCATTTCTGGGAGCTCATTCCTTTATTACAAACTACTTTTGGACACATTGAGGATCAGCTAACAGCAATAGATACTGCTGCCTCTAGTACTGAGAGGTTTCTTGTTGAATCAGTTGGCACTTACATCCGTATGACAGCACACAGTATGACTGAGCATAAGGTGAGTCTATTGTACAATACTTTACCTTATTTATGCACAGTATTAGCTGTGTGTTGTCAGGAGTGGTCTGAGTAAATGAGATTGCAATATATTTATCCTATTTTGCTTAGTTCCAGTAGCAGTGTAGCACCCAATAGTGTTTATAGATTGCCTTGCACTCATTGTGCTATATTAGGCCTCTAGGTGTTACTATAATTAGATCAGTGCCTTCGGTGGGTATTGTTTACTCATTATGAGTCACCAGACAGACATTGAACTCACTCTCTCTCTCTGTATGGGTGAATGAGTGAATGAGAACATTAAGTGTCAGTCATAACACTAGTACATGCTCTGTGAAGTACACATAACAGTATCATTCAATTGACCACAAATTATGCCACTTTGCACTTATAAATTTAATAATTATTAAGCTCAAAAAGTAGCAGAGCTAGTACACATGTACATGTAGGTGGAAAATTTAAATTTTAAAGAGACCCAACTTGATGCTTACCGTATTTTGCATGCACATGTATATTAACTACACATACATGTATTTCCAATGCAGTACTCTATTAATGACGTTTATAGTTGATTGCTAATGCTTCATGTTGTCCTTCATGCTATACTTGTGGTTAGCGACTGATTATTAAGACTAATTGTTTGTTTGGTCCCAGAGTATTACCTAAAGCAGTTATATAATGTTAACTTGTAGGACTTCATGATTACATTATTATCTCACAATTATTATTATTATTATTATATTTTACCATCATATACAAAGCACTGTATAAAGTACTAATTCTACCTTTTATTGCACAGTCTGATGATAAGGAAGAGTTTCACAAGCAACTAGAAGAAGTCCTGCTTTGGTATGAGGAGAAGGTCATTCCACTTTTATCTACTTCATCAGAGAAGTGGCAGCAAATATTGAAAAATAACAAAACAAGAAAGAGAAGATGGATCAGTCAATCGGATGAAGATGGTGTCCTCAATAGCAGTACACCTCATGCTTACCTCATACACTCACTGATTGAGGTATACTCAGATAAAGAGAGGGAGGGAGTGAGAATTGGATAAAAGAGAGAGAGAGAGTGGGTTATAGTTTGCACACATACAAGTCTTGATGGAGGAAATAGACTGAGGGAATGAGACCTGTGATATTGATTGATGTTTGAGAGAATGAAAGAATTGTGTTTATGTACACAAACTCACTCAGAGACTAAATGACCATTATACCTTGATAGCAGTCTCCAGGAGGAGTACGTGTGAGAGAACTCCCCAGTATTGTGTCTAATAGAACTTCCTAGTACTAGTAATCATTGTAGCGTTCAACCACAATAATTATGTATTATGCAAATGAATTTTAAGGATTTCTAATTATGATGCTTTGTTAGATTATAACATTTGTCTATTAGTTTATAGCAAAAAGAGTACGTAATTATTTAGAGCTACTCTTGTTTATAGTTAAGGTGCATCTTATGTACAAGTATGTGTATCATTAGGCCCTACTGACTGTTCTATCAGATATGCTAATGTGTGGTCTAATAGGTGAATCAATGGATGTCAGTGTGTCACAGTCTGCCATTAAGATAATAGACAGTGGTTAGATAGGCTACCCAGTGTACATGATATTTATTTATTTTATTATTATTTCATGATAGGTGGGCTAATATCATTTGGTCATTCGTTATCAGTAGTGTTATATCAACTCGTTGAGGTTGGGAGTTACTCAGAAGTGGGTAGCATCATATCTCCTTCCTCTTTACTCACCCCATCAATGCTTCTTGACAAAATATTATCTGAACTGAGGCTTATTGCTAACGATCAGCCTGAAGCATTTAAAAAAGTAATTTACTAAAATATTGATACATTGATGTACATTATTATTATTATTATTATTATTATTATTATTATTATTATTATTATTATTATTATTATACTTATACTTATTCTATAGTTATGGTCACACTTTAAACCAGTTCTTAGCAGAGCCATTCTCATGTCAGTGTATCACCAGTTACTGATAGTCTCTCTCTCCTCCTTCCCTATCTTTACATCACTTGCTAAAGCTACCCTCTCAGCTCATGTGGAGCAGCTAAGACTAAACACATCAATGTCTATACCAACTGACATCAGTGAACTACCTCATTACACATCACTCCTGGTTGATTCTGCTTGTAGGACTACACCTAGTGGAAGGTATATGTGTGTGTGTTCTTATTACTCATTTATGATTGTATCTCTATAGGCTGTTTGTTTCTCATTTGGTCTATGATGTAGAAGGAATTGATCTTCTCACTGATTCACCTGAGTGTCTTTTCTCTGCTCTCCATATTGCCAGCTCCCTCACTAATAGTATGTGAACATTGTCCATTATGTTCGTAGAATGATGTTTGTCACCAGATCTAAGTGTATATGTGTGTGTGTACAAATTTAGTTGGGATGTTAGTCCTGTACAATGTCATTAAGCAGAAGCCCTTCTGTCTCACTTCATAGGATTAGCCTGTGGTCTGACCTGCTTTATCCCGTGGGGTGATCTGCATTCCTAGTGCTTGCTCTCTTTTATTCACTTTTCACAATTAGAGTCGAGCCACTAGTCAATTACACTGTTTGTGTTGAGTTTGGAATTTTTCACATGTGATCCACAAACTGCATCCATTCCTTTTATCTTGTTATAGAATCTCCTCTTAATGAAGAGCTCCTCCGGCTAGTGGATACCTGTTTGATTGCTTCTAAAACCAGTATGACCAGTAGTAGTCTCACTGAGCCAGAGTAAGTCATGAGTGTGTGTTTGTGTGAGTGACTATTGTTAATTGTGTGTAGATATCCTGACGTAATCAGAAATATCCAAGAACTAGCATTGTCAGTTCAACATCGCTTACTGAAAACTTAATCGAACGAAACTTCGCATTATTATAAACGATTTTATATGTTATCTTGATATTATTTTTTCATCTCATCCATAACAAAGCATTTATTAGTGCTGATGGACATTTAAGCTCTTTTTATCAGTTATTTTTATCATTATACCATGCACCATCTAGTCTTTATTAAGCCCTTACTATCAAACTGATACAGTAATTACAGTTATGTCATTTATTATTTCATCTCGATCATAGTGGTTGCTTAGCGATGAGGTTGCTACGGTCATATCCTGGCTACAGCCATATACATGCAGCATGAGAAGAATTCAATTATTATCTTGTGAGATCTTGGCTAGAGTAGACCCACTTTAAAGGAGTATGGCATTTATAATGAGCTTTTATCTGTGGTTTGTGTGGGTGTATTGCTAGCTGCTAGGTTCTATAAAAGAAGAGGTGTTTAGCTCTGTAGAATCACACTGACTGCAGAGGTAGTCTAATACTCATTGTGTAGTCAATCATGAATCTCATCTTAGTGATTTTCTTTTGCTTTTCTGCTCTGCAATTTGCTGTTTCTCAACCAGCAACTTTCCCAAGCAGTGGTAAGTATTAGCATGATGATGATAGCAGTTTTACACTTTATATTAAAACCACTCTGTTTCTCTCTCTCTTGTAGGAGTTGAGCTCCATCATACTAACAGGTCTCTTCCACTCTATCCTCAACTGGCATCAGTTCTAGTTACTTCTGGTAACAAGTTATGGTGCTCCAGTGCAAGTACCTCAGCCTCCATTAGCTGGAAGCTCCCTGGTGGAACTGAGCTTAGCTCTAGCACCACTTCAGGGAGTGGTGCAACAGTTATGCTAGTTAGTACTTCTGAAGGATCATCACTAGGTCTTGCTCCTACCACTGATGGCACTCTATTGGCCGAAGGCATCTATAAGTGCTGTGTTACTGATGATCAGGGAAATGAGCAGGTTTTAGAGTCATTCCTTATTGGTAAGTAAACCTCACTTTCATGTATATTACTCATTTTGTTGTTGGTATTTGTAGGAAGTTCTTCTGTGAGTGTTTCAGATACCTCATGCTTTCAGTCAGGCATCAACCCAAACAGATTTGAACTAGCCACCAGTATTTCTCACATTTCTCCAACTATAGTCTCGTGCCGTGATCAAGATGATACTGCTGTTTCTGGCACAATTACTAGAAACACACTCAACGACACTGCATATCGTGTTGGGGTTAGCTTTACTCAAGGCTCATTTCCATTCACAGTGTCTTGTGCTATAAGCAATGGGCCTTCAGGAGCTATTTCTACTGTTACCATGACTTGTAGAGCTACTTCAAGTGAGCTACCTTAACATGTGTTTGTACTCTCTTTTAATGATTTCTTTTTTAAAAATAGGTCTCACAGCTCCTAGTCTTCCTTCATCTGGTAAATATACATTATAGATAACTGATACATGTGCTACAATGATTACTGTACTTTATTTTATTCATTGTTGCTCTGTATTTTAGGTAGCAGATTTGTGAGTGGTACTTCAGTGCTTGTCAATCCAAACAGTTTCCTTCCTATATCAAGTATAGCAAGCAACCTCCCACTGTGGTGTTCTTCATCCAATGCTAACTCTAACATCACCTGGACGCTACCTGATGGAACTGTATTGGGACCTACGAGCCCACCATCTGGTGGAGTGGGTGTCATTAGTAGCGCTGGTCAACTGGGGCTGGTACCCTCCGGTAATGGTGGGTTCCCCTCTGGTGTCTACACTTGCTCAGTGAATGGTGTTGCCTCATTTCTGCAGATTGGAAACCCTGGAGGTATGGTACTAAGGATATTGACATGTGCTTTAAAATATTAGTCATTTGTATGGTATTAATACTTATATTGTTTTTTGTTTAGATTTTTCAGCACCAATGGGTTCACCTGCTGGAGAGTGTTTGCCCATATCATCTGGTCTAGCTCTCTGTGCTAACCTTACTGGTGGACTACCCACCAGTGCATCATGCTCTGTGTCTGGATCATCTTTTGTTCTTAGCAGTATACCAACAGCAATAACCAAGTCTACAGTCCCTATAATGTATAGAGTCTGTGTACCCTTCACTTCTTCTGCTGCTGCAATATATAGTTGTACATTTGCTAATGCAATGGGAACTGTCACTGTTGGCTGTAATACGATAGGTAAGATACAGAAATTAGCCCAGTTTTGTTATATAATTTTTTCCTTTTTTTCTATTTGAAGGTTCTGTTGGTCCAGTTCAATCAGTAACTGCTGTAAGAAATACCAACAATCCTAGCTCAATCAATGTGACCTGGACTCCAATAAATAGTCCATATGTGCAGGGATACAATATCAGTGTTACAGAGACCAGTACTGGCACAACACAGTATTTCACAGTTGGTCCAGGCTCAGCTAGTCAGACAATAATAACCAACATTAATCCTCAGAATGCATATACCGTTACTGTCACACCAGTAACTAATGACTCCACTATTGCAGTGATGCCTAGTACACCTGTTACTGTTCGCCCAATCATAAGCACTGGTGGCCAGTGTAATCCTGCTGAAGGATTCATAGTTGATATACTCTTGACAAGAAATATATCAGCTCTCTGCAACTGTTCTACAATAGAAAGCCAGGCTGGACTTCCAATGAGAGCACTCCAAGCAGCTCTTGGTGGGAGCAATGCTTTCATTAGGAATTGTACTGATCCTATCCTCCATTTGAGTGCCAGTGCTTGCTATGAAGACTTCAAAGAGAAAACAAGAAAGACCATAAAATTCAAGACAAAATTCAAAACAGGAAAATCAAAGAAGACAAAGAAAACAAAGAAAACAAAGAAGGGTCGTACTAAAACAGTCACTAGTGCTACAGGTGGAACTGTCAATTTCTATGTACGTGGTCTTGTTCTCTGTGGCTCTTGCTCTCGAAACTCTACCACCATGCAGAAACGTGACGTTGAAGTTAGTCTGAAATCTGGGGCCAGAGCAGAATGGAGCGTACAGAGAAATGGAATGGAAAGGATGAGGAGACATGTGAACAGGATCAAGAGAAAGAGGACAAAGTCAAAGAAGACCAAGACTGCCAATATAGTCCAAGAAGTCCCTCCAATGGTCGCTGTGGATAGCAAGATGTACAATGTCTATTTTAGGGAGGATGGAAAAAGTCAAGGACTATTTTGTGGTAACACTACAGTGACTGCTGGAACTCTTTGTGGTAAGGATTATATTTAAATGATAATCTAGTACATTTATCATTGCTGTTATAACTTTTTTAGATTGTCCTTCACAGTGTAATTTGCAGAAATGATCATAGAAAAGTGAAAAACTTTAAATTTATTATGATTTCCAAGATCTATCAGTCTGATTTACGTATTTGTATCAATTTTTCTTTATTTTTGTTGTCCTATTAACATTTCTTTTAAAAATATCATTTTCTAACACTAATAACAAATCAATCCTAATGCATTGATAAACTGTACATCTACTATTGAGTGTTCTTTCAAGAGTTCTTTGGCATCTGATTGGTCGCCATTAGATAGAAAGTATAAGAGACTGCAGCTAGACCAAAGAAGCAGGCCCCCACAGCTGATCGATACAAAAGGAGATCCGCCTTGCCGCCACGTAAATGATGAGGGCCTGTCCTATTCTAAAATAACAAAAAGGGAAGGATGCCATTGATGACAAAAGCCATAATACGAGACAAAATGGCTATTGCTAAAGATACATATCAAATGGACGGAGTCACATAGTTTAGATTTTTCATTAATCATTATTGTTATAATTAATCAATTCAAAAGAGGTGATGCTAAATATACACTTGGCAATAATCAACTGTTATACATGCATAATGTGATATGTGACACGTCACAGTATTGCCCAGGATAATTCATGTAGGTAAGTTTTACCTGGAATATTCTTTGGTACATTTTGATTCTTTTTGCATATGGATGCATGCTTGAAATCTAGTTGTTGATGGTTGATTGATACACAGCCCAGCCTCCTTAGATGTGCACTTTAATTAGAATTCTGGGCGTGGTAATTACCCACGTGCTGTCACGTGATGGCTTCCTTCTTTTCATTATGTATCCTTTTACTACATTTTATACCTTTTATCTCTTGCAAGGAGAGGAGGTACATCAGTTACACGGTCAATATGGGAGAAGGCTTTAATCTGAGACGAGACGTTCACATGAGAGCTGCCAATCTTGTCCGTAGTCTCCGTACTAAAACGAAATACGACTGGATACTTGTTCTACCTCCATGGCCTCACCTCTATCACTGGAAGTCCTCAGTCCCTCAGGATTGGCTGCCTTGGGGACAATTCTTTGACGTAGAGAGTTTGAATGAGTATGTGCCAAGTATTGAGTTGGAGACTTACATAGAAAGAGAGGGTTTAGTTATTGACGAAGTAAGTTATCATTATTATTATTATTATTATTACTATTATTATTATTATTATTATTATTGTTGTTGTTACCATAATATGCCATCAGTCACATTTGTTGGAATTAATTCAACATATTTCCATAGCATTATTGTTTATTATTTTTAGCTTTCCACTACAGTGTCCACTGACTAGATATCCTTATTAGCAAAGCTTTTGTAATGCATTCTTCTTTTTCTTAGATTCTTAGTCTTCAGCGTTTGGAGAAACCATTTACTGACAAAGGAGAATGGCTGGAGAGTGTCACAGAAGAGCCATGTCATCAGAGAATAAGGAAGGACCTCTTTAGTCCACTGGATTTCAATGTCAAATTGATGTCATGTCTCACAACTCAAGGAAGGACGTCAGTAATAATACCTGAGCTACATAAAAGAGCTCACAAATCAAGGTCTGCATGTCCTTTTATTGCATACAGTCCTTGCACTATGTAGAATGATGTAAGTGCCATTTTTTAAAAGTAGCAAATTTTTAAAAAGAATGAGACTATATAATAGCCCATGGTTTTCTCCAAAAAATGGCCAAAAAATCACCTCAAATTTTTATTACATTTTCTGATGCATATTGATGTTTTTATGCTGTGTAGAAAGTTTGAGGTGATTCCGACTTCAATTTTTCAAGTTACATGTACGACCATTTTAAGAAAACGTCAAAAATCTGAAAAAATCCCTGTACTATAGCCCATGGTTTTTTCCAAAAAATGGCCAAAAAATCACCTCAAATTTTTATTACATTTTCTGATGCATATTGATGTTTTTATGCTGTGTAGAAAGTTTGAGGTGATTCCGACTTCAATTTTTCAAGTTACATGTACGACCATTTTAAGAAAACGTCAAAAATCTGAAAAAATCCCTGTACTATAGCCCATGGTTTTTTCCAAAAAATGGCCAAAAAATTACCCCAAATTTTTATTACATTTTCTGATGGATATTGATGTTTTTATGCTGTGTAGAAAGTTTGAGGTGATTCCGACTTCAATTTTTCAAGTTACGGCCATTTTAAGAAAACATCAAAAATCTGAAAAATACCCTGTACTATAGCCCATGGTTTTTTCCAAAAAATGGCCAAAAAATCACTCCAAATTTTTATTACATTTTCTAATACATATTGATGTCCTTATGCTGTGTAGAAAGTTTGAGGTGATTCCGACTTCAATTTTTCAAGTTAAGACCATTTTAAGAAAACGTCAAAAATCTGAAAAATACCCTGTACTATAGCCCATGGTTTTTTCCAAAAAATGGCCAAAAAATCACCCCAAATTTTTATTACATTTTCTAATACATATTGATGTCCTTATGCTATGTAGAAAGTTTGAGTAGATTCCGTGTTTTGAAAATACCCAAGGTGCCCATGGTTTTTTGAAAATTGGCTCGAAAATGATCACAAATTTTTACTACATTTTCTGGTACATATTGCTACTATGAATGAATTTTTTAAAAAGATTTGACCAATGAATTCACTACACATACATAATATCTTTACATCAACTTTGATGCGTATGATAGTCTAGAGTCTTTCTGCTAATAATTTCAGGTCATTCGTAGTAATGTGGTTTGAACTCCTCCTACACGATGAGTTTGGAAGCATCGACTACTGGAATGTAAGCATCACTGTATTTTGAACTCAATTTTATTTGATCCTTCAGGCAAGGAAAAGCATGGTGTATGCTCAGGAGCTCCGAGACATTGGAACTGAATTCATGAAGGATCATCTTGATTATGATCCTGGGATCGGAAAGGGGCGGAGTAAACCTAACAAAGGGGGCGGGGCTTATTTATCGGTTCATCTCCGTTCTCAAGATTATCAAAGATCAAAGCCGCACCTGGTTCCTTCACTAAAAGGCCTCGCCAAGCAACTTAAAACATTGAAAAAGGAACAAAAACTAAAAGTTGTTTTTATAGCAAGTGATGCTGGAATATCAGGTATAGTAACTACACTCACCTGTTAGCTAACCACTCCCATTTTGGCACAGACAAGAAAAAACTACGGAAACTTATCGGGGGAAAAGTCGTCTGGTTTGAGCCGGATTCTGATATCATCCATCGCTATGGTGATGGAGGTGTGGCCATAATCGACCAATGGATAGCAGCTCATTCAAAGTGGCATCCAATCAGATTTCCTCTTTTTAATGATAGTTTTTTGTGATTTGTAGGTTTTTTGTGGGTACGACAGAATCGACTTTTTCATTTCGTATTCGTGAAGACCGTCAGTTTTTAAGGTTTTCTGTTGATAGTACCTTTAACCAGCTCTGTGGCAACGAAAATAATGAGACTGATCCACACAGCTGCCCTCCTCCTTCAAAATGGCTGCTGATTGAAGACAATCGCAATTCAGTACGTTCAGAATTGTGAATTTTAAAAAATCACTTTTTTCTTCCTTAATTTATTAAATTTTTTTTTCAAAAAAAATAGTGAAATTACCAAACAATTATCATGAAAAAATAATATTAATAATTTACAATAATACTTTTAGTTCACATACATATACATGTACATGTCATAGGTATTTCAGTGATGAACTGCTGGCCAGCTCAACTTCATCTTAAGACGGTGCTCTTGTCCATACTTTATAGCTTAACACACGACCAGAAAATCTAGAAAAATTAATATTAATTTAAATAATGGATCATTTTTAGCTATAATTTTTTAATTTAAATAATAAATAATGCACATTTTTTAGCTGCATAGTCTACTGTACAGTGTTTAGTGTTTCTTACTTTGAATGAGCGTTACTGAATATCAGTGAGTATATACCAGCCTTCTGTGCCACGTATTCGCCAGTGAGAACAGTTTTGTGTGACATTACTCTTCGTAATGGTAAAACCTACCATAATACAGTAGTAGTAATAATAATAATAGTAATATTTAATTCCAATTTTATAATTACAATCTCTCACCTCAACTTGTGTTTCAGTCTCGTGAGACTCTTGATACTTGAGTCCAACTGCTATACCTTTCGGTTGTGAATTGAACTGCCACAGTACCACAGTCCTTGGCGTCCGGACCATTACAGTCACAGTGTGAGTCTTACCTCCTTCCACCTCCATATCATTAACCTCTCTAATGACAGACCCTGGGGTACCAGGGATCTTACCACTAGCTTCTCCACTACCGTCTCTCTCGCTGTCATCAAACCTGCTCAACTGAGGGGTGGAGGAGGAGGAGGGGTCTCTTCTAGAGCCGCCAGGTGTAGCCTGACCTGTTTCTAATTTGGATAGTTTAGCTTGTAGGGCCGTCACGTCAAGACGAGAGTCCGGAGTACCGAAAGGATATACGTTATCACTCTTAGTGCTCATGGTCTCTATGACACAGAACTCGTCGTCGGGATCAGAAGCAGCTGTGAGATCAGTTGCTGATACTGTGTAGGTAATAGCTTTACCGCCAATATCACCTCCTTCAACTCTATCGTCCTGTAGGAGCGGCTCTACACAATATTCAACCGAGTTCTCCATTGAGCTCTGCTGGCTTGAAGAGAATAGTTTACCGTTGTAAGTGCCACTCCCCTGACCGCCGTCACGTAAATGCGATAACAATGGTTCGTCGGAGCCGTCCAGAAAACTATTGAGTGACACGCCTCCAGGAAAACTGTTAATGTGATTGATCGTGTTTGTAGTGGTGTCTCCGTCCCCTGATGGTATTGTGTCAGGATTCGAGAGAGCAGGTTTGACTGATACGGATTCCTCATCAACCGGATTGACTAGTGATGAAGCCTGTGGTGTCCTTAAGGTTTCTATCTTACCATAGCAACCAGCGCATACACGAACTGGGTCCCTATGTATTAATAAAAAAGTGAAGTGACATTTTCTTGTAATAAAATATCTTCTAAAGTTTAGATGTACGTACTACAAGCAACTAACAGCACAAGAAAACATTCATGTATACATACACTCATTCTCAAGAGTACATCATGTTCAGTACTAGTGGTTTATTGCAGATAAATAGAAAGTAACTGTTATAATCTAATATAGCAGTATGTATACAAGTATGTGAAACATTACTTGTTTGATGGTAGTTGAGCTTTGTGAGAACAACAATTGCCACAAAATACCTTCCCACATGATCTACAGTGATGCTAGGGAGAGAGAGAGAGAAGTTAAAATGAGGATAAGTTATTGTGTAGAAATGAATGAAAAAGAGAGGATGATTGCAGAAAAGAAAGTAAAAAAGCAGTAAAGATAAAGGCAAGTATAATCCAGCTATTACCTTCCTGTTAAACATTGAGAATATAATCTTACATCCCATGCAGTTTACTACATCACGACTGTCCAGCCATTGGCCTTTAGCTACTTGCTCTTGCTCAAGCTCATCAGCATGCTGCCACAAACTGACCTTTTGGCTTTAAAAATTAACATAATAATAATAATATTATTTTTCTAGTTTTTTCTTACGCTAGCAGCCTTTGAATGGCTTTCCTCAGTTCTTCATTTTCTTGCGACATTTTTGTTGAGAATCCACTGAGTCTCTGCATTTCTTTAGTCATCCTTTCTCTCTGGTCGTCCCACTCTCTCTCCTTCTTCAAGAACTGCTCTCTCACAGCATCTCTGTTTAATGTCTTCTGCAATGAGAGACAACGAGTAATAATAATTATTGAAGGAGAACAACACTTAATCTAAAATCTATTGCTCTATCAACAATCAATAACATTGTGCCATAGAATAGTTTCTAATAGCATAACAAGTACAATATTCACTAACCTCTGTTAGTTGTTCATTAAGTGATTTCATTTCCTCTTGAAGGCCCTGCCAGCGTGTATCGGATATAGCTAATTGTTGTCTCAGTTCTTCGTTTGCTTCTTCCTTCTGGTAGAGGCTCCCTCTTGTTTGAGTTAGCTGATCTGAGAGTTGCTGCACTTGATCCTTCAGCTCAGATAGTTGCATCTCTCTCTTGCTGTAACTCTAAAAAAATTTCTTATAATTTACTACTTTCTAATTTATACATTTATTAAGCTACAAAGTCATGTATATGCATCAGAAAAAATACATTCCCTCCTTTTCAATCTTGGCAAAATTTGACCAAAAACCCTATACTATAGAAAAGGGTCTTTGGCCCAATTTTTGAGCAAATTAAAAAATTTAATTTTGATTGTAATAACCTAAGAACCTGTGTAATCTTTCCCATTGATATTACTAGCCCACCTCTGCTACATGTGTACAAGTACACTTCATACCTCATTATTCTGCTGTAGCTGTATATTAGTGGTGCTAAGTTGAAACCTCAGCGATGCTGTCTCCTGTTCCACCAGACCCTGCATGCTCTTCACTTCCTCTATAGCAGAGTCTCTCTCCTTCTCCAATTCTTCTCTAGTAGCCACTAATGCCTTCAGCTCTTCTTCTAACTCTCTTGTCTTCTCGCTAAACTCTGTCCTGCACAAGCTTAGCTGTGAGTCTTTCTCTCTCAGTTCTTCTTGACTCAGACCCAGTACATTATTGAGTCTCTCAATCTCCTCTTGATTTGAAGAGAGTTTACCCGAGGCCTCCCTCATCTCTGATTCATGAGAATCTTTAAGTGTCCTAATGGTATTCTCAAGGATCTCTTTGCTCTTCCGTTCCTCTTCCACTTGAAGCGAAAGTGCCGAGTTTGCAGACTCTATGGATGATAGTCGGAGTTTTGTCTCGTTGAGTTCTTCGATGGTTTGCTTCATTTCGGTATCGGAGGGAGGAGGAGTGGCGGCCATGTTGGACTTGTCTTCCTTTAATTGTGCTATCTCTTCTTTGAGAGCCGATATCTATACATGTGCATGTACAAAATGAAAGTAATTAGTTGCTTTCACAATAAACACAATGCATACTTTGAATACCATTAAACTGTGTAAAAGTACGTGCTATTGGGCTGACAGACTCACATGCATTTAAAAGCTATCTGATACATATACATTCAATCATTCCAACATACACGGCATATACATAGGTCTCTATACTTACTTGTTCCCTTTGCTCCACAACTTGCGACCAAAACTTTCTCTTCTCATCAGACGTGACCTGAAGCTGTAGGCTAGTGCTGGCCAGATCACTCTCCTTTGATTGGACCTCTTCCTCTAAATCTTTTGCCTTCCTTTGCTCGGCTTTCAACTCTTCCTCTATCTTGAAAACCTGCTGCTTCAATTGATGCACAAGTCTGTTCCTCTTATCCATGCTCTTAGTAACATCGCTCGACATTGTCAAAACATAGTCCTTCAGTAATGAGAGACCAGAGGATATATCATCAAGTTGTTTCACTTTTATCGAAGGCAGGTTAGTCATGTGACTGTATCCTTCAAATTCGTCGACTAGTAGAGTCCGTATTTCCTCTAGTAGGGACCCAACGAGTGAGAGGTCAAAGGGAACCTCGTGTCGTACGAATATCTCACTGGGTTCTTCCTCTATTGCTCTCTCTAGCGTGTACTAAAAATAGAATTGAATGGTTACTAAATATAGCTTGAGACACATTATTATTCATACAAAGACATTCCATTACTATAGTATTACCATACACTTGCTATACATGTATTTGTATTTGGCATAATGTTGTTAAAAGTGCTGGCTGCTCCTGTTTAAGTGCTAATTCGTAAAAACTCACTTCCTCTTTGTAAAGCATTGACTTGTCGATTGATTTAGCCTCACGAGTGACCAGTGCCTTCTTAAGCAGGCCTGACACTCCCCCTCCTCCTCCCCCACCTCCTCCATTACTGGTTCTCCTTGGAGACTGTTCACTGAAGGATTTCCTAATAAAAGAAGATCATGTAAATGTGTAGATATAGACATGTTACTACTCATTTCAGAACAAAATCAACTTACAACTGAAAATGTAAAAAATGAGACCATTGCCAATTTCTGAAAGTAGCAAAGACTATTACAGCCTATGCTTTTTGGCTCATGACGCTTTGCAAAAATTAGCCCCAAAACATCCAAATTTTTATCATATACAATGTACATTAGCTACGCCAAGCAGACACTCTGCCATTTGCAAAAAAATAAACAATTTTATAAGAATTGCTAGCCTGCACATGTATGAGTCTTCTGATAGAAATATTTCTTAATATTCGTTTAATTCTTTTTTTAATTTCTCTCGCTCTTTCCCTTACTGAATGAAAGAAGGCCAAGCGTCATCCAGGTCCAGCCCATCCACTGGGAGTGAAAAGGTCACATCATAAAGGTCATAAAGGGCACTGATGAGTCTCTCCGTCAGTGAAGGGACAAGCAATACTGCACCAGACTGATACCAATCTCTAAAAAGAAATTAAAATTAGAAGAATTGTCAAGGGACAAGCATTAATCTAAAGACACAAGAAGGAATTGAGAGAACTGGTAGAAAGGAAGAGGAGAAGGAAGAGGAGAAGTAAGATACATGTATCCCATACTTTGTCTTTTTGACGTTACTGATTGATGTCTGAACACAGTCGGCTAATAATTGCTCGTTCAAGCATAACCGAACTAAAGCCCGCCCCTTTCCTTGACTGCTCACAATCTGATTATATAACGATACAAAAGTCACATGACATGCAATCAATGTGATTCGCATACCTCAGAGAGTCCTTGAACTCTTTTTACTATCTGTTCAAAGTTCTTGAGACCGCTGAGGTTTTCCATAATGTAGTGATAATAATCCCTGCGCTCTCCCCAGAAACTAAGTTTTTCTGTGTGAAAATAAGTAAGCACTAAACAGTACTTTCTCATCTAATATGTACATGAAACTAATTACTATTATTATTGTATCATTCCCATGGTTATAAAAACAACACCTGTATTGAAGTAATTCACCACACATTTTGATAATTTCATTATGTGCTAAAAATGTTATTACTACATTATTATCATTATTATGACTATAGTAATATTCATAATGTAGAGATAAAAATATCTAACTTTTTTAGCTACTAAAATTTACTTGTACATGTATTTTACAACCTACATGTATACATTAGTCGCTTGCTGAGTTACGAAATACAATTCATTTTAATTTTATAGCCTGCATAGAACTGTGTACAAACCTCCATCATTGTTCTCACCTTTCTGTCCATGACGTAAGATGCTTTCAAGGTATCTACAGAATCTTGACACCTCTATGGTATCATCAGTCAGTGGTTTTGATGTCTGACTGTATATAGTCTTTAATCTCTCGACAACAGCTGCAAGAGGGTATCAGTATGATTCTTAATGCATTATAGACAATAGAAACACACCTTCTATCTCCTTCAAGAGGTCTTCTCCGCTCACAAGCTCCTGTACTTGGGTCTCTTCCCTCCCGACACCAGGCACGGCGGGCCCAGGACTTACCCCACCAATCCCTCCAGCCTCTGAACTAGCTCCAGTACTGCTGCCAGCAGTGGAACTAAAACGAAGAAGATCACTCATGGCTAGAACTCTCCTGCTTGCTTCAGTTCATGGGCGGAGTCTATAGTAAGGCGTGGTGTCATGGTAATTATACCAATTATTAGAAATCAAGACCATTTATTAGAAGGAAGTGGTGTATGCATTTATGTGAATCTGATTTGTAATTCACTGGCATTGGCTTCAACAGCTAAGATACTGCATTTTAAATAACCATTATAAATTAAATCAAATTATTTTAAAATGAGCAAAATAAATGGATGTCAAAGGAGTAAGAGAGAGAGAGAGTAAGGAGGTATTAGTTGTAATGTCAGTCACTGTGACACAGTCTCTAGGTAAAAATTATTATAAAAGAAATAATAAAGTAAGAAATACCTTAAGCTCATTCCAGCTCTCTTGTTGTCTTATAGCGCTTTTAGCATCACTAGCAGTACCTATACAACACATGCTAGTGACCCCAGGCAGCACCACGGGGAGGTAGCGCTATACTGCTGCCCACCCTAAAAAGAAAGCAGTAATTTATGAGGTAATAGAATCTATTTTGGTTACCTTAATCCATCAAAAAAGAGTCCAGGAAGATCAATTAGATGTTATAGATGCTGAAAACGAAACATAACACTCTGTTAAAATACATAAACCCACGTAGCTAAGAATATGTACTTTTGGTATAATCCGGCTAAGGATGCATATATGGGTACGTATGGGTCACCTTATGAGTGCACTCATTGTATAACGTGAGCATAAATGGGGTCACCTGTATGAAGAACATGTATGAATTGGGTCCCCTATAATGAAGAACATGCATGAATTGGGTCCCCTATAATGAAGAACATGTATGAATTGGGTCCCCTATAATGAAGAACATGTATGAATTGGGTCACCTATAATGAAGAACATGTATGAATTGGGTCCCCTATAATGAAGAACATGTATGAATTGGGTCCCCTATAATGAAGAACATGTATGAATTGGGTCACCTATAATGAAGAACATGTATGAATTGGATCACCTATATTACAACATGGTGTACTATTTTCAAATTATGAAACTAATTGTGCTAGTAACAATACACACTCACACTCGCCACAAAACGCAACGCAAAATGAAAATTTCGCTAATTTCGTGTCAACTCTAAAGCGTTATTTGCATCAACTCATCAGATTATCCACGTAGTTTTGACGTGACGTTGATCATAAACCTACAATGAGAGTTATGGACTTAT